TTATTTGCGAAAAACTGTTAGATACCATTCGTGACCTAAGATGACCTCAGGGCATAAGCAAGGGTCACGGACACCATTTTCAAGTTCAGTGTGTCTAAACGACTTGTAATTCGGTGTTTGGGAGTGTTTATAATGTCTTTCATCCAAAAGAGGCGCAGTTCAATTTTCTCCCATTGACTTATAATGGAAAGGTCGCAAAATTGACCTGACCTTAGGTCATCGATATCAAAATTCTGAGATATACATTTTGTACATGCTATTGCTCTTAGCAATCGCTGAAAGTTTCAAAGCGATCGGTCACTCGGTGTAGCTATGACAGACATTGAAAGTTTTTATGAGGTGAGGTCACTTCAAGTGACCTGGTGACCTGACCTTGAATGACCTTGGTCTGAAATTTTCACAACATGTGTAGAATTGATGTATGATAAGGTGTACCAAAAACGGCGGCGCTCCGCGCCGCCATTTTTGAGATATTCGCGAAAAACCACAAGGGGGGGGGTGTTCAAACACCCCCCCCCCCCAGCAGGGCGCGGGTTAACTGAGCTCCCACTTAGCGTGGTGTGAAACAGTTAGTCTCAACAGAGCTGATATTCCCGGCCAGTTGGCCAAGTCAATTTAAAACTCCAGCACTTAGCGTAAACTTTGCGACATCCAGCGGACGGTTTTAAAGTTGAGTGTAATGAATATTGAACTGGGCGGCGGCTGCTGAGTCGCCTGGCTGGTGTAGCTGGTGAAATGAGCTGCAGCTGCTAAAAAGCAGGCAGCTGCAGAGTGGCACCAATGCCGAGTAGCTGCAGCACTGCAGTTTATCATTGCATCTTGAATATTTTTAACTCCGAGCTTCTTGAACATCTTTAAATGAAATTCATTATCTATTTTTTCGCATATTTAGAAATATTTCGAAGCAACAAGCGGATCCTATCATCGACCTTTGCAAACGCTATTTCCTCGCATGTTCTCACAATCTGATCAGTGACGCCAGCATGGCACTCACACAGATAGCAGCATCTCCGCACTGCTGTTAATTCCATCTAAACCCCGCCATCCCTCCCATCATTGAGGACGTATTCCCACCACATGGAGCCCCGTGTGACCCGCCGCGCCAATTAATAACCAGCACGTGGCGGCCGGAGCAGAGATGATGTTTGCTCATGAAATATTCAGCGGTGCCGCGGCGTCATCCGTATAGCACCTGCCGGTGAAGGTTGATGCATTCTATCCGCACCACGGTGCGCCTAACGAGGCATTTTTGTTTGGCTTATCCGTATAATGAGATATATTTGCACCACAAATGCTTTATCAATAACAGAGTGAGGCATGGCTAGCATGACCAGCAGATTAGACGCATGGTTTTCGAATGTTTACCGTAGCCCGTACCTGCATGTGATATGAAGTAACCTGATCAAAATGACGCCATCAGCCGTCCGATTGCTCCGACCCGGCGTCTCGGGTGACCATCGGAGCCCACCTCTGACCGGAGCTGCCGTCTCGCCATCTGTTTACAACACGCTCGATCTGTCATCATTATCTGAGCCGTGTGTCAGACGAGTGACATGTTTGTCAGCTCTGCTGGCGGCTGACACAGGCTGGCAGCGGGGCCGGGGAGCACCGGCCCGACCCGGCCCGGCCCGGCGGCCAACTGTAGACAGCGGCGGCCGGCGGCACCGCGCGGCCAACTGTGGCGCGGCAGAGACCACCGCGCCGATATCGCGCCAACTGATCCGCCGCGCCAGTTGGTCGCCGCAGATGCGCCAAATAGGCCGCCACACCTCGCCGCAATTCCTGGCTGCACGCGACCGGCGGCCAGTGACAAAAGCGGCGCGTGTCTCACGGTGTGTGCTCATTGTGGCGCGCTTCCCTTTCCGTGGGGATATCCGGGAGAGAGCGGGGAGGAATCGTACGCAGGGGAGAGGACAGGACACATCAAAGGAGGATAGAACAGAGCGGATAAAAGTATGTTTGGTGGATTAGAGAATTTCTAAAACAAAAGAGAGAGAAGAGAGAGAGAGAGAGAGAGAGAGAGAGAGAGAGAGAGAGAGAGAGAGAGAGAGAGAGAACCCCAGAACAAAAAAAATGGGTCAGAACCAGACAAGCCAAAAAAATTAGGTTACAGACGTGGCAAATGCAAAAAAAAACTTACGAGTTAACCACATGCAGCTGGATAAAAACTGACAGCTCGCTTACAAATGAGTGCCAACACACACTGCACGGTATCGAGCCGACTGCGCCCACCTCCCCTCCCCCGCACACACACCCTGTGACCCGTCCCCGAGATCTCGTCGCCCCGGCGCGGTGTGAGTATACGTGACCGTTTTGAGCAGACCGGAACTCCGCCACGCGCCGGCCAAAGGTCACTTCCGGGTCATACAGCGCCAAAGTTGAGACCTTAGCGACCCAGAGTTTGGATCCGGCATTGAGATCTTTGCTTGCATTAGTTATAAGTCACTGGAGACACTCTTGTGTTATTTCTAGAAGCTGAAACGTATCCAACCAATGGGCGCTATTAGATATAATAATTATTTTCATGTGCAGTTTTTTCTTATTATTGGTCCGTGAAACATTTCAATAAAGAGGAAGTTGAAAACAATTTCTTGTGATAAAATACGTGTGCATAAGCAATTCTGGTTTATCATTAATCAAAATTAGTTGGCTCTATCCACGCAGAGCATCTGCATATATTTGATTTCAAGCGCGCTGGAAACTCAGTCACAGCACGACCATATGCGCGACTACATACATTACATATGCGCAGCTGAAACCAGCGGAGTTTTCAATAGTGTCACGGAGCGAATGCAGACGACGCGCCATGGCTCAATCGATCGCATTAATCTGTGGTTTGGTGGGCGGTGGACGGTGGTCACCACAGTCGTCGGCGAACTGTCGACGGTGGGTGGTGGACGGTGGACGGCTGACTGTGGACGGTGGACGGTGGATGGTGGACGGTGGACAGGACGGCTAGGCCTTGGGCGGGGGATATTGGATGACTCAGTTTCAGAGACAAATGCCGCCCATTTCCTGTCGATTTGTTCAGAGTTCGGCACTCAGGTCATTCTCTCGACTGGAGTCGCCCTGAGGCAGTGCCCCCCCCCCCCCCATAAGCACAGTCGAACGCGGCTGGAATTACACCAGCACTCGCACCAAACTGCGCCCAGTCGGTAAACAGGGAACGGGCCGAGACTCGAATGGAAAACAATCGGTCTCACTGCGCCAGAATGGTAACAATGGCAATACAAAAGGCCTACAGCTGAGCATAGATCGAAATAAAATTTACAGCAGGCTGAAACGTAAAATATTTTATTTTATATTCCTTTCACGATTACAGCGAATATTTATATCAAGAACCGCATCGATTACCTGTGACGTTAGTCGATATGTCATTTAAACATATGGTTATATGATATATTTCAGAGGCAGTTTATCGACTAGACATTCTAGCCGTCTGGAGCCGGAGTGGATTTATTTCAGCAGGAATGCAAAATAGATTCCATCAACAGGCCTGCGATTTTGCGGCAACCTGCATGTTTCGGCCATATATCTGCGCTAGTCACCGTTTTGGACCCGGGAATAGACTGTCGGCTTGCGAGACTGTCTCGATTTGACTGATGGCTTAGAAAAGACAATGAACCACCCACGTCTCCGTCCATAAAGCCTGGAAATGACACCTCCAAATGATACTTAAGTCCGCCATAAGTAAGAAGTTTACTTCTCACTGAAGTATTCATTATGCTCAAGTCTCAACAAGTTTGTGAGTTATGACTACCTGAAAAAACAAACAATTTAGCCACCTACCACGTCGAAGCACCCATCAACTGTCTTTATTTTGAGGCAGGCCTTGTATGTATGGCTTTTCAAGGTTTGGGCATGCTGGGTAAAAAAAGCGTGGTTAGCGGACGTCGTTAGGTCAAATCACCATTGACTGTGACGCTCATTCACATCATGCCGGCCATTTAATGGCACCTTCATTGATTCCAGACGTGGTGGCTATTTCGACAAATTACTGTACCAAATTCAATGACTCACGAAAAGGAATTCAATGATTCACGAGGCAAAAACTTTGAATGGGCTCTGATTGAAGTAAGGCTGCTGTCGAAAGACGAGCACGCATGCATTCACCGAATGAAACTAAACTTTGGAAGAAGTTATAACTCGTGCAGCCGCGCCGGAATGGGGTTTCACTTCAAGTTTGTCAATCCTAACTCAGTTTTGTTTTTCAGGCTATAGCTTCGATTTGGTACCTGATGAACTGCTGTTTATCGATGTGATCACTGTCCATTGAACGGGCCAATTTCATGGACACCTTCACCGCAGCACACAACGGCTCCTCGTCTGCTGACCACCTTGAGCATAAAATCATAAATCCATTGCCAAAAAAACTAATTTCGAGAAAGTGAACTATTCCCCATAAACAAATTAGTTCCAAAGCGTCAATTCTAAAGCGTCGTAAGATTTATTAATTACTTCCTTCTTTCGTCGACGAAACTCCACTGCGAGTTTCTCTGCGAAACTTATTTCATATGGAGCCGGCTATTTTTGCGGCGCCCTTCCGATTCTATTGGCGCTGACAGGAAGAACGCGGTCAGCTCGTCCTAGGCTGGCTCCCTTCAGTAGAACGGCTGCTGAGCGGTGCGGCCATATAGGAACCTTGCTTTCTTTTTCCAACTTACGGGTGTGTTTTATTGTGGGGTGAGTAGAATGTAAGTTAAGTTAAGTAAAAAAGGTGTAAGTCATTTTGGTATTCACAGGGTTCCACTCATTCTCTTTAGATACCTCTACATTAAAAATGAAGCTTACGTTAAAAAAGGAAACATGATTTTACAAAAGGAAACGATGCAAAACGTGATGAGCTTATGTTTTTGTGTCCAGCATGTATCAGGTCTGACAACATCAAAATCTTCCAAATCCGAGGCACGCACCAAAAGCCAAAATTATCTAGCACGCATACCTATAATCCAGAACTCCACAACGCTCACTGTAACTCCGTTTTTTCTGCCTTCAGATGTCTCTGTCGGTGGTGCTGGTGACGGTGCTGGTGACGGTGGTGCTGATCGGTCCGGCGGCCGGCCTCGACCGGCCCGTGCAGCGTCCGTGCGACTTCAATCCCATGTGCTCGTGTGCCGTGCTGGCCGGCGCTGGCGGGGCGCACACACAACAGGTGCGCTGCGTCGGAGTGCCCTTCGGAGTCCTGCCAGGTGAGTTCACGGGCCTGAGTGCCCTTCGGAGTCCTGCTAGGCGCATTGCATTCCGTGGTATTATAGATAGAATCTCGTTAGAATCCTTCTGGTAAAATAACATGATAATTTTCCTATATTTTCAAATAAATTGAGCAATAACGTGCGGAGTAAAGATTTATTCATCATGGCCTTGCATTTATCTTCATATACTGCAATACAACTGTAGCGCCGCTTGCGTGACTGCTCCTATAAGACAAATTTCACAATAACGTCATGCACCCTTGTTTGACGATGTCCCTTGAATGAAACATTTTGAATCAAAAACCCATTTTGAAGGACATTGAAAACACTTTGGTGAACTTCTCTTTTACTTAGCATAAAACCGGACACATTTTTTTGTCCAGGCGAGTTGTAGCGCAGACTACCAGCCGTTCCGTCGTTTTTCGTCGACAGCGCTGGCCAAATTCGTCATTCTTCTCTTCACTTGACGACTCGGTAATTCCGCGTCCACGAAGGGACAACGGCGACAGTTTGACCATCGAGCGAACTCATAACTGCCAAAGCGGGTCACTGCAGTGTGCTGCTGAGCACATGGTGCTCACAGCCGTGGCGGCTACAGTAAAAGGCAGAGTTGGGGTCTGGAGGGGATAGAAAAATGAATAAGAATCTCAAAGAAGTTGCTGTGAAGTGAAGGCAGCTGGATTTCAGCTCATTCAAAGAAAAATGACAACACTGATTACTGTCGCGTTGATACCGGGTGACTGGGCTGATTGGCTGTCCCGGGCTGCTGATGATTGGCTGGGCTGCCATAATGCTCCGATCGGTATCGTATCACAACATGGCCCTCCCCTCCCCTCCTCACTGCAGCCCCTATCACCGTAGCGCTACTCAGTACCTCCGGGTGGACGTTCGATGATGGTGCCCTGCCGGCCTCTCAGATGCTATCAGTCGACTGAGCCGAAGCAGGGCATTGTGCGCACCCCATTGCCTTCGACACTTACCCATTACTCGGGGCCTCTCAGCAGATAACTGCCCCATTCTGAGCGACGGTAAACGAGCGATCGACGCAGGAAAATCACCGATCTCTCTCTCTCTCTCTCTCTCTCTCTCTCTCTCTCTCTCTCTCTCTCTCTCTCTCTCTCTCTCTCTCTCTCTCTCTCCCTCTCTCTCTCTCTCTCCCTCTCTCTCTCTCTCTCTCTCTCCCTCTCCCTCTCCCTCTCCCTCCCACCGTACTTGGAATGCTAGCTGATCTCACAGTACTAAAAAATCAGCTGTGAACGTCCTACTAGCCTTGTTCCATTGAATTCCCAATTAGGACTTCCTCATTTCAGATGCACGTTTCCCGAACGAGCCCTATACCGACTTCTCTCATGCTTATTCTGGTGTCGCCGCTCTCTCCCAAACAGATGTGCGGTACGTTCTATTTGCTGTGCCAGTTTTCCAAACAAGAGTTCCGGTGCGGCGCGGCTCCCCGGCTCCACACTCGCCTGCCGGGCTGAACCGGTGCTGATTGCTGATTCTCGCACACGAACTCCGGTGACGGGGAAGTTAGCGGACGCAGCCCGGCCGCTCTCCGCGGGCGCCGCCGCTCGTGTGGATGGAGAGCGCCCGAGAGGATCGTTTGGGGATAATGTTCCGCCGGGGGGTACGCATGAACTGCAGAGGGATACTGCCCTTGGAAATCGTGCGGCGCTCTGGAGTTTGTTTTGACATTGTTTTGAGTCGGAGAAACTCTGAAAGCTCTGGCCAGATTGGCAATCCGTGAAGTGTCGTCGGAGGGCCGAGTGCGTCCTTTTCCCGGGGTTAAGTAGACATTTCTCGGGCTGTGGTGTTGTTCTGCAGCGGTTCCAGAGCCATTGTAGCAAATGTTAGCGTAATGTCGACTGTTTGTAGCACTGTGTGGCTCCACGTTCCTAAAACAGCACCACCGTAAATTCCTATGTGTGGGGCAACCTGGATAGGTTTTGCCCAGGGATGCGGAGCCGGAGCCGGAGCCGGAGCCGGAGCCGGAGCCGTGAAACAATATAGCCCGGAGCCGGAGCCGGAGCCGGAGCTGTCAAAAAAGGGGGCGACTCCGGCTCCTTTTCTTAAGAGGAAACAATTATTTACCTAGTTCGGTTTGACAGTACAAGGCGTAAAACAACGTGGTATACAAAATAGCCTTGTTATACAAATACAGAAGCAACGTGTACCAATCCCATCGCCTTTTTTCTTCCACCCGTATTTAATTGATCGCATAGGGGATGTACTGAGCAGAAGCCGGAGGCGGAGCCGGAGCCGCCGGAGCCGGATCATTTTACTCGGAGCCGGAGCCGGAGCCGGAGCCGCCATGACATTTCACCCGGAGCCGAAGCCGGAGCCGGAGCCGATTTTTTTTTATCCGGAGCCGGAGCCGGAGCCGGAGCCGTCTGAAATTTCCACGGCTCCGCATCCCTGGTTTGCCATACATGTGTTGGGAATGGTGTTGATTTTTTGCAGATAAATTATTTCAAGAATCTCGAATATCTGTGACAATGCTTGCATTTCGAATAAATAACAGCTATTGCTTAGATATTGTAAACGACCTAAACCATTAGGCGTAACATTGTATATTTAGATAAAGCAAAAATTATTAACTAACACTTTAAAACAACCTAAATACGACCAAACAGCCCAAACTGATGCCTGGTTCTGTCACATTGTCACAAAAGTTGTGACAGCAGCAACATAGAAGGAAATGATGAGAAGTTGGATGTAAATATGTTGCACCGTGAATTCACTAATAAGCTACCAAAAGCATAGCTGATACCTAAATTATTTAAAAACCATTTAATGATCAGTGTCGTTAATCAGCACCGTCCTGTGCTGGTTCCAGACCTCCCTCTGGGTCCGCTGGCGTCCATCGAGCTGATCAACTCTGGCCTGGAGCGGCTGGACGAGGACAGCTTCCGCGGAACCCGGGTCGAGACGCTGCGCCTGATGAGCAACCACATCACCTGGATCCACCCCGCCGCCCTCAGGTAGGTGATCTTAACCCTCGCATGTGTAGGGGGGGGGGGGTCGGATGGACCCCCCCCCATGGTTTTTCGCGAATAACTCGCGTAAAAAGCGGCCGATCGCGACGAAACTTTCAGTACCCTCGCATTGATCAATTTTACACCTACCCTGAAAATTTCATGACCCTGACCCAAATGACCTTTGACCTGTGACCTCTTTTCCGAGACCATGTTTGGCCGGAATCGCGATTTCGCGTATGTCGGCTCGCACTAGCCGCGTGTTTGCAAGCTTTTCGTGGTTTCAAACGTTCAAACATGTGATTTGATGTTACTCCCGTGTGTGTCAAGGTCACCTGAAGGTCAGGTCAGGTCATTGACCTTTGGTGACCTCGGGTGACCTCGGGTCACTTTTTCGAGTTTTACATGTTTCTAGGCTAGTTTTTGGAGCTGAATTCGAATTTAGCAACCATTTGAACATTTACGAAGTAGTTTTGGTGACTTCGTAACATGTTACGAAGCTGTCAGAGGCGGTCGACACGTACTACGAATACCCGTCACGACGCCTACTGGTTGACCTGACCTGACCTGACCCGACCTGGTCTAAATGCTTCAAGACATCATCTGTGATCAAAACTAACACGATATTCGTGATCAGCACCCCGAAAAACCCCTTAGCAGCCACACTTTACGACTTTCTACCAGGTCCCGATTTCCCGACTTTGGGTCATTGATCTGACCTGGAAGGTCAACCAATGACCTAGGACCTTAAAATTGGGTATCATCGGCTTCCTCTCGTCACGGGCAACACGCTCGTTTTTTCCGCGAAGCTCTAGCTCGATCAGGGGCCAAACGGCAAGGGGGGGGGGTCCAACCGACCCCCCCTACACATTAGAAGCTGGCAAACGCCGCACACATGCGAGGGTTAATGTCGACCCGTCGTCCTGAGGTCAGTGACCCTGGGACCCACCCCGCCACCCTCAGGTAGGCGTTATCTTTGGGTTAACCTTGACATCAGCGACTTATGGGGGTGGGACTTCTGGGGGCTTTCGCCGACATGTCGTCGTTGACATGGCTATCATCTGAAGTTTGTAAGTACTTCATGGAGTGCGAATGCAAACAAGTTCTTTCTTAGTAAGCCGTAGGCAGTTGCCAGTTGCCACATCCAGTCCACGTATAAAAGTTTCCAGCATATAACTAAACTTTTGAAACCTTTGAGGCTATACATTATGAAACGATTAATCTCCTATAAATAGAAGTTTCCAAGCTTTCATTGTCATTCGTGTGGTTGGTTCAAAGAATGGCCGGTTCTCTACACGCCTCATAGTGCCAGCAGAACCTAAAAGTTCCACAAAAGATTAAGAACTTTCACCTTTTAGCATTCTCGGCTACCCTCGAGCCCACTGGTGTCAAGGAATTGAAGCATATATAGCAGCATCCGGGCCAAAAATGGACACCTTTTCCGAGCCCGAACCAATTTTAGCCAGCCAGGAGTCCAGAGGTCCAGACAAAGGTGGTGGATCAAAAGTACGCACTCTTCGTGCTTGTAAAACCAGTAGATGTATAATTCATAAATCGACGAAAAAATCACGCAACATATTGGGTAACAACTTTTCTGCACCGACGGCATTGATCACCGATATCTCCATCCATCACAGATAGGTAAAGCAGCGCTATATTGGCTGCGCTGTTATGGCGGTGTTACGGTTTCCTGCGCCGCTGTACCGCCGTTACCGGCTCCTGCACCGATAGCAGCTGGTGTGCAGACTCGTCATTAAAGGCACCGGTCGGCGCCCAATCGCTGACAAGTGGCGCGACTTCCCCATCAGTGCCCCCTCGAAACTCGCCGGTGCCGTGGAAGCGACCGCCGTATAGCCGTCCGTCACGACCAGGGTTAATGACCACCCAGCGCCAACTGCAGGCCCAAGTCGGGCGCCGATTTTCCACGAGAGCGTAGTAGCCGTGACCGGAAAGCGCTAAATTCATGGGGTGCGCGCTGCAATGAGCGACATCCGTGATCTTTCTCCTAGAATACTGTCTCCCCTTTCTTTTGAAGGGTCTTTGACGATGCAGGTCGTTTTATTATCTCAGTTGAGAAGAGGTAGAATGCATTTAAATAGACAAGGGCGTAAGGAGTTTATCGACATCTGCACGGTTCCATGTAGGATTCCGGAAAGGTTTGGTTGGAGCTCCACAGCTCCGATATAAAACATGAGTTTCTTCACCTATAACCCTCGCCGGACCTATTGGTTTTCTACATACGCGCCGGCCGAGGGGGGGGGGGCGGGTACGACCCCCCCTCGCCGTTTCGCCCCTGGTGGAGCTAGCGCGTCGCGGAAAAAACGAGCGTGTGCGCCGTTACGAGACGCAGAGATTGGTACCCGATTTTAAGGTCCTAGGTCAACCGGTGACCTCTGAGGTCAGGTCAAGTGCCCCAGGGTACGGTTAAGTTTTATGTGAATAACTTCGTAAAAAACGGCCGCAGAGCCGCGATTTTGGCAGCATCGTGTTCGCCTTGATCAGGCGCGTCGAATGATATACTTTTTGTCCGGGTCAGGTCAACTTGGGGTGTTGACCTCAGGTCAAGGTCAGGTCAGCACCCCCAGGTCACGAAGTTGGTCGAAAGAGGTCATGTCGCATATCATTCGATTCGGCAGGTCTTCCTGAGTCCATTGGTGGCTTTCCCGACTCGCTAGCTCAATTTGATCGGAAGTTATTGACGAAAAACTAATATGACCTTGATGACGTCATAAATGACGTCACGGAAGGTCAACATTGCAAAAGTGACGCATCTAACCTTGCAAGGAGTGCATCAAATCACGATTCTGTGTGCTTGAGATAGTTGGAGATCGTTCCCGGCGCCAGAATAGCAGTTTGAATTTTTCCCCATTGACTTATAATGGTGAGGTCACGAAAATGACCTGACCTCATATGACCTTTAGGAAAAATCCGAGATATACAAGTTGTGAGACTCATAATGGATACTAGATCCTGCAAGTTTCATTTCCCTGTGACATCTCCTCTGGCAGTGAGGGCGTTGCGAAGTTGCGACATCTGAAGACCGTGCAGAGGTTCACTTATGACGTCATAGGTCAGTGACCTGACCTGACCCAAAAATGCGGTTGGTGTCAAAAGATGCGGCTTGGATCAAAGGTCAGGTATGCCAAGTTTCAGCTCTCTATCGCCAGCGTGTTCGGAGCTATCGCGAAAAAACCCTATGGGGGGAGGGCGGCACCCGCCCCCCCCCCCTCGGCCGGCGAGGGATAATACTACTGCATTGTATCTGCATGCACATTGCTAGGTGCTAATCGATATCGGATTCGTGAATCGTCCGCGTTTTACCTGGCGCCAGCAGTTCCATTCATTTGATCAATACAGTATTGAACCAGCTCGTGCGGTTAACTCACTGCTCTTTCTCAGGTCGGTGGCCGGATCTCTGATTTCCATCGACGTCAGCTTCAACCGGCTCTACTCGTTGCCGTCCGAGATGTTCCGCGCCATGAGCAACGTCAGCTTCGTCAACCTGCGCGGGTCAGTGACCTCAGTGTCTCCAGGGTGTCCCGAGAGAGAGAGAGAGAGAGAGAGAGAGAGAGAGAGAGAGAGGGAGAGAGAGGGAGAGGGAGAGGGAGAGAGAGATGGGAGAGAGAGAGGGGGAGAGAGAGAGAGAGAGAGAGAGAGAGAGAGAGAGAGAGAGAGAGAGAGAGAGAGAGAGAGAGAGAGAGAGAGAGAGAGAGAAAGAGAGGGAAGGACAGACGGAGAGAGAGGAAGGAGAGTGGCTCTAAGCTCCAGGTGTGGTCCGACACTGGTACAGTCGCCGTCTTTATTGCCTCTGCGCCGCCCGACGGTGAGCCTTTTCGGCGGAAAAAACAACACGCCCGGATTAGCTGACCAATCTGAGCCAATCCGCGGAGGCAATCAGATAGTGCGCCATTAGCAAAAAACAAGTGATCATCGGAGTGCCTTTTATTTGTTTTGGTTTCTTGCTACACTGTTAGAAATAGCTGGTCGCAGGGATTTATCAATACACGACTGATGGCCAATTGATGACTTGCAAACGAAATCACGGAGTACCTGGCTGTTATCCCTGAATGCCTCTATGGGCTATATCTCTTCCTGTGTCTTACCGGCCATTTTCTGACGCGACAGAAACTTTCTGAGCGAGCTGCGGCCGTCCGACTGGCGGAAGATGCGCCATTCGCTCACACAGGCCTTTGTTGGTGAGAACGAGCTGTGCAAGCTGGAGCCGGGCACCTTCGCCGGCTTCAGGCAGCTGACCACACTCAACCTGGACGGCAACCTGCTCAAGGAGCTGCCGGCAGACGCGCTGCCCGACACGCTGCACATGCTGAACGTCAACAACAACCTGTTGACCCGGCTGCCGACCGCAGCACTTCACAAACTGCGCCGGCTCAACTGGCTCTATTTCCAGGGTGAGACGAGTGTTGAAAAAATCGGGAACAGCCTTGATGGTTACATGAAGTCATGAATTCTATAATAGTTATAGTTACTCATCAAAGTCATGAAATCTTACCAGAGTTCGTGGCATATTTCGAGCTAGTGGAAAGTAAGAAGCTTGTAGCTAAGTGGTCACTCTCGGAAGGATCCCTTATGTCCTCCTCCTTCAGGCCCGTTGTTAACCTCCGTTCGTCTCCCGCCGCCGCAGGCAATCACATCACCGAGCTGCCGGCCACCTCCCTGGGTGGTGCGCGCCGTCTGGTGGAGCTGCGGCTCTCCCACAACCTGCTCACCGAGCTACCCGGCCGACTGTTCAACGGCTCGACGCGCGTGCACGACCTGCACCTGCAGTACAACCAGCTGAGCGCGCTGCGCCGCTCAGCGTTCGCCGGCCTCCACCTGGCGCGCCTGTTCCTCGGCTACAACCGGCTCACCTGGGTCGACGCCGACGCCTTCCACGGGGTGAGTGGACCAAGGTCCACGTGGTGAGTGGAACATCGCATGTCTTCCACTGCGCGTGGCTCATCACTCCTGGCTCTTGGCCATTGTACCCGTTTCTGGGCGATACCAATGTTGTTGTTTTTGTTGATGATGTTGAAGTACCACCGCAGTAGGTTACAGAAAGTCCGTTCTCCCGTGCAGGTGGGCCACAGTCTGACCTTCCTAGATCTGGAAGGGAACCAGCTGATGGAGGTGCCGCCTGCACTGCGGACGCTCCGGAAGCTGCGCTTTCTCACACTGGCCAACAACGGCCTGTCGGAGGTGCCGGCGGGCGCGCTCATCCCCTTCCAGGACTCGCTGGAGTCTCTCAGTCTGGCAGAAAATCTATTGGAGAACGTGCCGGCAGCGGCTCTGCGCGGCTGCTCCCAGCTCACGTCGCTGAACCTCGACGGAAATCGTCTGCGCAATATCAGCGACCAGGACTGGGTGGGCTGGGCCGGGAAGCTGGTGCACCTCCTGCTACGAAACAACCTCCTGACGTGGCTCCCTGAGCGAACGTTCCAGGCGGCGCCCAACATCCGTAAGCTAAGTCTCTCTTTCAATCGGCTGCGGCACTTTACTTCCCAGTCACTGGCAGATCTGGCCAGTTCGCTGGTCAATCTAGAAGCAAGTTTTGCTGTTCAGGGGAGGGAGTTCCCCTACGAACTCGTTCAACCGCTCGCCTCGCTTCGATGGCTGGTGATGGACAATAATGGCTTCCGCAGGATAGGCGACAGCGCGTTGTACACGATGCCTGAGCTGGAGTATGTGAACCTCGAGTCAAACCGGCTCCGCTCGCTGCCCACCGCGCTGTTCCACAAAGATGTGCACAAGAAGCTGAGCGACGTGCGTCTCTCCTACAACGAGATCACTCGGCTAGAGAGGGAGACGTTCAGCGGTCTGGAGGGTCTGAACACCGTGGTGCTCATGGGAAATAAGATCTCAATGGTCGACAATCTGGCCTTTAGTAACCTCGTCAGACTAATCACAGTGACGCTGGACTCCAACCGAATCTCCGAGCTCGGCGCCCCGGCATTTCACGGACTGCCAAACCTCCTTCAGCTGGATCTTCAGAACAACCGGCTCCGGGACTTCTCAATGAAGACTTTCTTCAACGTCACCAACGAGCATATGCCGCTGACGCTGAACCTGAGCAGTAACGAGATCAACGCTCTGTATCCGTATCCGACGGGCACCCCGCTGTTCGTGAAGACTCTCGACCTCAGTCACAACCGTCTCATAGAGGTCCCGACAGGCTTCCTACAGGGTGTGTCAGTCTCACTCCGTCACCTCGACCTCAGCTTCAACGTCATTGAGCGATTGGATGGCGGCGCGTTCTCGACGCTAGATAAACTCCAAGTTCTAAATCTGCGAGGAAACGCTATCCGTCAGCTGGACGAAAAGTCGCTGGAGGGCGTCGGCGCGGTGCAGATCCTCGACCTCAGCCGCAACTCCATAGCGCAGCTACCGGAGACGCTGCTGCGGAGACTGACCGCGCTGCGTCACCTCACCCTGGCGCACAACCAGCTGGAGACGCTGCCACAGCCACTGCTGCAGAACGCGCCGCTCGAGTCACTCGACTTGAGCGGTAACCGGCTGCGCGTGCTGCCCTCGGCGGCGCTGGCGGCCGTCGGCAGCTCGCTGGCCAGACTCGACCTCTCCGACAACCGTCTGGACCAGCTAGACGGCATCATGTTCGCCCGACTGCCGCGGCTCAGCCGACTCAGCCTGGCGCGCAACAGGCTCTCGGTGCTGCCGGACACGGTGTTCCTCAGCCTGCCGCGGCTGCTCAGCCTGGACCTCAGCGACAACCCGCTGCGCACCAACTACAAGGAGCTGTTCCACTATCTCCAACAGCTGCAGGTGAGCCAACCACAGCGCTGGCACCGATCGCCTTTGGTTAGTGGTGGCAAAGACATACCGATTGGGTCGATCTAACCGCACTTGCTCTTATTTCCAAAGTTATTTCACTGACTTTACAAACAGAATTCCCTCCGTAAGGTGAAATTGGTTTGTGCAAAAAAGATTGCCTGTAAGGACTGCTAAGAAGCTGTGACCCAACTATGAATTGATTATACTGTTTAGGCGAAAAGTTCCATCTCCACATAACTATGCCAGTCACCGAGCTCTGACGTCAGTGGTTTCCTGGCCACCTCACCCCGTTTCAGGAGCTGCGTCTGGCCTCCGTGGGTCTGGAGAAGGCGCCCGACCTGCCCCTACCGAACCTGGTACACCTGAACCTCTCCTCCAACGGCATGACGCAGATTCCGTTCGGATCGTTCGGCATGATGAGGAGCCTTCGGGTGCTCGACCTGAGCAACAACGCCTTCGCAGAGGTGAGGCTTCATTGGCACTCTGCGTGTGGAACAATAGCTCAGTTTTATGATATGAAGTCACGATTCCCACTAAAAACTGTTTTTTATCAGCCGCCTGTGTTTGACATAAGGGCTCATTTTGATAAATGTCGACTTCGTGGACGACGAAATGACATCACGCTCAGCATTCGTCTCTGATCCCCTTATCTGTCACCGACACTCTTGAACAGCACTCAGTAACACCCGGAGCAGACTTATTCGGTCGATTGAAATATAAGTTGAACGGAAGCTTCCGCAGCACTTGGTGACAACTGTTGCCGAGAAATCAGTTTCTGATGGTTCCTAGAAAATATAGCCTCAGTGAGTTGCTGTCGCCATCCGAGTGTTGCGTTCATACCGCATAAGACAGCCGTGAGCCCCACGTCATGTTTTCGCTAACCCGGTCAGACACTTCCGTGAGCTTGAGCGCAATGGATTTATGGAGACTGACGTTATTAACATGTTCCAGCGACCACCACGAGCTCATTGAGATCCCGTTTTTTTTCAGGTGCCCAGCAAAACCTGGATGCATACGCCTTTGCTGCACACACTCCACATCTCCGGGAACCCGGTGCAGATACTCAATGGTCAGTTGCCCGAGAGCTTCGGGATGATTTGGTGGAAATAGGTGTGTTGGGGGTAATATTGTTTGGTCTTCTGATTTAGGTATGTAAGTTTATATGGATACGAAAAATCACTTGGAATTCCATTTGAAACTTCGACTGTTTTTTGCTCTTGTCATATTCGACATCCACTTCGACTTATTCCCTAAAATGACAATGCAATATTGAGCAAAAATTCTGGAAATACTTGTTACGTACGATATCAACCTGAGTGAACTAAGCCTGTGCTTCTATTAAGACCACCGACAGCCCAATAAGCCGGTCATCACTGCCGGGTCGGGAGACGGGGCGTACCCTGTGACCTATCACCTGACCTCTGACCCGCCTCAGGCGACTCGTTCGCCGGGCTGGACCACCTGCGTGACCTGGGGCTGGGCGGACTGCACCAGCTGATCCGCTTTGACACGGACACACTGCTCGGCATGCGAGAGTTGGACACGCTGCGCATCACCACCTGCCCGCAGATCGAAAAGTACAGGTGAGAGGTGTTCGCTGCGTTTACCTGCCCATAGATCGAAAAGTACTGGGGATAGAGCAGTGCCCTGCGTAACACCATCCGATAGCCGATCGAAAAGGATAGGCACGAGATATATCCCGGCTTCAACTCTGTATCCACATATATTTTATCTTTTCTTTGCTATCATTCCCAAGTTCCTTTCTCCCTCTTATTCTTTTCCCGTCCCTCCCCTTCTTTATTTTCGCCTTTTCCTCGGCCCTCTTCCGGCGTCGCCTATCATCTGGTCTCCCGACCCATCCATCTCCCTTCTGCGGACACTGAGTCGGTTTCCCGTCAGATACGGTCACCTCCCCTCCCCGCGCCACGGTTTATCGTTCGCCGCCGGTCCCGCAGGGCACCACCACTCGGGTCAGGTCAGCCGTCCTAACGGCCGACCAGCCTCGTACAGAGCGGGCGCCGCCGGCCGCCGGCCCTCGCCGCCCAATGGAGCCGCCATCGGGCAGATATGCCGACCACGACGGGCACTCACCGGACCTCTACGACCTTTTCATGTCCCAGCTCGGTTGGTTTGATCTTTATGAAGGTTTTATTTTCCCACATTCAACTCGAATGTGGCATGATTTCGCCCCAAGTGCCCATGAATGCGATGCTTTAAACCCCACCAAACCGCAACAATTCTCACTCATATCTAGGCTCAACCCTTGAGCTAGATGGCTGTCAGAAACCGCCAAAACATTCATTACTATGAACGATGCGGCAATCATCATGCAGCTATGCGGCCACTATCTATTAGAAGAACAAAACCAAGCGTTGGGGCCAGATGGAACGGCTCAATAGCCCATCTCCGGAACAGGACGACCACAGAGGGACGCCCGTCCGGCGACCGATACAATCAGTCGCTGTTTGATATTCTCCGGCTGACCGAGAGAGTCACAGATGGATGCCGGCAGGCGCTCTCATAAGGCACAGATGGAATATTGCACTCCCGTATACCGCGCCGTCCGCATTGCACATAACGCCACACAGCCGACAGCAAATAGCGATTTATATGGTAATCGGGACGCATTATTTGACCAGTGTTATTGTTCCCAGTATGTAGTCATCATTTTATTGGTCAGTGGGGTGAGAACGTGCGCCCGCAGTGGATGGATATGATCAAAGGTCGTGCAATTGTGTCATGCGTTCACGTCTTCCGTCTTCATCACTTCTCTCCTTGCTCATTTTCATCAACTGCAAAGAAACAGCCACAGCATTATCAGTCAGTTCAATGGTCCCAACTGACCTATGTATAGTCGGTCAAATATGTATCTTTCCCGGCCGCCAAGTGGCGCTACGGTCTGGATTCGATAGTTGGCTGAGCCCACACCCCAGCTGCCCTGGCGGCTCTGGCGGCCCTGTGACGTCACGCGCGGGGGGCGGAGCTACACAGCGGCCGGCTGGAGTGACCGCAGACCAGCACTGGACGGCCTCGCCGCCGGGTGCTCCGGCGGGTCTGGCCGGGAGAGGCGAGCAAGCGGATGCGTTAGGAATCTAACGAATGTGAGGGCAGCGCGATGGTCTAATGATGGCTGTGCTTTCATGCGCCGTGTAAATTGTAGACTGAGTGCTATGAGCTATCAAAGGATTATCTGGTGTTTCAACAGGGGTCGCTGACCTAAAAATTAAGATGGTTGCTCTTGATACGATCGAATGCTTGGTGATATGATGATTAGCGCAAGAGAAATATTTAATCGAATTATGACCGGTTATTTACGACCGGCCAATTATTTATTTATGACCGGCCAACTTGATGTGCGATTTCTGCAACCGTTCTACCCTCATCACTCAACTGAATAATTCTCCCCTTTTCAAAAACGGTGCAGTGATACGGCATCTCAAACCTAGAGCGACTACACTCAAGTTCAAGCTAACGGTCTCCACTCTCCAATTCGGATACCTATCGAAACCTTTCCGCGACCCGGTGCTGTGGCTCAATCAGTGGGCCAGCTGGCCGCAGACCATAGGCGCGGGAGCCGGGGGGGCAGTGGGGGCAGCTTGCCCCCCCAACTCTGGGGCCGTGGGGGCGGTGCCCCCACAGCTTTGAGACGGAATACCACACTTTTTTTGCAAATGTTTTCTTTTTTTGTTGAAAAATCCGAGGGGTGAAAAATAAGTGGCCTAAAACCGGTGAGAAACCTAGATTTGGGGGTACCCTAGTTTAATCTCTATTATGGTGTGCCCCCCCAGTCGGAAAGTAGTTCCCGCGCCCCTGCCGCAGACCATACCCGCAGGGCATGAACCTTTGACCATATTAGGTCAACACGCCGTGGCCCCAGCCCGCTCGCCAGGTCCGCGCTCATTGGCCGACGCGGCAACCGCACAACCTGTCCCCTCCCCTCCGTAGTACTCGCAGCGGCCGGCGGATTCAGCCAAGTTACCGACCTGCCCAGCGTGGGGTGGGCCGGCCGGGAAAGATACATATTTGACCGACTATACGAGTAAGTACTTCCCCACCGTCCATGCCGTCTCTCCAGGTTCCGACTGGGCGGTGTCCTGAACGGCCTCCAGTCGGTGCGGCGTCTTCACGTCGAGGTGCGGGAGAACAAGCTGGACGACCAGCTGTGGGGCGGCTTCGGACCGAAGCTGACGGAGCTGCGACTGACCGGCGCCAGCCTGCGACAGGTCGACCCGGAGGCCTTCAAGGTGGGGGCTCTGCTGAGCGGGCCGTTGGCAAGTGCAAGGGTGCAACCGGTGGGGCCGGTGGCAAGTGCAAGGGTGCAACCGGAGACTGGAAACAAGCGTGATATATAGAATAAAGATGTAATTCATCATATGACTAACTGATTTTCGTACAGAGTTTCGTGTGAACAGCGTTACAACACAGGCCGTAAATCGTCGGGAACTGACAAGCAGAACCTGCACTGTCTGCGTCGCTGATGGCTGTCGGCGCTGTGCTCCCGCAGGGATTCCAGGGCCACCACGAGCTGGTGCTGCAGCTGACGGACACCTCGGTGTCGGAGCTGCCGGACGACCTGCTGCGCCACCTGCGACACGTCACGGCGCTGACACTCGACCTGCGCAGGAACCGACTCATCAACCTCAGTCCGAGCACCCTGTACCGCAACGGCTCCGACTGGGAGACACCCGGCACACAGCTGGTCAAAGGTGAGACACCTGACACACAGCTGGTCAAAGATGGGAGCCCCGGCACGCAGCTGGTCAAAGGTGAGAGCAACGGTGCGCAGCTGGTGAAAGATAGGAGCCGCGGAACGCAGCTGGTCAGAGGTGGGACCCCTGGGACACAGCTGGCCAAAGATGGGGCTCTAGTAACGCAGACGGTCAAAGGTGTGACCCTCGGGCCTCACAACACAACTGGCCAAAGGTGACAACACCGGTATATGTTGGTCAAAGGTGGGCCTGCATTCTGCAATGCGCCGCACATGCGGTCGATCGCGTCTCAACTGCCCGAAGGTCAGCGAAGACAGTGTGGGCAAGTAACAACGAAGTGAACTTTCAGAGAAAAAGAGCACGGCGCCTTGTGAGGAAATTGTGTGGGAGATAGCACATCGGGTGAGCTATCAGATATAAAAAGCACAGCAAAGTGCATCCTGGTCCTTTGTCGAGCAGAGGCACAAAGAAGATCTAAAGTGCAAAGGTTAAGAGGTAAATGTCTCTCACGGTTCTGGGCAAGGACAAAGGTCAAATGCTGGCCGTCGACGTGTTCAGGAGACGTCGGAAGCACCCACACAAGACGAGCAAAATACCAAGGCGCCTGAAATACCATTCTCGAGAGAGGAAAACAAAAAAGTGATCGGGTAAATACCCGGGTTTCTATTTTCAGTAAACCAACATACGTGCCACGACTAGGTTTGGTCTGGTACGATGCAAAGTGCAGTATCATTCAGGCCCATGATTCCCAAACAGTCTTTACCGGGCGATGAACCAATGAGTAGTGACCGCGCTGATACTGGAGACAAAGGCTGAGAGTGGCGGACATGAATTCCGCAGCGATCCTACCGCCCTCCCCCTAACGCCTTTCGACACCTCTGTGCCGCTATGCGCCCCACGTCACCGCCCTGTACCCACCACCGTCGGCCACCGCCGACACCACCACCCACTCACCCGTCCACCACCTGGGCACAACCCTGTATTTTCCACCGCCGCCCTCCACCTCTCCCCTCCGCCCCCACCACGGACGACCACCGCCCACTCTGGCCGGCCGAGCGGTGCCAAATGGCCCCCGGCCATCTGCTGTCGCCGCCACCAGCCGATACAAATGACACCCCGATCACCAGCCTTGTGCGACGGCACGACTCGCTGACGTGAATGGTAAACAAATCATTCAGGTGTTTTATTGAATGGCGTGACGTCATCGATGTCGTTTCTGTCGGGGTTATGTTTCCTTTGATAAGTTTCATTTGAGAAATGTAACGAAGGCACAGCATCGTCTTCGGCCATATAGCAGATTGCACTCATCAGTTTAGACTTGAACGCTGGACAGTCCTGGGACGGTATCAGTCGATCCTCGCCTGCAGTTGACGCCGACCTGCGGCGGAAGTGACGCAGGTCCACCCCTGATGACGTCACGGGTGCTGTTGTTTTCACTTGGCCACTGGCTGATGGCCTCCGGACCAGGTGATGCTGTCCCACTCCGGGAAGGACGCGTCACTCTGGTGTAATGAGTTCCGCCGACCACCGGAAATTGAGTAATGCAATCACTGCTCAAATCAACTGCGGCGCCTTGAGTAATGCGCACCTCCGTCTGAACTTAACACAGAAGCTGTCACGCTGACAATGAAAGGTCAAAAGTCGATTTAATATTCAATTGATTGCACCAAAACTCGGACTGCCTTGCGATGCAAATCGAGCAAATTCACAACACAGCCATCTGCATAAGTACATAGGTAGGTACATCTTCTTGTTCTTTCAGCATTTGTATAATAACACAAAAACGACCAGGCGCAGCATACACGGTTGCATAATCAACGTATTGCGATATGCTGCTAGCTTTGTAAATAAAGATTACACGATTGCATCGTTCTCCGTGCTATAGTTCATATGCTGAAACGTAAACTAAAATCAGTGATCAATCATCAATGTGAAAGGTCAAATACCCACCACACCGAGATGAGTACTCCGCACGGTTGACCTCTTCATTGTTCATTAGCAATCACAGAAGCAGAGCATTCAGCTGACCTAGATCGAACGTATGTCGACTGTGTGTTGATTTCATAAACATTTTCGCGGGAGACCCAAAACAGCGCCGTTCCAATCAGGGTCACATGGAAATAGGTCCGTGTGCCAAATTTTCCCCATTTTGTTCCGCCTCGTTAGCGATTTAACGCTCTGTTGGAGCCCCGGACGGGGGTGCTACACATTAACATATGGGACAGCCGACGGAACGACATACATTATCGGCATCACCCGTTCATTTGTGCCTGCGTGCAGAGGCTGCAAACATTAGCGCGGTTACATTTGTACCTAAGGGTTCTTAATTATCTGAAGCTAGCAGCCTACATTTTGGCTACCAGAAGGTGACTTACTGACCTTGATTTTTAAAAGCCCTTACCTAAATCTGCGTTTTGTACAATACGTACAAATTATTTTACAGCCAAAAACGGGTCATATTTCCAGTTATACCAGCCCCCACCGGTTGTTTGCCGTTTGCCTATTAAGGAGCCTCCTCTGTAGCTTCATCATTTATCAGCAGTAGTCATTACGCCCCTGCATCAAACACTACAGTCCTGTCTGTGGAGTGTCGGGTAGCACAGCAGTACGGTTGGTCGCACGGCTAGAGACGAGAGCTGACACAGAGCCGGGCGTCTCTCTCAGGTAACGAGCCTAATTTGGCGCCGGCCGGCAGCGGGCATCATTAGACGGGCGGCCGGCGTCATTGATTTCCAGACACCGTGCTCTTCTCGGCCGGCCACGGACGTCCCCTTAGTGTCCGGGAAGAGGAGGGGGAGGGGACGGCACGGGAGCAAGGAGGCAGGAGGACGGGGTACCGAGTGAAAACAAAAACTCAGCGAGGGCAGAAGTGGTAACTTTGCTGTCACACTTTGCTGTCGTAAAGCAGAGTGTGAAGCTCAGGAGGATAAATTGCAAGTGCAGTGCTATCCCAGCCTGTTCCTGATTCCCGGGCTTTCTATCGAGTGACTACAGCGTCTGACCACGGCTGACGGCTGAGCCCGTGGGCCGCTGGGTCTGCCGCTGTGTCCAGCACCAGTGACCCTCTGTCCGGCCGACCCGGCGCTGACCGGCTCCTGATGACCCCTGACCCTCCGGCGACGGAGCGGCGCGCTGGCAGACCAGGCGGCGCTCACTCAGACCCCGACAGCCCATCCCTTTCCCTCCCGGCCCTCCCACAGAGCTGACGGACGACCCCCATTAACGATGTTGCCGCCGGCAAAAACGATCGCGCTCGATGCCGCTCTGCCAGAGCGTTCTTTGATGACGGCACGCGCAAGAAGTGTTTGATCTTATTTATATTTTCTTTTTCAAAATACGTTCGTCAGGTGAACAGAAAAGGCTAACCGCTGTTAGCAACTTCTGCAGCCCGCATGCAAATATTTGCCAGTTAAATAAGCGATTATGAACCGAACCTCAACGCAGTCTGCAAATGTGCAACCGATAATACCAACTAGCTTTGAACGGTGGGCTGCACAAAAATGAGTCGATAGGACGAGCCTGCGCCTACAAGTCTCGATAGGACACAACCTCTCCATCCAAACCTGCTCAAAATCATTTGCATGTGCGATGCGGGGGTCATCTTTTCACTCCTAATTCCGTTGAAAGTTCCGAAGTAGCAATCACAAGTGTTGTGGCGCCCGTGGGCGTCGCCACCGACGCCACACCCCTGTGCCGATTCCCGCCCAACGCCATAAAAAAGAGCCGGGTCGATCGTCCACATGGCTGCCCACGGGCTGTCTAAGCTCCGCAATGCCCCAGTTTCTGGCTAACCCACGCAGGGACGAGGGAGGCGGATCAGATGCCTTACAATAGAAAAAGGAGAAATTTTTGTCACCTGAGCCACAGTCCTTTCCCAGGACTGGATAAGTTTGATTGGGGACATAAAATGATATTTTACCACTGGATCGACTTCTGAAAAAAGTCAGGAAACTCCCACCGCCGCGCCGCGCCGGCCGATTCTCTCGCGGTCGAGCAGAACCTGGGAGGTAGACTGCGCCGCACGACTCTCATGTACTGCGGCACAGCCTACCCTCCAGAGCCGGAGCAGTCGGCGGCGGGCGACACAGCTGACCGACTGAGAGAAGGCAGCGCGACGAATCGCTCACGAGGGGGCCGCACACTGGTGGCGGACGTGCATTTGGCACGGTGCCGTTCCCGGCGGTGAAGACGCTGTTGATGCTTCCGGTGGTAATGGCTCGGCCTCGACCCTGAGCGGGCGATAACGGCGGTCAGCACCGCTCGGCTTTCCACGGGATCGATCAGTTCTGCTGCGGGGATGTTTCTACCGCAGATCGGTAGATGTAGGCTGTAGGGAAATACATTGAGGGGTGAGAGAAGCCGTCATCTTACATCGAGAAGATGTAAGAAGAAAAGAAGAAAAGAAGGGAGACGGTGCCTAAGCTTTGAAAATTACACCGAAGTACTGTAGCCTTGTGCTCGGTTCCGGTAACCTGTTTTCAATATTCGTTTGCCGTTTTGAGATAGTGCTATCTCATAACAAAGAAGCTGAAATCGATGAAGCCAAGTGCCAACTTTGCCTCCAGTTTTTTGTCTAAACGTGTCATGCTTCCAAGCCTGCTTTCAGCAAGCCTTTTATTCCCAGTTCCATATTCACGTGGCATTGACCACGGTGTCTGTGTAACCGTCGCCGTCTGTGTGTTGCAGGAGGTGTGGCCATGTAACCAGCACTGTGTCTGTGACTCTGTGTATAATGCAGGCGGCATCGCGCTCACCCGCAACCGGTGTGCTCTGTGCGACTGTCGGAGGCAGGGCTGTCTTTGTAACCCTCACTGTACGTTTGTCACAGGTGGTATCGCTCTGAGCCACAACCGCTGGGTGTGCGACTGCGGCCTCCTGTGGCTCGGTCAGTGGCAGCGGCGCTGGGTGCGCGAGAGCCTCCGAATCCACACGGAGGTGCCGAGAAACGCTCAGCACGTGCAGCGACTGGTGCGGCAGGCCACCTGCACCGACCTCAGGTCAGTGACCAGTCACAGACCACAGACCACAGACCAGACCACCTCTACCGACCTCAGGTTACTGATCAGCCCAAGTCATCGACGACAAGAGACAAAAGCCCAGACCACGCATAGGATAGACTATGCACAGGCCACACCATAAACAAGACCAAAAACGACCAGACCATAAACAGACCACACCACGGGCCAGATTACAGCCCAGCCCAGACGGCAGGCAGGTTATTGGCCGTCCCCGCAACGGGATTACGGCTGCCAAATGATATTGGACGGGGGCCCTGATGTCCGTCTCATTAGCACTGTCTAATCATTGTGTCAGAGAGCCGGGCGAGCGCGGCCGTCCAATTTATCCTGCAAGATAACTAGCTGCTATTCTGAGAGATTTTCTGCGATGATAAATGCGTAGCATATGGGCTTGGGCCATCTTGCTTGTTTGAACAGTGAACTCAAGCGTTCTCATCACCGATGTTTAGCTGCACAGGCGTCATTCGGTGCGCGCTTAGTCAACTCTTCCAGATCAACTTCCACCTCTGACATTGAGCTGAATCCCTCCCCGCCTCTACAGGACCGGTGCCGAGACGCCCATCATGGACCTGCGAGCCGAGAATCTCCACTGTCGGATAGGAGCCACAGACGCCGGCGGCCGGCCGGCCGGCACCGGCAGTCTGCTGCTGCTGCCGCTGCTGCTGAGCCTGCCGCCCCTCCTGCGCCGCGACCTCCTGGACGTGACGTAGGACCGGACGTCGGACAGAGGTGTGACGCATGCTGTGACACTGACGTGACCGTGACGCCCCGTCACAGGCCGTCACAAGGCCGAGCCGTCCCGCTTGGAGGCGGAGCGTCACCAGAGTAGAGGCGAGGGCAGCAGTCTCGCCCAAACCGGTCCAATGTTCCTCGTGTTGATGGAAGAGTTTTAACACAACGCAGTTGTTTATAGTGTGGACGTGCCGGCAATGTTTTTACGCAAACACTGTAATATAGCCATGTTGTAAATTAATTGCTATTGCTGTTGAGTTTGTGTGCAATGTATTGAGCAGACCAGGCACGCGAGCGAATTTTATGGTAAGGTTCAACAAACTCGTCAACTCAAAGGCCAATACTGGAATTATTCACAAAACATCGCGCAAAAGTCCGAAACGCACAGTTTTACTTGTCCTGGATAGCCCAACCGTTCACGTCCTAATCGCGAGGTAGCTCTGACGGCTCTCTGGACAGTCGACTCAGTCCGAACTCGGCCGCCGCCCGATGCCCGGTGCTCGGTGCGCGTGTATCTGTGTGCGTCCGTGTCCGCCGGCGGCGCCGCCAGTGGAGCCGCCGGCCGCCGGTGTCAGTATTGATCCGGGTGACCTGGCCCGTGTGCCCGCCGGCCGGCCGCGCCGCCCCTAGCCCTTGTGACGGTCAGCCAGCCGCCGCCCGACACCGCAGCACGGTCGTTACAAAGGGCCAGAGCGGCGGACACCACCGGACATGCAATCAAATATCCCGCGGAGAGCAGGGACACGGTGATAGCCGTTTATTTTTGTCGCCGTTGAGTGGCATGTGATCAGTGGACGCGCGTTGTTTGTTCATAGAATGTCTGGATGCGAGAGACGGGTGAATTGTGATGCCGATGCTTTCAGCTAGAGGATGTGCTAACCGTTAGTCCAGCAGCGCTGATGTCCCGCTATGAGAGGGCTCTGTCAAACGCAGCCAGTATAAGACCGGGGCCGATTCCGTGTCCAGCTCGGCCCGCCCGGCCGGACGGGCGTCATATGTTACTGCCGCGCGCTCCGGACAGTACGCTCTTAGCCTGATGGGGCTCATGTGATGCGAGACGCTGATGATAATGGTGATACCGCTGCTGATAGCGGTGCTCACGGAGTGTCTCGGGCCGCGCGGCTGGGCGATCGGACGGCCGTGTGCGGCTCGAGCGGAGTGTCGCCGCTGCCCCGGGTGATGCCTTGTTGACGGGGAGGGCGCCGCCGGCTGTCCCCCGCACCACATATCATTAGTGTAAGAGCCGAGAGTCCCGCGGACCGGCTGTGATCGTACCGCAGCGTTAAGCCCGCCGTGCCCCGTCTCGAACCTCCCGGACTGTGAGGATCCCCTGCAAACCTCGTTCGACCTATCCACCCTCACAACCCAGGGGTAGTGGCGCAGCCCTATCGGTATCGGCCCTCCCATCGGGACCAGATCCCGTGGGACGGGACCACCGCAGACCATCTGGGACCGGCCCGGTCCGGTCCAGCCGCCGTCAGTCAGGGTCGGCTCTCGGGTAATCTGCAGCCCCCTCCCGGGGGTCCGCCATGTCACCACGAGTCACCGCTGCTGCGTTCCTCCCGCGTCATCCCCGGGGCTGGGAGGGAGCCGCAGGGTGTATCAGGGTGGGTGGCCAGTCCCTGGGTTCCACTGGATCCCAATGGAGCCGGAGGGACTGGTATAAAATATCGCAGTGCGCGGGTCGAACCAAGCCACCCGTCACTCAATACACGCGGCCAGTGTTCGGCGTTCGTTGTGCGCGCTGCTGCTGATGTGTGCGGTGGTTAACGGACGCAATGTTAGCGTCACTCAGACACCGTCCCTATGCTGTCCGGCTTATTTAGGTGCTCGCGAGGGTACAATAGTCGCATTGGTGCACCTCTGTGTCTGCTAAGCGCGCGCTGCGGCCTGACCCCTGTGACCTGTGACCTCTGAGGGGTCACCCTTGTTGACGTCACGCTGTTGTAACGCTTCGAATGTGTGTGCAATGGAAATACAATTTGCATATTTTCCAGCCCGGTGTGTGATGTCAGAAACTTGTCCTGTGCGAAGTCATACACCAGGGCCCTATATCCACACATCGCTCCGTAAATATTCTGACGAAAGAAGGAAAGAAATACACAATCCATTCGCCAACAGAACAAAATGAAAGCATCGCAAACAGCCAAACCCGTTAACCCTATTCCTGGCGGGGGGGGGGCTCAGGAGCCCCCCCCCCTGAGGTTTTTTGGTTATATCTCCCAAACGCTTTGAGCTAGGAAGCTCAAATTTTCTGACTTTTTATAAAAGGCTTTTACGCAACATTTCTGAAAATTTTGAGTTGATCTGACCTCAGGTCAGGTCACCAGAGGCGGTTTGGTGACCCTACCTCAGAAAAGTTTGCAATCACGCCAGAGCTAGAGTTTTTGACCGATCAATTTCTTCTCTTCAGGCTTTAGTTAGGGTACCAGTATGTGCAATTTGTACATCTCAGAATTTTCATATCTGTGACCTGAGGTCAGGCCAGACTCGTGACCTTTACATTGCAAGCCTATGGGAAAATATTGAAACGCCTCCTGCTTCGTGTAAACGAGTTAAAACCACCCAGTTCTTTCAGTATTATGGAAGATTATCTCATCGGTGATGATCCTGGTGCCGCTAATTGACAGGGGCACCGGCAAAGGTCATCTGAGGTCATGTGACGTCATAAATGAAGCCAAGTCAAGACGGCGCCAGGGACGAGAAGCAGCCGCGATGCCCACTCGGAAGCAATGGTGGACACCGGAGGTAGATGCAGCATGGCGCAACAAACGCTTCGCGCTGAAACATTGGCGTGCCGCCAAAACATCGTCTGACGCCTCCACCAGGGAGACTGCTCGCTCAGCCAGAAACAAGGCCGACGCCGTATGGAAGCGGATCACCATCTCGTCCAAACGCAGGTGTTGGGACGTCTTCTTGCAGGATAGCTACAGAGACTCAGGCCAGTTCTGGCGTTTCATCGGCTCCATGGGCGACTCAAAACCGCAGACCTCCAGCATGCAGATGGTGGCGGGCTCCCGCATCCTGCGTACCGACGAGGAGAAGGGATCCGCCTTTCTGCAGCGTTTTGTTGACCAGTGCTCCCGCGGCGACATGGCCAGGAGAGACGAAGCAATCCGAGACCTTTCGTCCAGACTACCGCAACTCGCTCCATCTGAACTCTTCGGCATGGACGACCTCACTCGGGCGATCGAGCGCATAGGACAAGTATCCCCAGGACCCGACAGGATTCCAGCCTCTGCTCTCAAGAACCTCTCTGCTCAGTCGAAAAGTCGGCTCCTCTCAGAGATCAACGAGTCCCTGGTCTCCGGCATCGTGCCCACCGAGTGGTGCGACAGCGTCCTCGTCCCAGTTCCCAAGCCAGGGAAGGATCACCACCGCCTCGAGGGCCACCGGATAATAGCAGTACAAAATCTGCTTGGGAAGGTGGCTGAATCCATGGTATGCGAGAGGCTGGCGTCACATCTGGAGCCTCGGATGCCTCCCGGCATGGGCGCATACCGCAAGGGACGGTCCACGTGGACAAACGCAGGGGTGGTAACGCACGTCATCTCCGAGGCCTTCGAACGTCGAGAGCAAGCCGTCCTGGTCGCCCTCGATCTTCAGGACGCTTACAACATGGTGTCTCTCCCCAAGCTGGCCCATCGTCTCCTCGTCCTCGACACGGACGTGCGGCTGACCAGATGGATCATGGCAGCGCTGCGATCCCGGAGATGCTCCATGAAGTGTGGCAGGTGGATGTCCGACTGGACGGACGTTCCCACCGCACTGCCCCAGGGGTCACCCCTCTCGCCCATCTGCTTCAACGCCTACTTGCAGCCCATCGCCTCCATCATCACGCCTGACAACGCAATCCTTTTGTGCTACGCAGATGACATCACCATCGTCGCGTGGCACAGGGACATCTCCTCAGCAATCGGCACCGCTCAGGAGGTGGTCAACAATGTGAAGGCCGCATGCGACCATCTCGACATGGTCATCAACCCTCAGAAGGCATCCGTCACTGTCTTTGGGAAGCGCCGCCCCACCCAACCGTTGGAAGCGGTGGTCTACGGGGGTGAACCCATCTCCTACTCTGATCAAGTAAAGCTGCTGGGCGTGACGCTGGACCCGGCTCTCACCTTTAACGCCCACGCCGACTCAGTGCGCAGCAGATGCGTTCGCGCTCTGTCAACGCTGAAAGCGGCCTACAGCAGGGGAGTTGACTTGAGACGGATCAGTCATCTCTATCGCTCGCTTGTCCTCTCTCGAATCACCTACGGACTCGAGATCATCAATCCGCTGAAGACAACGATGGACAAGCTCGAGCGGATCCAGAACAGCGCTCTCCGACTCGCCACCGGATGCCCCAGACAGACGCCGGTCACTGCGCTGAGGTACATGTTTGACCTGCCCTCCATCGTCGACCTACACGAAGTCCTACGAGCCAGAGCGGTGTGCATCGTCGCCTCCGACTGCGGCCATCCCTTGCACGGCTTCGTCGACCAAGCCCTGGCACGCGCTCCACTGGCACGTCTGCAGCGCACGGGCTGGCTGCGCGATGGGACCAAAGCTCTGCGCGGTCTCTGCGGTCGGCACAAGATCCGCAGATCTCACCTGTGGTCTGCGACGCCTCCCGCCACCAGATGCCGATGGACCTTCAAGATCGACCTCTTCAGCCGCACCGACCGTGAGCTACCACCACACGTAGTGAACGCCATGTTTGAGGAGGTCCTGGCCGACACCAGCAGTGAGCTCCCACAGCCCCTCGTCGTCCTGGCCACTGACGGTTCTGTCACCACAAGCGCCCCAAGATCGGGATGGGGGTGTGTGATGAGGGAGTCAGACGGCAGCCTGCAGACCCACCGTGGAGGCTGTAACCTTCGCCTCTCTAGCATGAGGGCTGAGCTGGAGGCCATCTTCCGCGGTCTGGATCTTGCCAGAAGCGCCCACCCTGATCTAGCCGCGTGCATCATCTGCACCGACTCTCAGTCTCTCCTACGCAAACTAGAGAGCGGATCGGCTCCTCCGGAGTGGCACGACCTACCTCAACAAGTCGTATGGGTATACTGCCCAGGGCACGCCGGAGTCCAACTGAACGACAGAGCCGATCACCTGGCTGGCAGCGGTTCTGCTTCCGACTACCTGGAGCTCGGGACGCAGGACATCCAACTCATCATACGGGATCGACAGCTGAGCAGCCGCGACGACGGGTCGTGGGAGGAGAAGAGGATGAGCGAGAGAGGCCTGCAGCGGGGTTGGGTGGCGAAATCCACCTCCCGTGGCCGCGCTGCCCACACGATGTGCCAGCTGGCCACAGGTACTCTCTCCCGAGCGGCGCTGACCAGGGTGTTCCAGCTAGGAGGAGCAGAGGCTGCTTGGGGCCAACTATTGGGCCTCCGCCGGCTAACGACGCTGCCGCTCGACCAGTAAGACCAGTAAGTAATCGTTTTTCTGTCAATAAATCACGACATGATGGTGCTAAAGACTTGTAAGTAGTACCAAACTGCTCGCCTGGTCAAGGCGCGTCGTTTGGTATGCAGCATGACCACACCCCACAACTTCATTGATGAATGACCTGACCTTGACCTCAGGTCAAATTTTAAATTGACCTGTGAAGGTCATCTTATACTTATTTCGCATCGCCTCGGCGAGAGCAACAAAAAATGTATTGGTTTTATGTCTCTATGTTTCTTAGTTTAAAAGTTATATAGGTAACTAATTCCAAAACATTTTATCGTTGATGACCTCTGGTGACCTCAATATTGACCTGACCTGAAAATGTTTTTTGTAAAAGTTGTAGATCTTAAAACGACCTATCAAACGCCGTTCGCCGTTTGTCGCTGCGATGTGTAGTTTTTGAGATCTGAAGGGGGGGCCGAATCGGCCCCCCCGCCAGTTTCTTGTCCCGGCGGAGCCCGCCAGGAATAGGGTTAACCCGCGCCCTGGTGGGGGGGGGGGGCTATTTTTTGCCCCCCCTCCAGACTTTTCGATATATCTCCAGAACCGCTGCGCCGATCGTCACCAAACTTTCAGTACCCTCCCGGACATCAATTTTACACATTGTGACCAAAAATTTTTCCAAAGGCTATGATAGGTTGGCCGGAAATGACGTCAGAGTGACGTCATGTTCTGCCGTTTTCGACCCAAAAAAGGGTTTCGCGGGAAGAGCTGTCAGGCCTATAGCTTTGCAAATACAGAAAAATGATAAAGACATAAAAGCTGTAGATTAGACAGGGCTACAAAACTGCTATCTCGGATTTTTGAAATTTTTGGATTTTGACCCCCAAAAATCAAAAAATAGATTTTTTGAATATACTAATCGAAAAATCCAAAAAGTTTTTTGAATTTCGCAAAAACCGGAATATATGTGATAGTCCTTACCGCCTTCCATCCACATACCAAATTTGAGATTGATACCTCCTTTTTTGGCGAAGTTATAGCGAAAAAACTGTTCAAAATTGATGACGTCAAATTTTCAAACTCAATTTTTAGCAGTTCTAGACCCCGTAGCGCAAAACAAAGACCACCATTAGACTCCCCGTGACGAGCTGCATCGAATCAATACCCAATTTATGCAAAAATATCAACTTTAAAATTTGACCTTTTTTGGCCTGACCTTGACCTGACCTTGACCTGAACTTCACCAGAAAGTGACCTAAGCCGTACCTGAGTGTTATAACCAACACCATTGAGTTGGAAATGAAAAATTGGCCATAAAACATGTATCACACAACCTTAGTAAAGTTGGGCTCATGTGACCTGACCTGTGACCCTTGGTGACCTGACCTGTGACCTGACCTGGTATTGCTAGTGACCTCTAATAGCAACATATCTACTAGGCAACTGACGCCCTACCGCTGATTCTCGACAAAATGCGTTTTCCTCGGTGTTATAGCGCATTCCCTAGAAGACCCGTGAACGGTGAAACATTTCATCTTTGACCTGACCTGTGACGTCATCGGTGACCCCGAGGTCAATGAAATTCGGTTTCCTTCGACAAATTTGACAGGCCTTTCGAACGCCGTTTGAATTTTGCGGATCCGTCCAGTAGTTTCGGAGATACGAGGGGGGGCAAAAAATAGCCCCCCCCCACCAGGTCGCGTTATAAACAGACCCCACCAGGGCGCGGGTTAAAGGGACCCTCCCACCTTCAAAAAAGTTTATGAATTGGCATGAAAGTGATGTCGCTCGGTTCAGAAAGAGCGAAAACGAATATCTACCAAATTTCACCGAAAAATATTCACCGGTTTTCAAGATATTAGACTTTTACTTTTGTTTACTTTTTGGGATCTCCGCTGTTCCTAGCGACTTTATTTGGAAGCAATAGTTTGGCAGCTGAAAGTGCGGCACTTGTTGCGCGCAAAGCAGCATATACCACCGCGTGCTACAAAACGTTTTAGTCAAACATTTAAAAATCGTTAGATATCTGCGCTGACGTCACACATTCAGAGGGGTATTCCTATGCATTAGCCCCTCTGAATCAAAATACTGCAATTTTGAAATTCAATATTTCCGATTTAAGGCATTTCTCGAAGTTGTGAGTGCCGAAACCGGTAATTGTGAGCCAGGGACCCCATTTTGGCTATCTCAACTCAAATCTAATGTTAAGGTGGGAGGGTCCCTTTAAGCGGGACTGGCGGGGAACCATGACTACGTGTGCAGAGGTCGACTATCATCACGGGCCAGGAAAGCTGTGCCAATTGCATGCCGTACACGGGCTTGCGAAACAGCGCTTACAACCATCGTCCATCGTCCAGGGGGATTAATTTTCCGCGAAAAACGTCCGGATGGTAGCAATTTGGCCATCGAGTGATACGCCGCACAGTCCACCAACTAGTCATTGCAGTGCTAGCGAGTGACGTCACCACGTACGCTAGCGTCCCCGGATCTATTAGGTCGGGCGGCGAGTCTATATCGGGCACCGGGACGCCAGAAATAACCTGCCGGGGATCGGATGGCGCGTATAACATCATTCAGCGAAGACCTCAAAGTTCAGCGCTCACTAGTAACCGGAAAGCCGCAATGCGAGCGACACAATACCAGCTAGGTGGGTTTTAACCATTCAGCATCAAGTATCTTCTATCCACGACTGGTTATTTACAGGTCTGGGATGGTATAACAAAGGTGACATCGCGTCCGGTGCGACACGTGCCGGATGAACACAGACGACCTTAGCAGCACGTAGGGGATGGAGGGGGGGGGGGGGGGGGGAGTCGAGCTACAGGAGAACAGGCAGGCAGGCAGCCAGAACGCCTGAGCCGTCATTGTTTTTAATGTTTATCAGTCAGCCTCCGTGATCGGTCTACGGGTGCCGTTACAGGGTAAGATAGACACACAACTACACTATGAAAACTTCTGTAAATTGGCCAGCCTCCGAGAAAAGGACCGAGGCTGGGCAGCCACACGTTGCTATTTCCTGGTACGTGCAATGCCATCACTCATTCTTCATTTGCCAATTTAGCGACCACCAGTGCAGTCAGTGGGACGCCCTTCTGGCTCCTAACAATTTGCGCTAAGCATCGTTGTCTGTCGTACCCCCACTCGTACCCCCTGTCAGTAACTGGGCCAGTCCAACAGCTCAGTTCCCAGTCCCGGCTAGTCGATAGTACCGCGCCGCCAAGGAACACGCAGATTTCTGCTCCCGGCCGACGGCGTCTCCAAACAGGATCAATGCAGCACGAATAACAATAGCTGCGATCCCGGCTTTTGTCTGAACCGACTATTGGAAGTGGTATTGTGGCCGCCACCGTTGTAAGAACAGCGCTAAAAATCAGATGGAAAGCATGAATATCTGTATTTAACATCAGCAGCCATTACTGGATATGTGCATGGTTCTACCGCGCATTTGTGGGATGTCCGTTCGCGACACGTATTTTACAAAACACATTCGTTGACACATCGTTGTGCCGTGCGACTAGACGTCCTTAACCGAAGAAGATAACAGCCGAAAGTTGGATACAAATGAGTGCAATGGAACATGGCGCGTACCTGCAGGGGGCGCGCGGCGGCCGGCGATGTATCACGGGCGGCGGGAGGCGGCGGGCGGCGCTCAGCGCCAGGCGCGCCCGCTCCGCTGGCGCCGCTTGGGCTCGGCCGTCTGCGGCGCGCCGCCGTAACCACCGCTCGTCAGCTGCGATTGGCTGGATTTGGCGCGGCGCACCGGATTTGGCGCGTAAATGTTGGCCAGCTGAACCAGACTGCGCGCGGAGCGCGAGGCGCGACCGGCGGCGGCTGAAAAAGAAACGGAACGTTATTGCAGAGACACCTACAGAAAAACGCAAAAACAAGCTTCCTACGGAAAGCGACTGTTGCTGCAAACAACATTATTACGCTTTGAAAACTACTTGCAGTTATCAGCAGACTTAAAGCAGCTCCAAACATCACGTCGCACATGTTTTCCATCGGACCAGTTCGTCCATCTAATCAGCACAGAAACCATCCAATCCTGCTGTCCAGCCCTCGACACGACCGTGCCCCACTGCGACCACCCTCCCACCCTCACAGCCCCCGGTCAGTCGGTCAATCAGTCGGTCAATCGGTCGGTCGGTGGGTCGGTGGGTCCCGGTGACCGACAGCGGCCTTGGGCGACACGGCGACACGGGTCGGGCCGCTGATCAGCACGGCAGACACGTCTCACATCAGGCCGACGGGCCGGCCGGCCGCACAGCGCAGCCGGCCGACCGGACGGGCCCGCCCGGAGACAGGACGAGCACGGGGTTCCGGAAAGGCCGCCGTAAATACTGACGGGTGGACATGTAGACAGACCCAGAGACAGGGGAGGAGACAGGCTCCGGGCACGGCCGCCATTTCATTGGAGGTAGCTAAAAGTTAATTGCTCTTCAAACAGGTTCCCTTTTTAGCTAATGCAAAAAGTACTTAACGCGCCGTCACATCAAACGGCCAGCACCCGTCGTCGCGCACACCGTCATAACAGCGCGGCGCCAGTGACCGACGACTTTGGATCGTATGTGGTTGGCGGCTCCGAGTGTGTCTGGTAAGGCTGGACCAGCCGGCTGTGGCGGCCCACCGCCCCTCCGGCCCCCTGCCATACCCGGTCATTTCGGCCCGCCTGTGGTAAGGCGGCGCGTCTAACGGCCGACACAGTCGCCGGCACCGACCCGCGCCCGGCCAGGGCAGGTCTAAAATCGATGCCGCCAGCCACCCCCCCCCCCCCCCCCGCAGACAGGCTGCACGTGCAACACCCCTCCCCTGGACTGGGGAGGTACCGGCGGCGGCCGGCCGGCCGGCCAGGTGGGCCCGCGGAGACCCATCAGCCGCTGCTCCCGGCACCGCTGGCTGAGCCGAGCCGGGCTAAGGCTGACCCGAGCCGTCCCCAGTACAGCCCTTACGAGCGAGCTACGGATTTACGGGAAATCGCCGGGCCCCGACGGTATCACCAACGAGATGCTCCGCCACCTCGGCCCGATTGCCAAGAAAGAACTCCTCAGGACATTTAACAGTTCGTGGAGCTCCGGAGAGGTCCCGAAAGAGTGGCGCGTCGCGACGGTGATACCGATTCCGAAAGCCGGCAAAGACAAGAGGCTCTTGGGCAGCTACAGGCCGATAGCACTCACCAGCAACCTGAGCAAGCTGTTGGAGCGCATGATCTTGGCCCGACTTACCTACTTCGCGGAGAGCCGAGGGTTGCTCCCTCCAGAACAGACGGGTTTCCGAGCGGGGCGGTCGGTGGAGGACAACATCGGCCGCCTCGTCCAAGAGGTGCAGGACGGATGGCAGAGACCGGCGGTCGATCGAAGAACGGCGGCGAGGAGGCCTGATGGAAGCGTGGCACAGAAATACGTCCTCGTGGCTTTTGATTTTGCCCGAGCGTATGATGTAGTGGACCACCGCCTCCTCCGGCTCAACCTGACCGAGCAGGGACTGCCGCTGTGCCTCGTCCGCTGGGTGTGGCAGTGGCTGAGAGACCGAAGGACGAGAGTGGAAGTTCGCGGGGCTCTGTCCGGTGAGCGGGTCTTTCGCGCCGGATTACCCCAGGGCAGCGTGCTGTCGCCCAGTTTGTTTGCGTTGTGGGCGGCGCCGCTGGTCCAGGTCATCAAGAAGATCCCCGGATGCACACCCTACATGTATGCGGATGACACGGCGGTGCTCTGCGCGGGCAACACTATTGAAGTGGCGAGGGAGAGGGCCCAGAGGGCAGCCGACGCGCTGACAAGGTGGGCGCGCGAAGCCAAGATGAGGGTCTCCGGCGAGAAGACCCAACTCCTGGTTCTCTCGCAGCAAGCCAAGGACGCCAAGGACTGCCGCATCAAGGTAGCTGGAAACACAGTCGAGGCGCAGGAGACCCTCCACCTTCTGGGCGTCACACTGGACAGACTCCTACACTTCGGGCCGCACTGCCGTCGTCTACGAAGAAAGACAAGACCACGAATCAACCAACTCAGACAGCTCACCGGAAGGTCGTGGGGGCTCGGCGAGAGACTCCTCCGGACGGTGGCAAACGGATACATCCGCGGCGCCATAGAACACGCGGCGGCGGCGTGGCTGCCTGCGGCTGCGACAACGCATCTCGGCGTCTTGGAAGTGGAGATGTTGGCGGCGGCACGCACCATCACTGGCTGTCCGATCTCCACCCCGAGACACGCCGTGAGAGCAGAGGCGGGCGTCGTGCCGATGGCGGCGAGGAGGGATGCGCTGGCAGCACGCCTGCTGGCGAAAGCGCACTCTCTCCCGCCGGAGGACCCGCTGCACGCCGTGGCGGAGGCCGCCCCCGTGCCGCGCCTCAAGTCCGTGACCGGATGGAGAGACCGAGGGAGAGCGGTGTGGGACCGCGCCGGCGTGGAGCTACCCGTCGAGGCTCGCCTAGCCACGAGGCCGCCCCCGTGGACAGCGACGGAAAACGTGACGATCCGCCTGGACATCGGCCCGCTCCCGATCGGAGCGACCGCGTCGATGAGGCGAAGCGCTGCGGAGGCGTGCCTGGGAGCGCTCCCCCAGTGTGCGACGTGGGCCTGGACCGACGGGTCGGCGACCGGCGGAGTGACGAATGGCGGTGCCGGGGTCCTAATCGAACACCCAGACGGAACGACGGAAGCTCTGCGAGAGGCGGCGGGAAAAATATGCTCTAGTTACCGGGCTGAGATGGTGGCGCTGAAGACGGCAGTGCGTCATCTCCTGGAGCACCCACCCCTCGAACAGGATATCATCATATGCTCCGACTCACAGGCGTCACTTGCGACGCTGAGAGGAGGACCAGCGGCCCAGACGTCCCCTCTAGGTGCCGCCATCTGGGAGCACATGGCGGCACTGGTGGCTGGCGGGGACCGTAGGGTCCACCTCCAGTGGGTGCCGTCCCACTGTGAGCTGGAGGGAAATGAGCGGGTGGACGCTATCGCCAAGGAAGCCGCCGCCCTCCCACAGCAGGGAGTCCCGGTTGACGTCCGCACAGTGTACCGTGCGGCGTCCCGGATGGCCAGAAAGGAGGCGATCAGCAACTGGCCGGACGGCTGGTATAGGCGGCTGATGGACGGCCACCTACCCGCGCCGCTGCCCAGCACTACTCCACGAGAGGTGGCGGTTGATGTGCACCAACTGCGCGCTGGTCACTGGTCGGGATCTGCGCAGTACCTGCATCGGATCGGCAGGAACCCCGGCCGGGACTGCGCGCAGTGCAACTCGCTGACGTGCCGGGCGGCCGGCTGCCGCTGCTGTGGCGAAGAGGAGGCAGACACGCCGGCACACATCCTGCTACGCTGCCCGGCACTGATGCGACTACGCCTACGACATCTAGGCAACATACACCCGAGCGAGGAGGAGGTCCGAGGCAGCGGCGTGGTGGCGGCCCTGGGGGCCGCCGCCAGGTACCTCCAGAGCCGAGAGGCTACGTAGCGACCGCTGCGTGGGGAAGAAACAACAACAACAACAACAGCTACGGATAACATCTTGTGGTTAGTGCCCCAAACTACGCATAATTGATAATGTTTCATCGAGTGGCTCACTTATTGATGGAAGACCACTACGATCAATTCATAGCAATACTGCTTTGAAGAAAAGACAAACAAAACCTTAGGAAATAATCATGGAGTCGTGACATGAGTGTTTTCCTAGGACAAGACCGTGATTCTTTTAAGTCGTGACCTGTCACGAGATTATAACTCAGCAAGAAATACTCATCCATTGACCAGCACGCGGCGTGTCAGTGATGAATCTCACCGGGACACTGGCGGTTGCCATAGTCCACTGTAAATACAGCCACCAGTGACATCAAACGGCCCTTCGCTCCTAACTACCGGCCGGCGAGGGCCATCCACTCCGCCGCCGACTCGTATAAAGGGCCACCTATCGACCCGGCCTGCGTTCTACAGGCGCCGTTTTGGACTTCACGGCGGCCGGCGATGGCTCTTAGTGGATTACTGTCCGACAGGTCTGAGATTTCCCGGGAACGGATATAACGATGGTAGCATTCACTTCACGAACAGCTGTGTAGGGGCCACCGCGCAGGTGAACCAGAGACGTAATACCGCCAGCTACTGGCTGTGATCGGCTGTAGTGGACTGATGAGCTCGGCGGCTGAAGGGCCATAATAAAGCGGGCCGCATACAGCTGACAGCCCTACAACCTCATGACTTTCAGACTTACAGGGCCAGCGGACAATACGACAAAGATATAATTATGTCTTTGGATCCAATCGTGATAACACAGGCGTGCTAACAGACTTCGTACAGACGTTTAAGAAGGGGCGTCCCTTTGCCAATTCCCTCCCACATCCAGTCTCTGAGCCCGCCGTGCCCCCACTATACCTGTCCTCTCGGAGGCGAGGCTGCTGCGGCTGGCCGAGCGCGGCGAGTGAGCCACCACGCGGCGCGGGCGGCCCGACGGCGACGAGCGCGTCTTGGGCGACACGGAGACGGCGCCTGAGGAGGGCCGGGCCCTCAGCCGCGGCACGGCGGACCCCGGCCGGCCCGACATCGGCTCCCTGTGCGGCAGAGGCGAGGCGGTACCGTCAGACATATAAAGCGAAATCATGAGACTTAAAATAATCTAATTATCCATAAAACATCACAAATCCAAGTCAAGATTAGCCATACATCCGGAAACGAATGGACTTGGTCAAGAGCTGAACACTACGAATGGAATAACAGACGCAAAGAAAACGCATGGACCGATAAAAGTAAGGGGTTGCTTGCGCTATCACGGGTGACAAACAAAATGATAGACGTCCGTAAGCTCTCGTAAGGCAAAGCTGACACCACCATGCGGCGGCTTTGTAAAACTGCGCTGGCAGAGCGACCCCCCCCCCCACGACAATACTAACACATCCACGTCTCCGACACATTGTGACAGACACTGCTCTTCTCACCAAACTGGAATCCCACTGAGCCAATTGCCATAATTGACCATCTTCCTAGTAACCCCCTTCCTACTAACCTTCTCCAGTTACCGGTTGCGGTTGCCTCACCTATACTTTCTGCGCTGCTGTGAGACCAGCGTGGCATGCGAGAGTCGCAGAGCGGCGTCCCCACTGCGTCTCCTCTCCGCGGCGTGCGCGCGGGCCGCCCGGTCGGCGGCGATCACCGCCAGCCGCTGCTGCGGGGTGGAGGCGATACACAGCTGGTGCAGCGAGTAGCACGCGCCGCGCACCTGCCGGGAAGGAGGGACAGTCAGAGGGTGGAACTGGTGCAGCGAGTAGCACGCGCCGCGAACCTGCGGAGAGGGGCACATAGTCAGAGGGTGGAACTGGTGCAGCGAGTAGCACGCGCCGCGCACCTGACGGGGAGGGAGGGACAGACAGTCAGAGGCTGAAGTTGAGGGTGACACATTCTACTGCCCTGTACAAACTATACAGTAAAGTATCAATATTTTTGTCAAATATTTGCATCACACGTAAACAATGATAATCTTACGAACAACAATTACAGACAAAGCGAAACAATACCAGCGAAAAGAAAGTATAATTACGAATCGACTGAAGACGCAGCCGCCATTCTCACTCGATCACACGGCAGACTCTGTCAATGACCACGATTTGATATCAGGAGACCATCCCTGCCACTGACTGATAGCCGCCGGTCGGCCTACCTGGTTGAAGAGTCGCTCGTGCAGCTCCAGGTCCTGCTTGGTAATCTGTTTGGTGAGGTCGACTTCTCTCTGCAGTCGGAGCGCGCAAACCATCGACTCTTTGACCGCGGCAATCAGCGACTGCACCTGGATGAGGCAAATGGAGAGAGAAGCGTTCATATTAGTGACATGACGGAAACAGAGGCAAAGGACGGTAAGAACACTAAACATATGCAACTGACTGCCAGTCGGAATATTGGAAATAATGAATTTTACTACACAATATTGCTGCCTGAACATGCAAATTAGAGTCCCGTTGATTTACGATGCAAATGTGATGAAATCATGATTCTGATAAGGCCTGCAAACCAGGATATGACACCCGATGCAGCATGCGCCATGCTAACAGCATGCGTGTCGCGACTCGCGAGTTACTGACCTTCTCTGTGCGCATCAGTCTGCGGGTGAGGAAGCCGCGGGCGGCGGCCGTGACCCGAGCGTAGCGCGCCTCCATTCCCGGTGCGAGCGCCTGGTGACACGGACCAACAGGGGGTCAGATGAGTCAGGGGGACGTGGTGGGGTCTTGGACACGGCGATACTGCACAGGGGGACAACCTAGAAGGCAATTTACAGAGAATAGCTGAACGAAGGGAATGTCGTGTTGATTAGTGAAATCAGAACAGCTCTCGGTGGGAAAAAAGGACAAGTTCCAAACTTCAGGCAGCTACCTCTTGTTATAATCGATGCATCAATTACTGCACCGATAGCACACAAACATCCTTGATATAGGCCCCTTCCAATACATTAAGCTCTAATAGACCTCTGCAGCGCCCAGAGTTCATTTCCTCCGTACATTTACCCTACAATCACACTACCTCTCCCCTCTCCTGTCCCTCTCTTCCCCTCCCTCCACTATTCGCCCGCTCACCTCCGGTGGCACACAGACGGGGTGTTCTGCAAGTCCGGGTGACGCCGCCAGCCGGCGGGCCACCGGAGTCGGTACCGGGTCCGAGGCGGGCCGCGGCGGCCTCTCGCGGGCGGGAGGGGTGCTGGGCTGCGCCTCGTACCGCTCATACGCAGACGGCTGGTCGGACTCCGACTGGGGGTGTTCACAGTAGCGCAGGTCAGGTGAGGGTTCGGCTGTATTTCACGGTTCAGCACATGATTAGTCTCGTTAGAAATCAGACAACCAGCGGTGACAAAAAGAAGCGTCTTTGAGCTGGAATCAGTACAGAAAGTATGAAAAGAAGTTTTTGGCTTCTGCAGAACATTATGAGGCGCTTAAAGCTATAACGATCGGAAGCAAATAGGACACATATCAGCCACGCCTTCTCAGCATATTTTCACCAGCAGCCCTTTCTCCCGTGGTATAACCACCTCACCCCTCCCTCGTCCACTGACCTGGCGGGTGGCCGGCGGCGAGTGCGGCTCACAGCGGTAGGTCAGCTGACCCGACTCGGGCCGGGGGTCGGGCCGGGGCGCCCGGCGCCACCCAGCAGCCGCCGGGGACGTGGAGGGGCCGTCTCCGCCGGCCATCGGCGCCTCCACGGGCGGCGAGGGCGGCTGGCTGTCGGCCGGTGGTGCGGCCAGCAGCTCAGCAGCGGCCAGCTGCCGGCGCAGCCGCTGCAGCACGGCGTCCTCGCGGCGGCGGCAGGCGGCCTCCAGGGCGCGCCGCTGGCGCCGCTGCTGCTCCACCAGCGCCGCCATCTGCCGCTCGTGGAGCGACAGCAGCTGGCGCAGCTCGTCCAGCGCCGGACTGAAAGGGGCTCAGATGGGTCAGTGACTGACAGCTGAGGATGTCAGACGAGATAATCACAGACTAGCAAAGGGACTGGAATAAAGCAAGATAGTCAGGGGTGCACTGACGGCGATCGGAAGTTCGTCAGTCTTTTCTCAGCGTACAGGAGTGGCTCACAGACATAGCCGAAGAAATAGTGGTATATGTAAATCCACGACCTTCTGGCGGGGCTCAATCAGGTTCAGTAGCGTGTACTGCCATGTAAAGCATCCTACGATGTCCAGTATAAATATGTGAAAGGTCAGTGGATCTGCGTCCTCACCACCACAAACGATAAAAACCACTTAGCGACTCACAGCCTGAATACGTCCTGAAGCTCAGCGGCAGCCGCGGCCGGGTCGGCGGCACCAGTGGCAGTGAGGCGGTCCTGGGCGGCAGCGGCCGGGGCGGGGGCGGCCGGAGACCGCCGGATCGGCCCCCGCGGCGGTGGGGAGGGCGTGGCCCAGCCGACGTCCGCGCCCGGGCTGCGATCCTGAACTATCTCCTGAAACAGCATATGACAGCATTGAGTATCATCAACGATTATTGAGCAGCAGGTAGGGTAGGTTAACCAACTACACGCTCGGTTACAGTGAACTCGAACACTGGGCAATGATTCGTTCATTTTTGTTGTAAGGAAAACGTCTATTTCACACGGACTATCCAAATGCATCAACCATAGGAATGAAATGAAACGAAACTACAATGAAACGACTAAAATAATTTAATGACTAATCAGGAAAAATCCCTCTTCTTCACAAACAATCAGCCAGATATCACTCCTTCTCAGACGGTCCCTGAGAGCCCAGAGCCTGTGCTCACCTGAACCGCGTGCGAGTCAAAGTTGGGGGTGGGCCGCCGGGACAGAGCGAGAGGGGAGAGAGCGGGTGGCGCTCGGCGCGGCCGGGGGGAGCCGCGCACACGGCGACGGCGGCCGGACGGAGACCCTGCGGAACGGGGAGACACATGGGGCGGTCATAAGTCAGCAAACGGACGGACGGGCGGACGGCACAGTCACTAGTCAGGTAGGCGCACTCACTAGTTAGACACTGTTGAAACCCACTGCTTCAGTGACTGGTGTGTGAAGGTCAGTATAAACCACAAGTGGCACCAGTTAGTTAGCACCCATATTATCAGCGAGACACCAATAATCTACCAGCATTTCGACTAGACCCTAAAATCAAAACTTCCTACGCACCACAGGCCAAACTATCATAGGGCACGATTAATGCACGTCACCCAGCAGCCCCTCACCCCTCCCTGAAGCAGTGACCCCTACCCCAACCCCTCGGAGACCCACGCACCTGCCGCCTGTCTGGGGGACATCTCCAGGGTGGCTGGGGGCGGCGGTGGTGCAGACACCCGCCACCGGGCGGGTGGTGCCGCCGACTGGTGCTGGTGGTGGTGAGGGGGAGGCGCACCACCCTCCTCCGTCGCTGAGAGGTTTCGCAGCACGCTGCCCCAGCCCAGAGGTATGTCTGGGATCCGGGCACGGGCGGCGGGGGCGGGGGCGGGCGGCTCCTCAGGGCGCGGTGAGCTCAGCACCGTGTCCTCAGAGGCGCGCCGGCCGGCCAGCGCAGCGCGCAGGTCGGCCGCCGAGGCCGCGTCGTCGGCCCAGCGGCGCCGGGGCCGGTCGCCGCCCGTCTCTGCCGAGTGGGGTGCCTGGGGGTCGCCGTCGGCGGGGTCCGCGGCCGGCCGGGCCGGCGGCTCGGGAGACTCTGGCTCGACCGGCGCCGTCCCCGACAGTTCCAGCACGTCGGGGTCCACCGCCGCCGCGCTCTCCAGAACCTGGAAATGGGGGCTCTGCTGTAGTGACACACGGTGGCGCCTTCAGGCTCACAAGGGATCTCGAAAGTGAAATTTACGCCCATGAGACATAATAATTATCACAGAGGTAGCCGCAATGATTGTCACGAAGTAGTCGCCTTTCCAGTGCAAGTTTGCGAACGAGCCGGACAGCAGAAATACTGGCAATGTGAGCCCTTATAATAACGGCAGACCATGTAATAGGCCTAAATAATATCTCTGCTCACTTCAGCCATCAGCAGAGTGACTAATTAAACCAGCCACCCGCACAACGGTAATCCGGCCGCACCCACCTTCAGCCGTTCCTCGGGGTGTTTCATGTAGTACTCCACCAGGAGGGGACTGGGACTCTCCAGAGTAAAGGACAGCCGCCGCGCCGGTGACCGTTTGAAGGCGCGGCGCCGGCTCGGTGAGCCGTGCACGGGACAGGGCGGCGCCGGCCCCGCGCCGGCGGCGGGAGGAGCAGAGTCGCCCCGGCCGCTGTCAGAGGACTCTGCCGGCGGGCCGGGCTGCACAGAGGGAGCTGGAGGGGCCGGTGAGACCACTACGGCCGGCGGCGGAGCGGCCGGCGGGAGTGGCGCGGGCGCTCCACGGTCCGGCGCCGTGACTGCGGTCCGGGTACCATCCGCTGAGGTCACATTAGCACTGTGTGCTCCGTCCAGGTCGCCGCCACCACGTTCCATCACCGGCCCAGCAGCGAGACTCTGCCGATGCTCTCCGTCACCTCTCGCGGCCTGCTCACCAGACTGAAGCACTATCCCACCTTCCACTCCGCCCACGCCTCGGACCGACTGCGTCACCTTCTCCGTCATCATGAACGACGTAACCGTGCCGCCGCGACATGACTCCTTCAGCATGGTCAGCCCGCCGGCGGTCACCACCTCCGTCCTGACCTCACCCTCCTGCAGCGGCCGCTGGAGCGTCACACCACTCGTCACTGAGATCACCGCGTCCTGTCCTGCCGTCAGACCTCTACCGTCGGCCGGCGATCGGGCGGGTAAAGTCGGGAGGTAGCCGTAGGTCCCCGCACACCGAGCGCTGGGTTCCTGAGATTGGCTGTCGGGCTGACTCGCCTGATCACCCCATGCCGTGACACGGCTAGTTGAGTGGCTGGCGGCCGGGTTGGCAGTGAAGTTTGCGGTGTGGCTGGCCGATTGGCTGCTGTAGGGTGCAGTGTGGCTGGCTGGTTGGCTGGCAGTGAAGTTTGCAGTGTGGCTGGCAGTGAAGTTGACAGTCTGGCTGGTCGGCTGGCCGGTGTGTTCCGCGGTGTCCCCGGCCGGCCGGCTGGCTGCTCCGGCGGTCTCGGGGCTGATGGAGCCGGTCGGTGACGCGGACGGCGCCGGCCGCACGGTCCGTCCCGTGTCCACCAGCTCTGCCAGCTGGTCCAGCGTCTCGCAGTCGGTCATATCGGCCGTGAGGTCGGCGGCCACCGCCGCCGGGTCCAGGTAGCTGCGCAGAGACACGCTGGCCGTCCCGGCCACGGAGCGCGGGCTGACGTCGGCCGAGGCGGCGCCGCCGGGCCGGTCCGCGCCGCTGTCGTCCAGGCTGAGCTCGGAGAGCCGGCCGGGCAGCGGCGGCACCTCCCAGTCGCCTCCGCCCGCCGGCACCGGCTGCGGCGCGGCCACCATCTCACTGAGCGCCAGCCGCGGCACGGCGGCGGCCGGCGCGGCCACGACCGTCTGCAGGGAGCAGGCGGCGCCCTCGGCCGGATCCTCCTCGTCCTCCGAGCCGGCAGCGTCCGAGAACTGGCCGTCCTCGTCGCGCGCGGCCGGCTGCGGCGGCCTCCAGAGCGGCGCCACCGTCACCGGCAGCGCGCCCCAATCGTCACAGCCGGACATGACAGCTGGACCGGCGCCGCTAGAATAGCACAGTCACCGGGAGGGCCGGGCGGGCACTAACAGAGCTCGGCCGTCACCAGGGGCAGCACAACCACTGGTGATGTTGAATAGTGCTCAGACGCGGGCGGGGCACCACGATTCAGTCTCCACCTGTAGGAAAGGTATGCACAACGTGGTAATTGACCTGATGACTACCCAACTCTGGCAAAACACATTTCCAATAGTTACCTAATTTGTCATACAATTAGTGAAAGTACCTAGATACTAAGAGTAGGTCTAGGATTAACATTTAACAGAACCCTGACCCAACTACCCACACCAAACAATGATAGTTTTTTACCACCATGAAAAAACTTAACTAACAGTTTCTGGTAGAACTGAAGCTGAGGTCCACATGATTTTTCAAGAATAAATTTTGCTCCTTTCTATGTTTTACAACCCCCTGAATCCATAAATGATGTTTATTAGTGCAACAAATATCATGATACAGCGAGTTGAGAGCACCTTACTTTTGCTAATCTGACTTCATTCATCCTGATCTAGCACCAACTACTCTACCTAACTCAACTCAGCCTAACCTGAACTAAACTTACCTATACCTACCTAACACCTTACACCAGCCTGTGGCAGAAAAACAGGCTGGGTTGGGCCAGATAAGGTTGGGTCAGGTGACCTACCCTCAATGGATTAGGTGTCATGATATTAACTGCACTAATGAGCATCATTTTTAGATTCAGGACATTGAAAAACATGGAAAGCAGCAAAATTTATGGTTCAAAATTATGTGAACCTCAGCTTCAGACTCAGTAATACTGAGTTTCATTTGCCAAAAGGTTATTTTCCTACTGAGATAGGTGGGTACCTCAGTTGCTTCATTAGACATGTGGTAAAGCAACAATCTGTTGAGACTTGAGGCATCTTTATAGGAAAGCCAGGGACAATGCAATTATGTGTGTCTACAGGGTGTTTCACTAAAAGTGTCAAAAAGTAAATGCTTATTAAAGATATATAAAATACGCAAAGCACGTGGTTGCGCACGTGGTTTTGTTGCAAATTTTTGGACATTTATGCTTTGGCCACTTAAGATATATTTTACACTCATACGGAGCGAGGGTAGGAGGCCAAAGTTACTAGTCGTTTTTTTCCTTATACAGAACAAGAACAGGTTATTTACACCGCAACAGGAGCGGTGGATTACACTTACATTTGGCGCTATCAGAAACATTGAAACCGTACGCCGACTTTTCAGGAAACGTTTCACTCTCTCACCTCGCTACGACCCAGATTATAAAAGTTTCAAAGGGCTTCTTGAGAGGTTTAAAAGGGTTCCTTTGATGCCGGTTCCAGTCCAAAAAAAGGCGGGTCGCCCCCACATCTCGGCGGAAATCGTTGAAAAGGTCAGGTTTTTTTTAGGGCCTTTTAAGATAACAAGAAGCTTATTTCAACATCAGAAATAGCCAAGCCCCCAATTTATCAGAAACAACCACCGTAACGGCTGTAGCCACCAAGAACTGGCTGGACCAGAAGTTCCGTTCCCGGGCCGAATAATCAGCTGCCTCACCGCCCGCCCCTGGCCAGCGCGAGGCCCCGATCTGTCACCGCTAGCCTTCTGGTTTTGGTCAGTAGCTCTCGCAGAGCTGAGGAAGACTTAAGTCGCATCACTTTTGGAGCTGAAGAGCACAATGCAAGGCTTTGCTGACAGTCTGGACGCTGAAGATGAAAACGGGCTGTGAGGCACCTCCGGACACGTGCCGAAACGGTGCATCAAAAGAAGCGGCGGATATGTGGAATAGGTTTGAGTGACGGTGATATCATTTTTATATATTCAAATGTCCAACAATCGCGGATGGAATGATGTGCAAATGTCCATAGAAAACATTGTTATTATGTGCATTAGAGCCTTTTACTTTTTGACACTTTTAGTGAAACACCCTGTATGTGTGCATGAAAAGCTCTATCTTAAATCACAGAGACCACAGCCACTTTATTTGTAGACCAGGTTTGAGGATACTGATATGCTCCATTGATATACAACACAGTTAGCTTCCGGTCCAGTACCTACCTGACTTTGGTGTAAGATAATATTGGTAATGGTATTTAGTAGGTGTAGGTGTTTACCTGCAATAGGTAGGTACCTAGCATGTCATTGATAACTCTGTTACTGACTAATGAACTGGGAAGCTAGAGCTGGACTTGTAGGAAGATCAACAGCCAAGAGCTGACAAGATACTGAAGGATGGATAGTAGATTACGTTTTGAGGATTGCTGTCATTTGTCAATTACGGTCAATTACAGCTCTTGGCATGATAAAAATAATGGAATAAGAAATATTGTGCTAGATAGTAGATAACATACAAGCAAATCAAGTGTGAAGTGTGAATATAGCATGTGGTGTGTTAAGTCAAATTTTCATATTTAGTTTACCTATTAAGTTATTAAAGAACACAATTTTAGAAAGGCTAACTATCATTAGCACTAACAGATTCTTATTTCTTATCTCACCAGGCCTCACCCTAATTTTGTAGGAGATTCTAATGTGATCACAAATGATCAGTTCAGGACTACAACATTATTATGAATTAGATGAAAAATCCCATTTATTGGGCAATTTTACTGTTTACAGTCGTGTCCAACCACCAGTAGCACCAAAACCTACCTAGTCCTACAGCACTATCATACGACTTGACATTTAAAACCCTAACGGAGTTAATTGTTTGTAGGTATATCGTAAATTACTGAAAATCTGAATTATCTTTAGCTCTAGCTTTAATTCTTAGGCTTTCAAATACATGAAGCTATGCAGCCATAATTGTGGGAAAAGAATAAGCAACTTATCTATATTTTCATTAATGTTCATTCCTGTAGTTTATTTTGCTTTGTTTTTTCTTACAAAAAAAATGTGGAAATATGACAACAATAGTAATAATAAAGGCATGGGTATGGGTTATTTAAGCACGCCCTTGCACTGTAGTGAAGTTCAGTGTGGCAAATGAAATCTTATATTCGATATAAGGAAACATTATGAGGCATTAACTGAATGAAAAACACAAAACCTGGAAACTTCAGCACTTCAACACTCTGAATAATTCAAAAATTAAGAATTTCTACAAACACGCCGACGGCGACAAGCGTGTCGACTTCAATTATAATCACAGCGCAAATTCCGCGGCATAAACCGGCGCGCGCGGTGTGAATGTAGCAGAGTACCTACCTCCTACTCCATCCGCCATGTTGTGATAGTCACTAAAAAGTCATAAGCAAGGCAGTGTCATGTGGTGTCATGGATGAAGGAGAACCAAGTGGTGGCATATGAGTGTACCACAAGTGATTGCGAGTTTTTAGCACTATAGTGCTGCACACAACAGCTTGCACAATACATTATGGATATTTTCAATGAAATGAGTGTTTTAAAGACATGGGTGAAACTTTGACATCACCATTGGGGTCCCAAACGTCCAAGGGGGCCTCCATTTAGTGGGGGCCTCCAAGCAATTAGGGGCCTCCAATTGCGGAAGCGGTAATTTACGAACCACGCCAGGGCCTCCTCTAAGAAATTTTCACTGGGGGACCAGAGGCTCAGAGGCCAAACTTAGGGTACCCCCAAATCCAGTTTTCTCATCGGATTTAGGTCACTTATTTTTCGTCACAGCTCGGATGTCATGATCTAATTTTTTTTTAATATTAATAAAGAAATGGTAGGTCACCAACCCTACTGGTGGATCCAGGCCAGCAGGGTGACATTGTATGTAAATATCCCCCGCGGCGTCCGAAATCGACGAAAATTTCTGGCTTTTTCAATTTCGACAATAAAACAAAATGCCTTTATTTTAGAAAAAAAATAATTTAACGGCACAGCATTGCGCAACGAATCTAGTCGACCCCAGAAAGTGTGAGGGTTAACCCTCGCCTGCACCTGGGGGGTTGGTTGCCACCCCCAAATTAGTTTTTCTGCTCTACACTGAACATTTTTAAAGGTAGAAACCTGATTTTTTTTGTATAGCTGCTTTTCTATCTTTTCTCAGCGTCCATTGAAAATTTCAAGTTTCTGTGGCTTTTGGGTTTGGAGATATGACCTTGTTCTTCAGGTCATGTCATGCCCTAAATAACGAATACCCAATATCTTGCGTTGGCTATGGGCCTTGTGAGCTTTTGACACCCTGATTTCGGCTTTTTTGCCAGTCTTACCTCCCACCTATCATTGAACATGTTGTTTTGCGATGTACAGATGTCAGGGTCAGGGTCAAGGTCAACCTAGGTCATCTAAAACTATTGCGTTTTAGACAAGCTGAATTTACTTTTTGTGAAGTTTCTTTGACTGCATGTTTAGTAAAAGTTTCTCAGTTCATGATATCATGTAATAGGGAAACACAAACCAATCTGTGCACACATCAGTACATACACAGACATACACAGACATACAAACACATATCATTGACCTTGACCTAACTTGACATGAAATGACCACAGCCAGCAAATTAGTCGGATAGTGTGACAAAGAGCTGTTCTAGCTGGCTTGGCACTAATACGGCAGCGTCATCGGTATATGATGGGTTGGTCCGCTGCTTGTGTAGGTATTTTATTCAACATCACCACAATGTTTTCTTCCAAGATTTTAAGCTTCCCAGTTCCCGGTCAAGAGCAACAGATTCTTTGGGAAGAGACGAATCCAATGATACCAAATTTTATCTCATCAGGTCAGTCATTGACCTTCCAGGTCAGGTCAAACTAAAGAATGTTGCTGTTTGGGCTCACCGCTGCCCGTTGGAATATCACGTGTGCTGCTCATCATATACCGATGACGCTGCCGTATTGTGGTGCCAAGCCAGCTAGAACCTCTTTGTCACACTATCCGACTAGGTTTTTGCTGGCTGTGATCATTTCAGGTCAAGTTAGGTCAAGGTCAATGATATGTGTTTGTATGTCTGTGCGTGTCTGTGTGTATACTGATGTTTGCACCGATTGTGAATGTGTCCATATTACATGAGATCATGAACTGAGAAGCTTTTACCAAAAATACAGTCAATGAAACTTCACGAAAGTAAATTCAGCTTGCCTAAAACGCAATATTTTAGACGACCTAGGTTGACCTTGACCCTGACCCTGGCATCTCTACACCATCGAACAACATGTTCCATGATAGGTGGGAGGTAAGACTGGCAAAAAGGCCGAAATCAAAGTGTCAAAAGCTCACAAGACCCATAGCCAACGCAAGATAGGTATTGGGTATTTGTCATTTGGGCTATGACATCACCTGAAGAATAAGGTCATATAATGGTCATATCAATATCTCCGAAACCAAAAAACCACAGAAACTTGAAATTTTCAGTGGACGCTAAGAAAGGATAGAGAAGCAGCTATACGAAACATCCGGCTTCTAGCCAACAAAATGTTGAGCGCAGAGCAGAAAAAAACTACCTGGGGGGGGGGGGGGGTGGCAACCACTGCCCCCCCCCATGTGCGGGTGAGGATTAAATAATTTGAATATCAGGAAAATAATTTATTTAAACAGGTACTCCAACAGAGTCCCGCTTTTTATAGGTGACCTCAGATTTGTGTAGCATCTAAGTTGCCCAGGGGGCCTTTTATTTGTAGGCACAGTACAGAGAGCCTCCTACTTCGACTACTTGCACAGAGAGCCTCCTTTTTGTACATACAGCTGAGCTTCTACAGGTCGAGCGCCGTTCTCCTATTTGTACGTACAGAGAACCTCTACTGTTACAGAGGGCCTCCTATTTGTCTAGGGGGCCTCCTATTTATCCAGGGGTCTTTTATTCGACCAGGGGTCTCATATTTGTGCAGGGGTCTCCTACTTGTCCAGGGGCCTCCTTTTTTGAAGGGCCTCCTTTTTGTTTAGGGAGCCTTCTATTTGTCCAGGGGGCCTCCTATTCGTACAGAGGGCCTCTAGCTCCTACTTGTCCATGGGGCCTCCTTTTTGTTCAAGAGGTCCCCTATTTGTACAGGGGGCCTCCTATTTGTCCAGGGGGCCTCCTATTTGTTCAAGGGGCCTGCTGTTTTTCTAGGGGGCCTCCTATTTGTCCAAGAGGTCTCTTATTTGTCCAACGGGCCTCCTACTTGTTCAGGGGGCCTCCTTTTGGTTAAAGAAGCCTCTTATTCTCCAAGCGGCCTCCTATTGTCCAGAGGGCTCCTATTTTTAGGGGGCCTCCTCTTTATCCAGGGGGCCTCCTTCTTGTTCAGGGGGCCTCCTATTTATCCAGGGGCCTTCTATTCGTCCAGGGGGCCTCCTATTTGTCCAGGGGGCCTCCTTTTGTGAAAGGGCCTTCTATTTGTCCAGGGCTCTTTTTGTGAAAGGGGCCTCCTGTTTGTCTAGGTCTAGGGTCTCCTATTTGTCCAGTGGGCCTCCTATTTTTGCAGGGGGCCTCCTATTTGTACAGAGGGCCTCTGACTTGTCCATGGGGCCTCCTATTTGTTCAGAGGGCTTCTTATTTGTACAGAGGGCCTCCTATTTGTCCATGGGGCCTCCTATTTGTCTAGGGGCCTCTTATTTGTCTAGGGCCTCTTATTTGTCCAGGAGTCCTGCTTGTCCAGAGAGCCTCCTATTTCTCCAGGGGGCCTCCTGTTTTCCGGGGGCCTCCTACTTTTTCAGGGGGCGTCCTACTTGTTCAGGGGGCCTCCTACTTGTTCAGGGGGCCTCCTACTTGTTCAGGGGGCCTCCTATTTGTCCAGGGGGCCTCCCATCTGTCCAACAGGGCCTCCTATTTATATTTATACAGAGAACCTTCTATATGAACATCGGACCTCCATTTGTAGTGACTGGTGCGTCTCGGGGGCCTCCACTATTGGGGTCCCAAAATGACAATTGGGGTCCCAAATGTTCGCATTGGGGTCCCACATGGGACCTCGAAAGTATACAAAGTTACACCCATGTTTAAAGAAATCAAAATACCTAAAAGATTATCGACTCTACACAAATTTACCAGACTTCAATGGTGGTAGGTATGTAGTGGGAAAGGCTTTAAGGCAATATTCTGGTCCTAATTTTTCTCGCGCGTAGCGCTATTGGTTTGGTCTGCAGAAGGGGTGCCCGTCTTACCTACCCTGACCGTCTTACCCATGGGCGTCGCCACCACTACGGACACTACGGACAGTGTCCGTACAAGTTTTGGAAGGCCCTGAAACTTGTACGGAATGTCCGTACAAGTTTCGTCGACCGCAAAAATGCAGTCTTCGCACATGTTTGAAGCAGGTTAAAGCTTATCAGACCCCCTATTTGTGGTTAAAGTTACGATCCAAGGCCGCCCCAAAGTCAATGTCACGCAAGAGTAGGTATAGGTATAGGGTGTGACGAAATTATTCGGACATCTTTTTTATTAGAACTCAGCCCGGCCGCGAACGCTAAAGTGGTTAGGAGAGTTGTCAAGATAGCGACAAGGAAACGACAACAATCAATCTGCAGATTGACTTGTATTCTTGGCAAGGCAGATAATAAGAAGGCCCACATCATGGCCCACCACTGTCCACCCCTTAACTTGGTTCTTCTGCCCATCAAACTGAAAAAGACAACGCAATGGACGGGAAAATAGCTAGTGCACCACCTTTGGCCTCACACCAAGACACATCCACTGCACTGGTCGAAGGAAGACATGAGCGTTTGGTGGAGTGGGCAGCTATTCGCGCTGTATTGTCCTTTGAGCCGTCAAAGCGGCCTTGTGTTGGCTGCCAGTAACTCAAACGTGCCGGCCGTCACCGGCGTCAAACATCCGGCCAAGATCCAGGTCTGGAACATGTTCAGCTTATGTGCGATGTTCCAGCTGTGCATTGTGTCACAGAAGACCACCTTCAGTGACGATTATTACTGAAGCAGCATCCTGGCAAACAAATAATTGGAGCCGCTCAACCGGACGGCACGAGAGGGCTCCATTTCTAAAAGCGCACTGATGTTTGATTCAAGCCACGCTGCTTTCGTGCAGGCTGGAGCGCTACATTTAAGTCCGTAGGAGAATGAGAAGTGACGCCGAGAGAAGCTCTTATCCTTCTGGACTAACCGGCTACGACTTGGAAATAGTTGTCATCCTGATTTCATAGAGATCTTAAGGATTTTTGTCCAGCGGGAGGTGAATAAGGGGACACCCGGCACTGCAGGACCGCCCAACTGTATGTGAGCACATGCTAATACGGCGTCTGTCCACATCAAACCTACTGCTTGAAAACCCAGTAGCTGGAATGTTCCAGGGATTTTTAATTATGATTTTATGAAAGTTGGCGATATCTTCATCAAAAGGAAGACCTCAGGCTGTCTTGTTTCTTAATCGCAGCGGGAAGAAGGTTACCGGATGATTTCGTTACACCCTGTATCCTTCTAAATGCTATTTTACTGGTATTCAGTCATATTACATTTAACCCGCGCGGGGCTGGGGGGTAAATTTTACCCCCCCTCGCGAATTTTTGCGATATCTCAAAAACGGCGGCGCGCAGCGCCGCCAAACTTTCAGTACCTTTTCTTACATCAATTTGACACGTTCCCTGAAAATTTGAGCGAAATCCGTCGGAAAATTTTTGAGAAATTGACGTTTTAGTGACGTCATGTTCGTCATTTTCGCCTCAAAAACGGCAAAAGTTCAAACGCCGCTAACATATTCATTTTTAAAGGAATCAAGACGTAACAAAAAAGGTTATACGTAATTTTACTTTGTCTATCAAATGGCTATCTCGGTTTTTTGAAAATTTTGGATTTTGGCCTAATTTTTTTCAAAAAACTGACTTTTTTGGGAAAATCATTATAAAATCCAAAATTTTGAGTCTATCGAAAAAACGGAATATATGTCAGAGAAGTGGTCTATGTGCACCTACATACCAAATTTTAGAAGAATCGGTTCAAAAATGTGGGAGTTATTCAAAATTTTATGACGTCACGACACACAAAATTTTTGAAAAATGACTTTTTTGGAAGTTCTAGACCTCGTACGGAAACAAAAATAGCACCATTCGATTCGCCGTGAACAACTGCATCAGATAGACACCTTTTTAGGCCTTAACAACCAACTTCAAAATTTGACCTCACTTGACCTGACCTTGACCTGACCTCGACCTGAAATTCATCCAGAGGTGGTCCATCTCACTTATTGAGTGTGCCTATTGAATTCTATGAGTAAAGTGACCCATAAAACATGTGTCGCACATGCCCTTTTCTATATTTTGTTTTTTGGTGACCTGACCTGACCTGACCTGACCTTGACCTTGACCTCTGAATGATATTGTATGCAACGAATATTGTCTTGGTAGCCTAAGAACACGTTTTGGGCGATCAGTCTCAGTCCATGACTCCATTCGTCGGCAACTACGGTGCAAGGCCCATACTGTAGAAACTTGCAATTTGTACCCTTGACCTGACCTTGACCTTGACCTCAAACTTTAAATTAAGTACATGTTTTTAGTAGTTCGTGATGAGAGCTTTCGATTGGCGTTTGAATTTTCCAAATCGGACCGTTAGTTCGGGAGATAACAGGGGGGGGGTAAAATTTACCCCCCCCAGCCCCGCGCGTTCGGCTGGAGACCCCAGCCCCGCGCGGGTTAACCCGGCAGGCGGTGGGCCTACCAGCCACCTTCCACGCGGTGGGGGGGGGGGGCACTTTTTTGCCCCCCCCCCCGTATCTCCGAAACTACTGGACGGATCCGGAAAATTCAAACGGCGTTCGATAGCCCTGTCAAATTTGTCGAAGGAAACCAAATTTCATTGACCTCGGGGTCACCGATGACGTCACAGGTCAGGTCAAAGATAAAATGTTTCACCGTTCACAGGGCTTCTAGGGAAAGCGCTATAACACCGAGTAAAACGCATTTTGTCGAAAATCAGCGATAAGGCGTCAGTTGTCTAGTACATATGTTGCTATTAGAGGTCACTGGTCATACCAGGTCAGGTCACAGGTCAGGTCACCAAAGGTCACCAAGGGTCACCACATGAGCCCAACTTTACTAAGGTTATGTGATGCATGTTTTATGGCCAGTTTTTTATTTCCAACTCAATGGTGTTGGTTATAAGACCATCAGGTACGGTTTAGGTCACTTTCTGGTGGAGGTCAGGTCAAGGTCAGGTCAAAAAGGTCAAATTTCAAAGTTGATATTTTTGCATAAAATGGGTATCGATTCGATGCAGCTCGTCACGGGGAGTCTAATGGTGGTCTTTGTTTTGCGCTACGAGGTCTAGAATTGCTAAAAATTGAGTTTGAAAATTTGACGTCATCAATTTTGAACAGTTTTTTTCGCTATAACTTGGCCAAAAAACGAGGTATCGATCTCAAATTTGGTATGTAGATAGAAGGCGGTAGGGACTATCACATATATTCCGGTTTTTTCGAAATTCAAAAAACTTTTTGGATTTTTTTTGGCTATAATATTCAAAAAATCTATTTTTTGATTTTTGGGGGTCAAAATCCAAAAAATTCGAAAAACCGAAATAGCAGTTTTGTAGCCCTATTGATTCCACACCTTTTATGTCGAAAACATTTTTCTGTATCTCTAAAGCTGTAGGCCGGACAGCTCTTCCCGCGAAACTTTTTTTGGGTCGAAAATGGCAAAAATGACGTCACTCTTACGTCATTAGCGGCCAACCTATCATAGCCTTTGGAAAAATTTTTGGTCACCATGTGCGCTAGCTGCTCCCGGGAGGGTACTGAAAGTTTGGTGACGATCGGCGCAGCGGTTCTCGAGATATATCGAAAAAAGTAAAGGGGGGGGGCAAAAAAATGCCCCCCCCACCGCCTGGAAGGTTAATCATGTCACTTTTGTCATCCTGAGGCTCTAAATGAATGCTTAGATCAAAAGGAATGACGATATCGTGGCCAGTGACTTCAAATACAGCAAATGAGACTGATCATGTGTAAACGTCAACCAAAGGCCATTCGAGGTCACATGAGGTCAACATAAAACTTGACCTTTTCAAACAACCTATATGTCATTCGACGCGTCTTGACATGACGAATGCGTTGGTACCACTGCTTTAGGTCTAGGACCTTTTTTGGTGAAGAAATCTGCAAAAAAAAGCCGCAGCTCGGGGTCGCTAACCTAACCTTTGACCTAATGTCGCTAACCCTTTGACCTAATGTAGGTTGGTATCAAAAATGTGTTTGTATTTTTTCCCGAAACCACTAGGCATTCGGGGCTATCGCAACTATTCGTCCGAGGTGTGTGTGTGTGTGGGGGGGGGGGGAGGGGAGGACGAAAAACACCCTCCCTGGGTCCGCGTGGGTTAACACATCTGACGAGTATTATATACGGCTGACAGAATGTGTCCGTACAAGTTGGGGACCCGTGGCGACGCCCCTGGTCTTACCCCACTTTCCCCTACCTACCCCTAATAGCTACGGCCTTGGCTGTATTGTATATACCTACCTAGAAACTTCTGACAACCAACAGATAGATATAACAGCTCTGTGTGTAAGTATACTTTGAGAAAAAAACTGCTGCGCGCCGTCAAAGCCGCAGTCGGGGCCGGCCGACCCGGGAAGCGGCGCCGCGGCCACAGTCGGACCGCGGCCCATAGCTACTAGAAAGGCCACCAGCCGGCTTCTGAGGTCCTAACTGGTGTCCACGGGTGGAGAATTGTGCTGGACTGGGGGTGCTCGACCTCTTCCAATTCCACGCCGGCTTGGCTTTGGAGCTGCGGCCGGGCGGCGCGGGTCAAGGTCACCGCTAGGCGGCGGCGGATTAGCTGCGCCCGAGCACCCCCAGCTGGTCACAATTCTCCACCTATGCTGGTGTCTGAGCAGTGAGCGTCTTGGCACTCTGAGGATACTCTGGTAGTTCCTTGATGGCTAATGTCTACTGCTAAGAACACTGCCGAACAAACGAGTACGGTTCAGCATTGATTCAAAGATCGGTGTTGGATTGGAAATGTTGTATTCTAGGACTGGAAGCCGTGTGTATAAAACCACAACCACACGGTACACACCCACGCGCGCGACTCACGCGGCCCGCTCAGTTGCCGGCGGACGGCCGGCGGCGCGCCCGCGGCCCTGGCCGACCGTACACGGTACACAGTACCCCGGCGGCCACCGGCACCGGCCACCGACCGTACACACCACTCTAATCTCCTGCCGAACGCACGCAGTAGACGCTTCGAGAACAAAACGCGGCAACGGGAAACAGTAACGCCATATGCATGGAATAGAGCAGAGCATATATATGTGGACAACGTAACGGCTGTGCTCGAACACCGCGAACAGGCCACGGCTGCACAGGATTCTTCATATGGGGAATGCACCGGAATGCGATAAACGGTTGAGATATTGTGCTACACACTCTCTCAGCTTCTGACAACAACCAACAGATAGATATAACAGCTCTGTGTGTAGGTATACTTTGAGAAAAGAACTGCTGCGCGCCGTCAGAGCCGCAGTCGGGGGCAGCCGGCCGACCCGGGGAGCGGCGCCGCGGCCACAGTCGGGCCGCGGCCCATGGCACATTGGGTGGTCTGCGGCCGCCGCGGACGGGCGCCGCCGGATCAGGGTGACGCACACACACCGACGCACTCACAGACACGCAGACGGACACACACGCACACACCGAGAGGAGGGATGAGCACGCGCCGGCGCGCGGACGGGCGGCGAGCCGCGCCCCGCCTATCACCCGGTCGGCAGGAGAGAAGAAACGGAGAAGAGAGGACGCCACCGATCGAGACTGGGTCGGAAGTTGGACAGACTGGCATACAGGGCCGAGGCCCAGACGGTCACGAGGAGAGAGACATTGTACGCGCGCCCGTCGCGGAGGCGGTGGCTCGGCCCGCCGAGCGCGCCACGCCCGGACATCCACACCCGATATACACCAGACAAGCAGGAGTAAGGCTGGCGCCACCGCGGCAGCCCCTCTGCCCAACGGGTGCAGTATGAAGAAGATACGAAACCCTTTGATTTAAGTTGACTACAATGAGAGTATATATGTATGTTAGCTATGTATGTATATGTATAATACAAACTATTCATAGTATGTACAGAGCCGGGGCGGGGCGGCGCGCCGCGGGCGCCGGCCGGCCGGCGCGCGGTACAAAACGGGGCAGTGTGGGCACGTGTGCGGCGGCCACACGACTGGCGGCGGGCGCCACTGCGCGCTGAAAGACTGGCCGGCTGCGGCGCGCCGCTGTGTCAGCACCAGTCCTCGTCCTCCGAGTCGCCGGCAGGCTGCGGCAGCCGGCGGCCGGCCGGGCGCGCCACGCCCGCGCCCCCGCCGCCCGGCCGGTACCCGTTCGGCACCACAGGCGACGGCAGCTGCCGGGTGCCGCGGCCCATCGCCACCGCCTCCTCGAAACTGAGCGGCGGCTGCGGCTCGGCGGCGTACGTCGGCGGCAGCGGCGGCCGGCGCACGGGCGGAACACCTGGCGCCGGCATCCTGCGGCCGGTGTGAGTCGGCGAGGCGTTCACCTTGGGGAAGTTGAAGGGCGCTGCGCCCGGTGGCGGCCGGTAGCCGGCTGCTCGGGCCACGTGCGGAAACTCGGCCGGGTCGAGCGTGGAGGGCCGGCTGGGAGTGGGCGGCAGCCGGCGGCCGCCGCTGCGCCGACTCGGCAGCGTCGGGAACGAGTTGCCGGTGCGGCGCGGCGGCGGAGACGGCGAGCGGCTCTGCTGGTCCAGCGAGCCGGCGCCGTAGCCGTTCGTTCGCCGCCGCCGCTCGGGGCTGATGGAGGCCGCCCGCTCGTTGGGTAGCCGCCGGTGCCGGTGGGGCAGCGCCCAGTCGCAGTGGTCCTTGCCTGCCGGAGGCACACAAGGCGCGGTCAGAGTCTGATTAACTCGCTTACACCATGCATCAGCTGCACATAGCCTCGCTAACAATCATTCACCATTAAAATTATTCAATTACTAGACTTAACAATCACAGCTGTCGGTTTTATCACGCACATTACATTAGGCAGGCTATCCAACTGACCTGGCGGCCCTGACCTGATGACCTGCACTGACCTGGCAGGCTGCGCTGGAAGGACGCGGCGGGCGACGGCGAGCGGTCCTGGTAGGGCGACTGGGGCCGCACGCGCCTCCGGAATGACGAGTTGGGCGAGTGGTAGGCGCGCGGACTGGGCGACCGCGAGCGGAAACTGCCCGGCCGGAAGCCGCCCTGCAGCTGGGTCACCAGAGAGGCGATCGAACTGCGCCGCGACCCGATCAGGTCACCCTGCACCCACAGCGCCCGAGAGACACCGTCAGACTCACAGACGGACAGGCAGGGCGGGGGTGCACAGCTTATTGGTAGGTATAGATACGGGGGGAGGGGGGAAGGGGCAGTAATGGGTCACCTGGTCTTATTTACTTTATAAAACGTGCTATCAGGTGGGTCAAATCAAAGGTAAATGTTCTTGAAAGACGAACGCCATGAGAACGATCACGTATTGGTGAGACAGGGATCGTATGTCAAATCTGAACTTGGGTGATTATTTGTGGGGCGCTCTTCTTATTGGTACAGTTGCAACATAATCAAATGAATGTTCAAGCGTAGACGAATAATGATCAATCTAGCTATCAGCAGTTGAGTCACTTCTACATTACAAAATCTTTACTTGTGTGCTTTAGCAATTGAAAACATCATTCAAGCTTTGTCGTCATATCTTAGATAACAGACCCTTCAATGCAGACAGCATCAGTACAAATAACCAATAAGACAAAGAACCAGTAATAAAGCAAAGTATGAAAAGCGGCAATAAATATGAAAACCATAGCATGCTGTATTTTCACACCAAAACCTGTGAATGCTTGTCACACATGTGTATGCGAGTGTGTGAAAAAGTGTGGCATATCAGTGAGCATGCAGTGATATCAGTAGGGACGGGCTGGTCAGGCCCGCCGACCTCTCGTGGGCTCAGCTCCGTAGACTCTGTCCCGCAGAGTTCACAGCGCTGACAGACGGCCGGTCTCGTTGATTCCTCGGTAGTAGAGTCGGTTACCTGCCGTTGCGGCGGCCATGGCGCGGCCGGCCGTGCTGGCGGGATCGGAGCCAAGTCCAATCTTATTAGAAGGACATTGGCGGCATGGGACAACAGGCGGTGACCGGGGTCATTCAGCGGTGCGTGCGCCGGTCAGTAGGACCTGCACAGATGTATGTATGGTGTGGTGCTCACCCTACCGAGATTGGTGGGCTCTGTCGGCGAGCGATGAGCGAGATTGGTGGGCTCATGTCGGCGAGCGATGAGCGAGATTGGTGGGCTCATGTCGGCGAGCGATGAGCGAGATTGGTAGGCTCATGTCGGCGAGCGATGAGCGAGATTGGTGGGCTCATGTCGGCGAGCGATGAGCGATCACATGGTGAACATGGAGGCGACCACATACAGGGTGTCCAGAAAAAACGGATACTATTATTTTTTGCTGTAATTCCGAAAATAAACACCTTACATTTTAAAATGGCACATGCTTGTATTCGCCAAAATATGGCAAAACAGACAGCAGGTGCCACATGGCATGTAAACTCTTTGGTTAGTTGCGGCAGCTCCTCAAAGCAGATACTCAATGTGAGCGGCCTTACGGCGGATCAGCTCCAGCACTAGCACAGTCTGCAGGTGACTGATGGTCATGCTGACCATCTCGGAGGGCAGGCAGACAACTTTCCAACGACGCATTACAGTGCTCATGAGTTTTGCCAAATCTTGCACTATAAGCACATGAATTTGGAACAAAATCGGCACGTTCGTTAATGAATGCGACTTAATTTCCGTAGTATCTTTTTTTTCTGGACACCCTGTAATATCCAGACGTTTCATTCATGTTGTGTTTAATCAGCTCACGATCTATAGCAGTGTGCTAAATTTAGATTAAGGTATGAGGAGATAAAGCGTTGCATGATAACCTATTGTCTAGTCGATAAATATCTCGCTGAGAGATATGTATTATTCTTCAGATGGAAATACCTATGTATAACTGAAGCAAAGATGAGCACTATAACGCAGCAAAAATTCATCGAAGAGAGGGTGCTCTACAATACCATTACTCCTATGGGAACTCAGCAATACAAACGAAAATACCCAGACACGAGTGTTTTACAGTCGATGGAAATGGTGAGCGAAAGGCGAATGGAACGGTGCGCGTAGGTTGATGGAGTAGTGCATCAAAGTCGACATTTAAAATCAACGTACTTGTGTCCTAAAGTAAAAGTAACTACAGGCTTGGTCGTCTTCGCCAATGGGATGAGTCTCTCTGTCCTCGATATTTGTGTCTGGACTAAAAGAATACCTAGGTGCAGGCGCCATCAACATACTGAACTCACTTCCGAAGACTCGCACGAGTCGCCAGCGCTGTCGATGGTGTGGTAATACGACCGATCCCAGACTCCGTCCCCGATCAGCTGATAGTGTCGCCGCGCCCCGCTCCTCATACAGCCATTGAAGAGGTGGCCACCAGCGGGGCGGCCAACCGGTCGCTCCATGGGCAGAAAGCGGTTTGCGCCGCGGTAGACCGCTCGGTCGAACCGATGAGTCGCGCTGGTCAGCCGGTCGGTCGGTCGGCGGGGATCGCTGTTATGTCGGTCGTTTGGCCGGGGCAGGAAGCGAGGCTCGCTGTTGCGTCGGTCACCTGGCCGGCTGAAGTGGCGGAAGGCGCTGCTTGGCCGCTCGTCTGGCCGGTGCGAGGGGTGGGCCCAATCTTCTCTGTCCGAGTGGCAGTGCCAGCCGCTCGGACTGACCACTGACTGGAGCGACTGGACGTCGTCTGACTGGTGGAACCGGTCCACCACTCCGGGAGCACTGCTGGCTGTCTGTCCAGGGGAAGCCTTCCCTTTCGTCAGAGCTAGCATCTCCGAAGAAGGCTAGAAAACACCAGAGTACTTAGCCGTAACACTAAGCACCAGTAAACTAGAAGTGAGCACAGCCAATAAAATGAATACGATTATTGTGCTTACATAATTCCCACTTCGCAGGCGGCGATGAATCACTGCTAACTTCAATGCTAGAATACCTAAAGAATTTGTAACACAAGTTATTCCTCATTTCGATGAGTTTCACTTCACAAGTTAGGTATCGAATGTTACTTCCACTATCAGTACATCAAAGCTAGGGTAAAATCGCATTTTCACAAGCTACACGACTAAAAACTGTGATCTATTACACTATGCAACAAAAAATGGAAAATTTTCTGTTCCTGGAAAGCGACCGAATTTTTCTTATTCATTGGGTCCTATTATAACCGAAATGGGCATTAGTTTTGATCTGAAAATGCTTTTCCGGTTTTCAGAGACGATTTTCGATTTTTGGCCCCGAAATTCGGTTTTTGGCCCACCGTGTCCGATGTAATTGAGTAGTCGACTCGCGGTAACTTTCATCGCCTTTCCTATGCCACAAGCTTTCGAATGATATCTGGTTTTGCATATTTGCGTGCAAAAATAACGTCATAAATCTATGTTAAAGTAAGAAAATGTTGAAATTTTGTAAAAATTTGACATTTTTTTGATTTCATTTCAAAATAGAGGAAAAACTAAAGGCCCCATCCAAATTCTGAGCCCAGTTCCTTGAAGAGCATTCAATTTCCGTTCGGAAGGTACCTTTTTAGTGCATTTTATCGGATTCCTGTGGCGTCCAGATTGAGTTAACCTAAACACATATCCTAAGTCATATCACATACATTAACCTGATAACGTATGTTAACGCCATAGGATCAACGAGGGGTCAACTGAGGTCATTTTGTTGACCCCTTGTGACCTCGGGTCACACGCAGGAACTTACTTTTGAGCAGTCCTGTCGCTCAGAATCTTGATCTGTTGGGGGCCCGTTTTTCAAGTGACTCAATCTGGACGCCACAGTAAACCGATAAAATGCACTAAAATAGTACCTTCCGAACGGAAATTGAATGCTCTTCAAGGAACTGGGCTCAGAATTTGGATAGGGCCTTTAGTTTTTACTCTATTTTGAAATGAAATCGAAAAAAATGTCGAATTTTTTACAAAATTTCAATATTTTCTTACTTTAACATAGATTTATGACGTTATTTTTACACGCAAATATGCAAAACCGGATATCATTCGAAAGCTTGTGGCATAGGAAGGGCGATGAAAGTTACCGCGAGTCGATTACTCAATTACACCGGACACAGTGGGCCAAAAACCGAATTTCGGGGCCAAAAATCGAAAATCGTCTCTGAAAACCGGAAAAGCATTTTCAGATCAAAACAAATGCCCATTTCGGTTATAATGGGACCCAATGAGTCCAAAAAATCGGTCGTTACTCAGGAACAAAATGACTGTTGCATAGTGTTATAATTGAAACTGGAGAGGCATTGCTATTTACTACTGAGCTAAAGGGTTCCGAGTGGCTACTCCAGCCCCAGCCCTTATGAATATAATTTGACTCATTTGTGATAGCTAGCTAGTATACCAGCTGTGTGGAAGGGCAAGAAGGGCAAAGCCAAACCTATATGTTCTATCCTCAGCCGTCAACTATCCGATGCCTTTACGGCCACCCGCCTGTGCTGCCTCAAAATTCTCTGCGGAGCGATGGTTGCGAAGTCGGACACCGGAGGTAGACTGTACCGCGGTACACTCAAGCCACGCGGCACAGTCTATCTTTCAGGCGCTTAGCACCTCTGCCATCTAGCGGCGGAATTCAGAGTCGGACACCAAAGGTAGACTGTACCGCAGTACTTCCGAGCCGCGCGGCACAGTCTAGCTTTCAGGCATTTAACAAGTTTCTGCCATCTAGCGGCGGAATCGTAAGTTGAAGCAGGCAGCGCAGTTGGCTGCATGAAACGAGATCGTGTAGTGGCAAGATGAGTGAAAGGAGTGATAAACAGTTGCTGTTTCTAGAAAAATGAGGTAAATATATCACTTTCCTGCCGTTCCCAGACCCTTCTCGAACAAGCCGTCAGTAGGTATTATGAGGTAAGCTGTCGAGTGAATGTCAACGGATATCCACCGAACCATTGCCAGATTCAAACGGTGAAGAATGCGCCCCGATTGCAACCCGAAAGAGTATTTTATGCGGCAAATATCAGCCATCATCGAACATCAAGTGGATATCGTAATCGATTCACCTAGTGCTATCGCTTTGTACGAATCTATGGATCAGCTAAAATACCAACGCCAGCCCAAGCAATGTCGTCACCGCACACCAGCTGAAGGATGGGCTAGCTACGGACCAGAGAATGAGTCACTGGGAATCACCAGGCATGAAGCATAACGTAGAATGGCTTCTGAATAAGCTGAAACGACGGTTTTGTCTGGTTCACAACGTTACGGACATTGCTTTGTCTGAAACGCATAGTAGCGGACACAGTGTGTTGTCTGGATACCATCGTAGCAGACACAGTGTGTTGTCTGGATACCATCGTAGCAGACACAGTGTGTTGTCTGGATCACACACGAGCGCCGGCGAGGCAGAGCGTGAAGGGCGACAGAGACAGAGACAGCGCCCGAGCCGGCGCGGAGGCCGGAACCCGGGGCAAGCCAGTCGGAGCACACGGAGCGGAGCGGAGGCGCGCAGAGAGGAGCTCAGCGACAGAGAGCCACGAGGTCGGGCGGGCGGCGGGCGGCGGGCGGCGGGCCGGCCGCTACCTGGCCACTGCCGCGGGGTGACACCAGCTGCTGGGAGGCCGAGCGGTGGCGCGCCGGAGAGCCGGGCGGATCGTCGGGCCGCCAGAGCCGCGAGTCGGAGCCGCCCAGCCGGCGCCACGGCTCGACGGCCGCCTCCGTGTACACTACCGTCTGAGAGGGCCCCAGCAAACTGCCGGCACAGGGCGACGGGCGGCAGCGTCAGCGGCCGACGGCACAGCAGCACGGTCGGGAAAAACACTTCAGAGTACATCAGTAACATCTGTTCTCAAGCAATGCCAAAACTTTATTGACGTTTTGGCACCTCTGCATAAGTTGAAGTTATATCCGACTTTAGGTCTCAGCTCGCCCTCCCGCCTCGTCCGACGGCCGTCGCCGGGCCGGCACCCACCTTACGCTCTGTCGGTCGTCGCTGTCGCAGAGCTCGTCGTCGTCATCGGCGGCGGGCGGCGGCGGCGGCGGCCCCGACGGCTCAGCCGCCGCGCGCGGGTTGGTCGGCCGCGCTATGCCCATGATGCGCTCTAGCAAACTGGCTTTCTGCGGCCGGCGGGCGACGGAGGAGGGTCAGGGGCAGTCAGAGGCCGGCGCGTGCCGGCCAGTCGCCGGCGCGGCGGCCCGCCCCGACCGGTGGCAGTGCCGTGTGAAGCAGTGAGACCGGTGAACGTGACAACGAGGGGCGGCGAGCGCCCTGCGATGTTCTGTGGTGAAAATCTCCCCAATGGTGGTGAAAACCCGCATGCGAAGAAAAATTAATCTACTCTCTATTCTAGAACCCGGCTTGCGTGCATGCACCGGTTTTGTAACTCTATGATCTATCTATACTCTATTCCTAGACAAGCAAAGAAACCCAGAGCAGCAGAAGAGGATAGAAAAAATACTAGATGTATATACTACCGAGTCGGGAGGCACTAGCTCCTGCTTCTCCTGAAAAGACCAGACAGCACACTATCATCTAGCCGTCCGGAGCCCGGACCGGGGGCCCGTTTGTACCATCAGTGATCATTGCCGCCTAAACGCTAGTCATCTCTCCACTAGCTATTCACTATTAGATTACACGTGTCCCAATGATCCCGGCAGGCATGACAAACTCTGTGCTTATGGCAACTAGACACGCATTTCTAATCAAAGATCGCTCCAACGGCCAACACTCGAGCACTGATTTTGACACTCGTTTACCTTACAACATTTCCTATTGTTACGTGACAAGGCATTCCTGTACATTCACTGGGGTCAACAGATGATCACTGCCTAATAGAAAATCCTAAAAGAGATGTCTCAACACTAGTGACTAGTTCACACACTTCTTATATGTCATGCACCCGGATTGTGGCACAAGGGGTTGACCAGACACAGCATGTATGTAGTTTTCTTTTCGAATCAATGTCCTTCGTATAGTCGTAAATACGATAAGCGATTAGCACAATACTCAAACATGATTCATGCAAACACGATTGGCGCAAAAGTTTCTCCTCGTAACGATAAATATATAATGGTATAACCATGTTGCAGTCAAGGTTTGTGAAATAAGCAACAAGAGGCACGTTATCTGGCTCCACTTACCGGTTGATTTTCGGGCGCTATCTGCCCAAACCGCGTCGTCTTCCAGTTCTCCAGTATCAGCAGGCCGGCGTAGATCTTCCCGACAGTCAGCTTGCCCGCTCCCACCTCTGCAGAGGCACGTGCAATGAGAAGCGCAGTCGACAGAAGACGAGGAGCGGCGTCCTAATGCAAAGCAGCATCCACGCGCTACAGTCGTGGTTTCGAGCAATTTGTCGGTAAAATGTTGATAAATTGGTTCATTTTCCCCGAACGTTCTTATTTAGAAAATTTAATGACTCGATGCACTCACGTTCTCTTGGAGGGACGAGCAGATCGAGCAGCTTCTTGGCTTGAAGCGGCCAGAGTTTCGTAATTGTTTTCCGCAACTCGGCGTCCGCCTGGTTCATCTCATCCGCTGGCAAATGTGATACAACACCCGTGTCATATCTACGTCAGGTCGATTACACTAGCAAAGTGCTGTCTAAATTGGATAATGGATTTGTTCTAACAGCGATTCGGTCACATCAGCCCGGCTGTCCGGCGTCCACTCAGCACTCACCGGGCCTCATTTTGATGCTGAGGTTCTCCCTGATGAGCGCGAACAGAGTCGTTGTGAACTGCACTTTGCCCTCCTCGTCGATGGGCATGTTCATTCGGATGAGCTTCTTATGCGCCAGCCGGTACGGACACTTGTTTCCGAAGCCGAGTGGAGGCTCCATGTTGCGCAGCATGTCGTACATTTCTGTGTACTCTATCCTGCCACTGTGGGCAACAGGGCGGGCAACATTGTCACACCAGTAAGCTCATAGACTAGAGAATCAGCTGGCGTCTTACATCAATGGGTACTGTAGATATAATATAGAGTATTAAATGATGCGGCCAGGTTTACTCATCAACAAGGTTGTAAGGTACACAGAAACCCACTCGGCGCTATGACATTATTTTGAAGCGTCTCTCAACATATTAAATGCATTTTTATTGATATAGGAACTTACAAAAGATGCTTAGTCAATACTTAATAATACAATAACACAAATCAAAAAGGTAGGTCATACCGCAAAGTGAGCTATGTCAGCGAATTCGCCCCTTTCCTTTCACAGCCCGACAGGGTGTGTGTGCGCGCGCGCGCTATCTCGTTGAACTCACGTTGCATTCGGGTCGTACTCGGCCCATATCCGATGGAATTCGTCCAGATGATGGGCTCCCAGGATCGACGAGTCGCGCGTCAGGTAGTCAAAGTTGTCCATAATTACAGCCACAAACAAGTTGAGCATCTGGACGAGAAAAGGAGACGATCAGATGGTTATCCAAGATCGCGTGAAAAGATGAATGTGAATGCAGGATAGGGGTTTTCGCCCTGCAACTAAGGGGCTTACATACAAGCGACGGGATGGTTATACATTGGTACATACATACTCGTATTTCAACACCAACGGGGCAGCTATATTACCATGTTTCTGAAAAGTCGACTCGATACATGGGGTGCATGACCTGCATAAACCATGAGCATTGAGCAAGGCAGACCAGAATGTACACGAACCCAAACGATTCTGTCATGGCACTCAGACGAGCTCGCAATGTCCAATAGGAAAAAAAATAACACGACAGATGACTCACCAGGAATGAGCAGAAGAATATGAACGAGACGAAGTAGGCGTAGGCGAAGTCCGAGCCGCACACCTTGTGGGGATCGTTTTCGGGGATGGCGCGCGGATCGCACGGTCTGCCCTTGATGCAGGCGAGCATGATGCTCTGCCACGACTCGCCAGTGGCACACCTGGGGGCGGGCGCGATCAGTGCAGGTGCGGCTGGGCCGTCACATCACTGACACGGGGGGGGGGGGCAGGGGCACAGGCAGGTCGCTGCTGGAGGCGACCAAAACAAGGTATTATGCCTGAAAGTTCGCGTCAAAACTAAAACCCTGTAATATTCAACCTGAGCAGATAATCGAGTGAACCACTTACGAGAGGTCTTCAAAGCAACAGTTCACTGATAAAATTACGTAAATAGTCCTACATTTACGCCAATAGCAGCCTGTAACAGAAGTCGTCAATAATCCCATAAATAATACAGTTATTGTGGGCATCAACTGTAGCACATTGAGCTGGAAAACTTGGTAGGGCACGGGACAATGGGGGGGGGGGGGGGGAGCAGTGGTGCGAGTTTTTGCGGTGTTCACAAAAGCACTGCAGGTGAAGAAAAATTTGTGTCAACACAGCCATCCTGTACCTGTGAAGGTAATGATGTGCGTTTAATGGGGATTTTAACTACTAAACACATATTAGGTACACCATCTGAAAGGGCAACAATTACCTGAAATTTGCAACAGTATAATTTAAGAGTTAACCCGCGCACCGACGGGGGTCTGCGCCAACTTCGCACCGACGGGGGGGGGGGGCGGATGACCGCCCCCCCCCCCTGAGATCTCGAGAACGAAGCAAGATAGCGACAAGCGGTAAACGGCATCGGATATGCACGGCCAAGATCTACAATTTTTACAAAGGTCATTTTCAGGTCAGGTCAAAGATGACGTCACAGGGGTCGAAAAAGTCAAAATGGCGGCGCTAGATATGGAGAGAGTTTTTCTCGAATAACTTTCGAATTAGTCAAGATAGGAACAAACTAAGGACATCATCGTGATCCTCTCGTCAATCCACATCGAATGATATATATGTTGACCTCGAAAGGTCAAGGTCAAAGGTTGACCTCAGGTCACGTGACCTCGAGGTCATCATGTATATCATTCGATGCGTCTTGACAAGCTGAACACAATGAGACCATCCACGCGTCTGTATCTTGTTCCTGTACGGAGTTATTGGCCAAAAACCTTTGGTGACCTTTGATGACGTCACATGACCTCACAGCTGCCCAACAGCAAAACAGACCTCAAGGTAGTGAAGGTTGATCGTATATGAAGTCATGTATGGTATATGGGGCCATTCCGACCCGTTTTAGTGGTAAAAACAGGGAGTTGATTTTCCCCCATTGACTTATAATGGGGAGGTCGCGAAATTGACCTGACCTTAGGTCACCGATATCAAAATTCCGAGATATACAAATTGTAGCCACTAATGACCTTATAATATCCTGCGACTTTCAAAGGCCTCCGACATCTACTGTAGCTCTGGCACGGTGACAAAGTTGCAAAAAAGTGACTTGAGGTTGGGTCATTCAAAGTGACCTGGTGACCTGACCTTAAAAGGTAGGAGGTTCAAACTTGCACACCATGTGTAAAATTGATGAAGGTATAGTCATACCAAATTTCGCGGCGCCACGCGCCGCGGTTTTCCCGCTATCCGCGAAAAACCTCAGGGGGGGGGGGGCGGATATCCGCCCCCCGTCGGTGCGCGGGTTAAATAAGCGCAATTGTCTGATGGCAAATGATGTCAGTTTATCAAAAAATGATGGGCTAAGTAATATTTTATGCTGCACCGTTTGGGAATGCGACGCTATTAGTCTGATGGCTAATGGAATTGCTACACTATAATTTAAATCGCATTTATCGCATTTAAAACTTATTTAGCTCATTTTGCTTTCATGTGATAGGAAATGAGCCCAAATTTAATATCGGTCCTAAACTATTCCACATGATGAAGGGTAGCGGACACATTTCTGTCATGCAGCATACACACCACTCGATGAAGCCAGAACCCATTACTAGTTACCTGATTTACAGTCTGGAAGTTACACCAATTATCTTTTGAGCAATACCATGGTATAACGTAAAGCATTCATGTTTCAGCGAACCATCGCAAAGGCATGCAAAATGAAGAAAACGTATGGACGTTGTAAAAAAACTTAAATAAAAGTATCGTGGCATAACAAAAACATGTGGATGCGAAATGTGAATTAGAAAGACGTGCGCGGTTAATGCAAAAAAGGGTTAGCGTCAATTTTTTGGTTCTACTTCAAAAGAATTGCAGTTTTGACCGAAAGGCTTTTGCAAGAGGAAAACTAGATAACATCTGTCTCATAAAGACTCTGAATGGAGCGGCACTTGCAAGTAATGCACATAATACATATGTCATATACGAGCCGAATTCTAAAAAAAAAACTATAAAAATAGTTGTATTCGACAAAATAGAAATAGCAAGTTACATGTAGCATTGTGCAAGAGGGAGCTTTGTCAAGTGCTGGTGCTTCGCAGTACGTTCGACGTTTCGGTCCACCTTTATCTTGGAATGCGCGATGAGCAGCGCCGCTCCCAGTTGATATACCATATCGAGGAGCCGTTTACTTTGTGTGATAATTTTTGCAAATTGACGCGATATGTGCGAGTGAGAGTAACAAGAAAACAACGTGTCATCATGCGGAGCCAGTGTAAACCAGTGGTGGAAGTAAAGAGACTCAAGTGATGTGGTAACAAAACGAATAAAACCAATAATATGAAGGCACACCAAACAACACAGACAACAACCATACGGTTACCTGAATAGTAACATTAGCGCTTGAAAGAAGTGACGGAAGTTATTGTGCCTAGATATGGCAGTTCCTGGGTCCAAAGCTATGTTACCAAATACCTAAGGGACAAAAATAGGCATCAAGACACAGTCAGCGCACCCGATGCAGCTGCTAGTCACGACTCGACCACCTACTCAACACAACGACAGCTGCAGTGTCACCTACGTCGGGCGGGTCGGTACCTGACCTAAGGTCAACTGCGCGGCTAGTCGTCACTGACGGGGGTGGCGCCGACGGGCTCTGACCTACTCGGACGGCGGCGGAGACATGCAGGATGAGTGGAGCGAGCCCGGCCGAGGGGGGCACTGCGCCGGGGCGGGTGGGGTGTTGGGCATTGAATTACGGTGTTTGCGTCTGGAAGCCTGATATTACCGAGGTGTGTAGTAAGATAAGCACTTCAATGGATATGCAGGAGGTCCTAAAAGCTTAAACCGATTTGAAAAGCTCTAAAAATACAAGCGGGGTTTGATATATAGTTCAAACTTTCGTCTCCCCTTCCTTCATGTGACCACTTGGATAGGCCATAAGTTTTTATTGTAAATAACCTGCAGCAAAGGAAGGGCTCATAGGTTGCGTTGTTTTTAAGGCTCCCAGACGGCTCTCGATTCTCGCCTGACACACTGCACGTAGACACAGCTTCACTCCCACTCTATTCATTACCTAAACACTCACGCCTCATCCAACGCTCGCAGTCTCACAGGTCACTCTCACAAAGCAGCATTCATCCGTCGGGTATCATCGTAAGGGACCAGTGTCATGTCCGAGACGTGCCCGAAGGGAGACCGCTTGAGGCGTATACCCGGCGCATAAGACGGATCCGGAGCGGCGGACGTGTGATTGGGCTGTTGGTCTTCAGCCCCGACTGCTGTCTCGGCTCCGCTGTGTGGGGACGGCCCGAGGACACAGGACGGGACGGGGATCACGGAACACTGCGGGCGGAGCATGCAACGAGGCTAGACTGCGGCGCAGGCTGCAAGACGTGCGCGGTGCGGCGGTCGGCTCGGCGCGGCATGCGGGCGCAGCCAGCCGACCCCACACCAGGGCGCTCCAAAGACCGACCGACCGACAGACAGACAGACAGACAGACAGAGAAAGATTCCGACTCACCGAAAAAGCAATAACACAGAGCTGAAGAAACTTTGAAAGTTGTTGTGCCTGTTCATATCCGAGTCGGGATCGAACCCCATATTTCCGAACACCTTGGGCGGGAGACGGGCGTGACGTAGCCAACAGTGCAGTCAACACGCGCAGTATGTGTGGTGGTGTACGCTTGTGCGGTGGTCGCCAACCAAAGTCTCCGTCGACTCTTATTTTACACAGTGACGGTGACGGTAATTGAGCTGAAGGAAATTCAAAGGTCCTTTTCTTCTTTTCGAAATTGCAAAACAGTATGATAGCCGCAGGCTGTTTGACAATCGACAACACTATTCGTTAGAATTGTTTTTTTTTTCAATTAAAAAACAGCCGGTACAATGCAACAATCGAATGGAAAAGAGTGATTGAAAAGCTGATTTAGGAATCTCAGAGGCTCTGGAAGGCGACCGGCGAGCTCAACAAAACCAAGTGCAGTAGACACGATATGTGCAAAGGTAGCGTCAAATGACCATAGTAGCAAATCCATTCCTGTCCGCACATTCCTCCCGCATGTGGCCTGCGAAGCCACGCCTGCCCCTCAGCACCGCATGAAGCACTGGCCCGGCCCGGACAGCGCACACACTCCCCAGAGCACACGGCGTGGCCCAGAGGCAGGCGGAAAGCAGCCACCCGGGGCCGACCGGCGCGCGGGGCTGGGTGTCCCCGTCCCGCCGGCCGGCCCCCAGGCGCCTACCGCCGCCACCAACGGAGCCAGCAGGTGCCAGCCAAACTGAGCCAGAACGCAGAGAATAGGACGGTGACCATGCAAAAGCTGTGAGAACCAAATGGCGGAGAGAGAGACATGGGTAAAATGTGGAGCCACACCGATAGCTGAAGAACGATGCACAGGGATCGGCACTCGCGGCCAAAATATGAGATGTGGGGATATGGGAGAATAGGGAAATGACAGCATAACACCAACAGCCTCACTGGTGCAACACAATATCTTTTTCTTTCACAATTACTTATACATAACACAAGTGGAACACTTTTTTATCAGGACTGACGTCAGTGATGACGGAACAGCGTACTACTTAGTAGCGTGAAAAGGTTATGGTTACATTTAACCGTAACACGTTATTTCCTGATAGGAAAAAGAGTTCGAAAGGAGAAGTTCACGAAGTGCATGGAAAGTTTTTTTTCTAATTAAAAACTGCTATCAGCAAATGTTAATTAACAAATGAATCAAGCATCTAAGAAACGACCGGGGACAAGAAGTCAAAATAGATAAAACTTTTTTTCAATATGAATATTTGTGTCAAATGTCAAGAACGCTCTTGGGAGGCACAAGAAGAACTTCCCACAGACTACAGAGTACAGACTCTCCTAGACAGTGGCCGCAGTTGAATGACACTTGCCTGCATGCCAATAATTGCGTAAATGAAGAACAGCATGGCTATCAGAAGGCAGACGTATGGCAAGGCCTGAAACACAAATAATACACACATATGTTGTAATATACCCGGGTAAAGCAAATACCGATTTCATATTGCACGATACATGGATATCGGTGCAATAGAAATCGCCGAGATCAAGAACTAAATGTTGAAACCAAAATACAGTCAAAGACAGTTACAATCCTCATGTAAAATAAATGACCCAATAAAACATAAACATAATAGCTTTTAATGTGGTTTGTACCTAATCTGCTTTCCCAATGCCAACTATCAACAATCAAAATCAATCAATCAAAAATCAATCAAAAATCAGTGTCCAACTTCTCACGGGTCTCCAATTCAGGACCAGATACGGACCTTGAAGCTCTGCACGAATGTCCACAGCAGGATGCGGATGGTGTAGCCCTGTCGGAGCAGTTTGATAAGACGCGCCGCTCGGAACAGTCGCAGGAAACCCAGGTTGATGGAGCTGGTCATCTGGAATGAAGCAGGCACTGCAGTGAACATCGGCACGTGTTTTTTTAGCACGTAAAAAATAATTGGTGCGTAAGAAAAAAAAAACACGGACAAAAATAATCACATAATTTCGAACCCAAACTGCAGCCTATTAAGGCTGTGTGAAATTGAAAACATCACTTTAACCCGGCAGTTGCTGGGGTATTTCGCCACCCACCGTTTGCTGGGGGGGGGGGGGGCGTTAAACGCCCCCAGCCGATAACTCGAGAACCAATAGGCGCAGCGAAACGCACGAGGCGGCAAACGAAAGAACGCGACGAGACGCTTCAGATGAGTACTTTAAAGTTGAATTTTGAGGTCACAGGTCAGGTCAAGGTCAGGTCAAACACCTGAAATCGGGCTTTCAGTAGCATGGACTTCAGGACTTCGCAATGGGCGTCTCTCGTCATAAACTCTGTCAAAACGGTGCACAATCCATCATATAAGGCCTAGAAGAGTGTCAGCTCCATGTAGGGGTCAGTCAAGCATAGGTCAGGGTCAAGGTCAGGTCAACCCGGTAGGCACATATCCCCGAAAATCAAAACCGATATTCGCAGCTTGTGACACATGTTTTATGGGTAATTTGGGGCGTAGAACACGATGGTGACATTCATTTCATCATATATGTACGTGTTTGGCTCAAAAAGTTCAATTTAAGAAATTCATGTATCATGGTCGTGAAGTAGTCACGAGAAATTGCCAAGATTCAGTTCAAGATTTTGGAAAATGCGGAACAATAATCAATAATCGAAGATGGCCATTAGATTGCTCATGGTATTGGCAGTCTAATGGCGTTTACGGCATGTTGGTATATCTATTTTGTGATTTTATATGATTTTTTGAACATATAACGTTTTTGGTCGAAAACTCAGAAATCATGACGTCATTAAAACCTCGATATCTCAAAAAATTTCCGACCGATTTTTTTTAAACTTTGTCACAATAAACTTAAATCAATTCCCTACAGGTACCCAAAATTTGGCGATGCTATGGCCCGGCGAAAAAAGTGGGGGCGTTTAACGCCCCCCCCCCCCCAGCAACTCGCGGGTTAATAGACTCTAACAAAATCCGACTGAAGTACCAATTTGTGAATGGTGGATATTTTGGGTCGGAAGCGCCGTCTGCTCGCGGTGGCTCGACGGCGCCACATGTGCCTATCCACGGCGCCCCTTCTGCACGCGGCCGGTGGCGTCGCTGTAATGTAACTTGTGCCGGCTCCCAGCGGTGTCCCGTAACGCCTTCCGCCGGCGACCAGCGGCGTCTCACCTGTGTTTCGGTGGCGATGGCGTCCACGATTGAGCCGAGCACCGTGATCAGGTCGAACGTGTTCCATCTGTCCTTGCAGAAGTTCTGTCCGCGCCGGACAGACACACACACACAGACGAGAAGAAGGTCAGTGCACGCGAGGAGTCAGCTCGGACACTTACACCGGCACACAACGCGCTGCATGCACCTGAACTGAACGTTAGTGACAGCGAGCGCCGATAGAGGGATAGAAAAATAACCTATTGAGATAGACTTTGATATATCGGGACGCTGCAAACAGTAACTGCATTATACAGCTTCGGAAATGAACACAATGCATTGATATAGGTTATGTGATGACAAAGTACTCTTAGCTTTCAGCTTTAACTTAATTGAAGCTGCATCACTCAGATAAGTTACAATACAATGTTGTGTAACATTAAAAAAGCAAAAAAGTGTTACAAATTTTGAAGACGTGCTGTTCCCCGCCAGTTTATTTCATCGAACATCCCATTACATAGGAATTAGGAATCTCCCTAAGTGATTTCCAGAAATAATTTGAGACGGTAAAAGGGCAATGATGTCGAATTACTTGTAGATTGAATTTCTTTTAAGCATAGGGCTTTCAATGTAAGTAGTTCATATGTGCCACACTTCTGCTTGAAAAAAGAAAACCGCCTTCTCAAAAGTTGCATTGAAAGTTCTTCAGTAAAGTAAAATAAATCGAAAAAACAAAATGTGGTTCATCATCTTTTTATTATATGGAGTAGGATTAATGTTCGACATAAAGAATAAGTAAACACAATTGTTTTATTATGTGGAGTAGGATTATTGTTCAACACACAAAGGTTTTACGTTATAAAGCAAAAGCGAATCACGTTTACAGGGGTGTATCTTTTCACCATAACTTCACGTAGCAAAACAAGCAAAAAGTATCACGAGCACATTAGGATAACAGAGGAAGACCAAAACAGTGGGCTGTTCAGGAAAGGCACAGAGGCTTTATAATAATTACAAACTCGAAATTTTCGTGAAATAATTCAGATAGGAAAACAACGCTCAATAATTAGCCTGTGAATATCTGCATGAAGTTGTAAATATACATAATACTGTTCAGTGGCACGGGAACGGGGGGGGGGGGGGAGGGAGGGCTAGCGGGGACTGAGCCCCTCCAACTTTTCGGCTGGGGGGGCTCGTAATGTATTTGAGCCCCTCCAACTGAAGGAATCGAAATAGGAAATCTACCAAAATAATTTCATAGATTCATAAATAGGCACGGGAGCCGGGGGCAGTGGGGGCAGGTTGCCCCCACAACTTTGGGCCGTGGGGGCGGTGCCCCACAACTTTTCATAAGGCCAGGAGCTGTTGGGACAGCTTGTCTTCCCCAAATTAGGGGTTGTGGGTCACACAGAAAGAAAGCATGTAAGTGAAAAATCCACGTCTTTCACTGGCTCGGCAACTCATTGGCAGATTAAAACCTTTATTCCAGGTTGCCAAAACGGTAGTTTCTTCACTCAGCTGAGATGGAATACCTCACTTTTTTGTAAATGTTTTCTCTTTTTTCCATTGAAAAGGCCAAGGTGTGACAAATAAGTGGCCTAAAACCGGTGAGAAAACTAGATTTGGGGCACCCTAGGTTGATCTCTATTATAGTGCAGCCCCCCCCTCTGGAAGAAGTTCCCGCGCCACTGATATTGCTAAAAGAGAAATCAACTTCATTGAAAAAAAAATGTTCGCCAAAAGTTCCTTAGTTTTTCTTGTATCGTTTCCATTGTAGTGCACCTCAAATATGCAATTAGTTAAAGCAGCTTTAGGCACGTTAAATGAGAACATTTATGGAGAACGCGTTTTTTCTAAGGAATGAAAGCAATCATTTTAAAACACAGACGTAACAGTATCAGGCAGGAAAATAGATTATTCTAAAAATCGAACAAATCATAACACCCAACAAAGTCATTAACCCGCGCCCTGCTGGGGGGGGGGGGTGTTTGAACACCCCCCCTGTGGTTTTTCGCGAATATCTCAAAAACGGCGGCGCGGAGCGCCGCCGTTTTTGGTATACCTTATCATACATCAATTCTACACATGTTGTAAAAATTTCAGACCAAGGTCATTCAAGGTCAGGTCACCAGGTCACTTGAAGTGACCTCACCTCATAAAAAGTTTCAATGTCCGTCATAGCTACACCGAGTGACCGATTGCTTTGAAACTTTCAGCGATTGCTAAGAGCAATAGCATGTACAAAATGTATATCTCAGAATTTTGATATCGATGACCTAAGGTCAGGTCAATTTTGCGACCTCCCCGTTATAAGTCAATGGGAGGAAATTCAAATGCGCCTCTTTTGGACGAAAGACATTATAAACACTCCCAAACAATGAATTACAAGTGGTTTAGACACACTGAACATGAAAATGGTGTCCGTGACCCCTGTTTATGCCCTGAGGTCATCTAAGGTCACGAATAGTATCTAACAGTTTTTCGCAAATAACTTTTGATAGAGGCATGCTAGAGCGATGAAAACGCCTTAGATGTGTTCAGCTCGACGATACGGATCGACTGATATGCAACACGACCCTTTCCGGTCAGGTCATGACCTTGACCTGAGGTCAAATTTTCAAGTTGACCTTTCAAGGTCAAGTTATAGTTCATTCGATGCGTCTTGACGAGAGGAACACGATGCCGGTAAAAGTAAGCTCGTACAAGGCTTGAGTCAAAAGTTATTGCAGAAAAACTGTTTCCGAAAAAATCGGCTATTTTTGCAGTTTTTGCCCCCTGCAGGCAAAACCGTTGACGTTAGGTCAAATCTGAGAGAATTACTCAGAAAGGGCGTTAATAGGGCTATCGAATGCGCTTTTCTGCGCCGCTGTAGCTCTATTGGTTCCCGAGTTATACGTTGGCTTCTTGGAAATTGTCGACATTCGACCTTGAAATCGGCGAAATTTTGCCTTCAATGACCTCTGGTGACCTGACCTTTGACCTGACCAAAAAATTGACCGAATTGATTTCCTCATTATTTTTGACGCTCTTTCGAACGCCGCCTTCCGCGTGTCGCTACGTGGCCCAGGAGCCGAGTTAGAAGGGGGGTGTTCAAACACCCCCCCCCCCCCCCCAGCAGGGCGTGGAAATCCAGGACCCCCAGCCGGGCGCGGGTTAAGATCCCAGCGAGCAACTGATTCCCAAATAAAAAGCAGGCACCCTGTTTAGCAATCTATGAATTATGTAGTATATTTAACCCGCGCCCTGCTGGGGGGGGGGGGGTGTTTGAACACCCCCCCTTGTGGTTTTTCGCAAATATCTCAAAAACGGCGGCGCGGAGCGCCGCCGTTTTTGGTACACCTTATCATACATCAATTCTACACATGTTGTGAAAATTTCGGACCAAGGTCATTCAAGGTCAGGTCACCAGGTCACTTGAAGTGACCTCACCTCATAAAAAGTTTCAATGTCTGTCAAAGCTACACCGAGTGACCGATCGCTTTGAAACTTTCAGCGATTGCTAAGAGCAATAGCATGTACAAAATGTATATCTCAGAATTTTGATATCGATGACCTAAGGTCAGGTCAATTTTGCGACCTCCCCATTATAAGTCAATGGGAGAAAATTGAAATGCGCCTCTTTTTGACGAAGGGCATTATAACCACTCCCAAACATTGAATTACAAGTGGTTTAGACACAATGAACATGAAAATGGTGTCCGTGACCCCTGTTTATGCCCTGAGGTCATCTTAGGTCACGAATGGTATCTAACAGTTTTTCGCAAATAACTTTTGATAGAGGCATGCTAGAGCGATGAAAACGCCTTAGATGTGTTCAGCTCGACGATACGGATCGACTGATATGCAACATGACCCTTCCCGGTCAGGTCATGACCTTGACCTGAGGTCAAATTTTCAAGTTGACCTTTAAAGGTCAAGTTATAGTTCATTCGACGCGTCTTGACGAGAGGAACACGATACCGGTAAAAGTAAGCTCGTACAAGGCTTGGGTCAAAAGTTATTGCAGAAAAACTATTTTCGAAAAAATCGGCTATCTTTGCAGTTTTTGCCCCCTGCAGGCAAAACCGTTGACGCTAGGTCAAATCTGAGAAGATTACTCAGAAAGGGCGTTAATAGGGCTATCGAATGCGCTTTTCCGCGGCGCTGTAGCTCTATTGGTTCCCGAGTTATGCGTTGGCTTCTTGGAAATTGTCGACATTCGACCTGGAAATCGGCGAAATTTTGCCTTCAATGACCTCTGGTGACCTGACCTTTGACCTGACCAAAAAATTGACCGAAGTGATTTCGTCATTATTTTTGACGCTCTTTCGAACGCCGCCTTCGGCGTATCGCTACGTGGCCCAGGAGCCGAGTTAGAAGGGGGGGTGTTTGAACACCCCCCCCCCAGCAGGGCGTGGAAATCCAGGACCCCCAGCCGGGCGCGGGTTAAAAGGGCAATGATCCCTGGAACCGTTAACGGTACCCCACAGCACACATTTAAACGAGGAAACGAACAGATAGAGGGGGCACAGCGGCGGGAGGGAGGGTGCGGTGCCAGAGACGGTATATCGGGGATGGCAGGCTCTTACCCGCAGTCCGTACGCCACTATCTTTAGAATGCACTCCAGAGTGAACAGGAATGTAAGTAGGAGGTTCGAGTATACGAGTATATCCAAGAACGTGTCGTTGGCGCCATGATGCTAAGGGAGGACAAAACAGTCGGTTAGACGCGCGCGCTGCTCGGCCTGGCGGCCGGGCCCGCAGTCCGCACCCCGCCCCGCTCCCCGCCCGTCCCCAGCCCGGGCCGGTCGGGGTTCGGTGTGGCTTGACATGCACTGATGCGGCGAGTGCAGCAGCCGGTGCTCTCCGTGCAGTGGTGTGGTCACATGCCGCCGGCGGGCCCAAATCGGTAGCTGACGGATCATGCGCGCGCCGGCCGGCTGATGGGGGCGCCGGGCGCCGGGCGCCGGGTGCCGGGCGCCGCCCCGGCGAGTGCCCGTCCCCCGGCGAACGGCACAGCCGCCGATCAGGCTGGCGGCCCGTCGCCCCGCGCCGGCTGCGACCGCGCCACGGGCATGCACATGCTCAGGAGACCTCGGGAGGGCGGAGGGCCGGGGCAGGAGTCGGCTGGCGGGCGGCTCCTGACCGGCGGCGAGGGCGCTCGTCAGGAGCCGCCTCCGTTATGCACTACGCGTCTGGCGAACCAAACAAAAACGGACATGCAATGGGGATGCCGGTGGATTCAGGAGACCACAAAGTAGAAACAGACGACATGAGAAGCGCCCTATTCAAATCCCATGGCGGCTCGGGTGGCTTCTCGCTGAATTATGCGCGGCATGCTATCTACCAGAAGCGTTTCAGCCTCTGCTTTGGGTCACAGGGCCTTCCAGTGGTGCCCAGCCCACAAACAAACCGGATGTTTATTTTGGTCAGAAGACGCTGCAGTTAGCTCTGAGAAGAGAGCAGCAGCCTCTGCCCCACCAGGATCAGGCGGAACGCTGGCTCGGTCAAACAGGCAGGAATTGTAAAAGGATAGTTTAAAATATAACATAAGGTCTAAAAACAAAAGTAAACAAAAAGAGAATGGACTAACGTGAATAGCTAGATGATAGCTCTAAAATGAAGCTGTCTACTGTCTTACCCTGACTCCAAAGGCCACCACCTTGAGCGCACATTCTATTGCAAACAGCAAGGTGAAGACATTATTCAGATTTCGCACGACCTTCTCCTCGGAATCACTTTGGGGGTAGTTCTGGACCGAGAAACAGACACAACTGTTAACAACGATGCAGAAACAAGCATGATGAGCTAAATGCAGTAGGACCAGGCAATGCAAGAGACGTGTGCCATTTGCGCTCCCATAGTCAATAGGCGTCGGTTGGCCATTTGAGCCTGGCTGCTAATTCACAGCGTGGACATGGAGCGTTCCGAGCCACACAGAAGGGCAGAAGCTGAAGTATAGCGGAAGGCGTTCCGGCCGGATTGGCTATGGTTTCGGTAAATGACACGCGCCGAACGACAGCAGACGGTGCGTGGCAGACGTCCTTTGCCAGCCGGCTGCCCACACAAAACAGTAAACCAAGTTCCAACTGTACAACCGTCAGACGTGCATGTTGAGGCGGCTAGACCATCCTTCGCGCACCAATGCTTCATCAAAATGTCGGCCGTCCCATAACTATATGCAGAAAACAGTTTATGAACACTAAGTTGTAGCAACCCAGAAGAAAACAGGACATTTCCATCCTGCCTTAAATAAGAAAGTTGCTCTCGTTGTGTTGTTTTAGTCATTATCAGTTGCAATATCTTTGTTCTGTGAGACGTTTGTCATGAAGGCTGTCGTGCGTTCCTTTACACCTCTCGTAATAGGGAGACCATTTAACACCCTTTTTGCATTCGCCCTTCGAACAGGATGCTATCGGAAATATAGTTTCCCGTTTGTATCTTGCCTGACATTTATTTTGCCGTTTACATCATTTTTACAAGTGTGACAAATTGGTAACCACTGGTGAATAATTAGCTTAGCATCTTTGAATTTCAAAGGTTCCAGGAGCATACTACTGTACCTGATACTGCAATGACTTTTTACAAATGAACACTTCAATCTAAATTAAAACGTCAAAAACTTGTAAATAACAAGGCAATTTTATTGTAACTTCATACAAAATTTACAGGGAAAGACTTGAATGACGGCCGCAGTTTTCTGTACAAATCGCCACAATTGCTGTGTGCTGTTTAGCAGATCCCTTGCCCGCCATAGCTATGTCCTAATAAATTGGCTACGGCGCTACATTTGAGAGCACGTATTATTTGTGTTCGCCGTGTCCACTCGCGTGTGCACACATGTACCCGTCCATCTGCACATGTCTGTGAGCGCGGGTGGGTGCGCGCCTGTTACAGTGTGTGCGTGGGCGTGTTGCTGGCAGTGAGAGTCCGTGTCTGTCGGTGGCTGGGAGAGCTGAGCTGGACGCGCGCTGAGAAATCCTAACTCATATGTAGCACAGCAGAGCGAGCCGCCATGCCGTCATATACACACAGTCGCAGCTGGGGCGGCGCCCGTGGCACAGCGCTGCAGGCACGGCGCTCATGCCGCAGCGCCGCGAGGACCATGCTGCTGTCAGCGCGAGGGGCACCGCCGCCGCCGCCGCCGCCGACCGGCCGGCCGGCCGAACCCGCGGGTCTCGCGCCTCGCGCGGCCGCGCGGAGTAGCAGTCGGTAGCGGCGGCGGTAGCGGCGACAGGTAGCAGCAGCAGGTAGCAGCAGCAGGTAGCAACACATACATCCATCGTCAGAGCAGCACAGTAGCAGCAGCAGAATGCAGTTTGTTCACATGTCATCAGGACGGTAGCAGCCACAGCGAAAGCCATTCGATGACCACCGGTCGCCAGCAGTTGGTTCCCGGAACACAGAGCACTGCCAAGGGCCCGTGACCACGCAGTTTGTACAGCCGGCGCATGAAACCAAGTTTGGGCGAACATGCTTGAGTTACCAGAGGCACATGCGAACAGCGACCGTATACTCGGTAGCGTATACATTTAGTGCAATTTAACCAGATCTGCTGTGGATATGTGACAATGCTCAAGGTGAACTACTATAGCACGTGTTAAAAAAGAGTTATTCTTAACCCGCGCCCTGGTGTGGGTCTGAGCCACCTTCGCCCTGGTGGGGGGGGGGGGCAAAATGACCCCCCCCCCCCGTCTAACTCGAAAACGAAGAGGGCTAGGAAGACGCGGAAAAAAGCAAACGAAAGCCCATAACAAGTACGTTCGAAAGTATTTCAGTCATTTTTTCGCTAAGGTCAATATTGAGGTCGCTAGAGGTCATCATAGGTCAAATTTCAGTGTTTTCGGTGTTGCCGGACATATTCCGCTGTAGCTCGGAAACTAGAAGAGCTAGAGAGCCGCGGAAAAAAGCAATCGATAGCTCTTTTCAAGCTCTTTCGCCAAGGTTCGTCAGATTTGACCTCAGCTCAACGGTTTGGCCCACAGAGGTCATGCAAGGTCAACTTGGCAAATTTCGTTGAAAATGTTTTTAACTATAGCATGCATTCACGAGAAAATAGAGAAACGATTCATGCACCATCGTGCTTGGCTCGTCGAGACGCGTCGAATGATATATAGTTTGACCTCGAAAGGTCATTTTGAAAATTTGACCTCAGGTCAAGGTCATGACCTTACCGAAATAGGTCATGCTGCATATCATTCGATCCGCATTGACGAGACAAACACGATAAACGTCGAACGGAGTCTCTATCTCTATTCAATAACAAGTAAGTGCAGAAAAACCGCTGGTGACCTCTGGTGACCAGGGAGATGACCTAGCGTGACCTCAGCGAGGTCACAAGCAAATGGTTTCACATGGGCTGTGATTTGCTGACCCAAGACACTTCAATAACGAAATATAGGAACAATCACGCCCGATTTAGCTGAAAAACAACTACTTTTCGATTCTCCCATTGACTTATAATGGGGAGCAGCGATGACCTGACCTGACCTTAGGTCACATTTATAAAAAATCCGAGATAGCCATTTTGTAGAGCTGGGTGACATCTTCAAGTACTGTAAATTTTACATCGATCGGATAAAAGCTGTGCCTTTGAGAGAGCTTTGAACTTTTTTAGAGGTGGTGTCAGTTTTGGTGACCTTGTGACCTGACCTGACCTGACCCGAACCCCCCAAAAAAGGACATGATGTAAAAATGTTGAATAAACAGCTATACAAAGTTTCAGGGCGCTAACTCAAGTGGTTTCTGAGTTATCGCTGAAAAACCACAGGGGGGGGGGGCCAAAATGGCCCCCCCCCACCAGGGCGAAGGTTAACTAAAACTTCCCCCTTTGAAGTTAATGACAAAAATATTGCAGCTATATGACCATACAATTGTACACAACAAAATTTCAAAGACAGTCGCTAAATGGCTTGATATTTTTGACGTTAAAGGATAGAACGCATAACGTTGTTTATCTTTATAGTGCAAAGCATGTCATTGCTATTTTTTATGAGCAAACATCCTTCGGCCATGCACTAATAGCATTGCATTAGCGTTATATATATCCTAGCATTGAGCACCAACAGTTAGGTAATGTTAGTAATCCCGCAGGTATTTGCTTATCTGTAATGCTAGGATGCGCATTGCGAAATGCAAATACAAGTAGCTCATCGTCAGAATCTTTTCAATTTGCTATCTTTATGATAAGAAGCTAATAATCATCTTTTAGCCTAAATGTACCTCATCATGATTCATGATGTTGAAGGCAATTTTCCTAACATGACATTTGTAATTCTGGCAATGATAAGATATTATTTATCCCTCGCCCGTAAACGGTGTTTTGCGACCTTCGCCCATGCAGGGGGGGGGGGGGGGGTTGGTGCGACCCCCCCCCGGCGTTTGAAAACGGAGCGTCGTAGAGCTTAGCGGAAAAAAACAACTGATTGCTCTCAACGAGATCTCGCGATTGGTGGTATACTTTTTGGTCCTAGGTCAACATTTGACCTACTTATGACCGGTCAAAGGTCAAATTTTCGGAAAAATCTAACGTTTTCAGATTTCCGCGCCGATTGCGGCAAAACGGTAAGAGATATTGACTTGAAATCTTCACTATCGTGATCCTTGATCAATTCTCTATCGTTTGGTGTGTATTTCGATGTCATAACTCTAAAAATGATGCGTTGGGAGCATCGGAAGTCTGCAAGGTCATTTGTGCATTGGGTCACGTCAGGCGTGTGACGTCACTGACCTGACCCTGACCCAGGCCCTGTTTCACCGGTGATAGCAGCACGCTGCTTTTACACGTGTCAAATTGGGTTTCCATGGAAACATCAACAGGCCCATTGCTCCAACACTACCACAAGTGTGACGTCAGCTCGCGCAATTTGATAGCAGCGTGGTAGCAGCGTCCCGTGAAACACCGCCCCAAAGTGAACTACAAGAAACAACCGACGATGCCTGAAATGGATAGCAAATTCGAATTCAGGGCATCAAAATACCCCGAAAAGGCATACAAGCGCAAGAAGTCATTACAGGTCAACCGAGGCCACTGACCTTACCTTGACCTTTAGTAACCTTCAAAATGTCAACGGACATTGTGCCAATGTCAAATCAGCCAGTTGTGATTCTAAAACAATCCATCAGTGTGTCAGGTCAGTCGGCATTTATACCAATGTTAAGCAATCTCCAATTTAGCGTAAATCTGGCCGGAGGTTGTTCCCTTTATGACGTCATAACTCCGTGACCTGACATGACCTTGACAAAAAAAATACCAAACGTTGCGCAACGGATGCCCCATAGGGTACTGAAAATTTGAGCAGGCTATCTGAAACGGTTCGGCGTGTAGCTAAGAAAAACCTCAGGGGGGGGGCCACCAACCCCCCTACATGGGCGAGGGTTAACTACTAAAAAACAAACACATTCGCTAAGAGTTAACAAAATTACAGAGAAGGCATAATCTGAAAAGTTAAATGATCCCACATGTTTACTAGGGTGCAGAACAGTACACACATGCACGTACAAGCGTGTGCAAAGCTTTTATGTTGCAATTTTGTCGTGGTGCTTGGACTGCTATCGGATTTTCTTTTGTAATTAACCAGCAGCACAAACTGAAACAAACTGACTAAAAGTGCTGAACATGAAACATAAACATCGTTTCATAATCAAACATAAACATAAGCGACACTATCCAAAGCAATCAAAATTCATATGCGACTCACGCTACTACATCACTAACAAAGGGTGAGACATTATTGCATCGACCACATGCAGCTCTACTGAAAAGGTTCTGCTGCGTGCTCGGCATCATCTCATTGCTCTCTAAAAAGCTACCATTGTCAAATGCTGGCTCATACACAGGCAAGTGCGTTGTGCTTGTGCTGGGTAGCGGTCTGCGGACAAAGCGGTGCCAGGCCGGCTCTGCATGCCTGCACAGACACACGGCGGCGCGCGCACAGACGTACAGGCAAGCCACACCTGACCCGGCTCTGTACACAGACGGCGTCATCGCGCCCCTCCGCGGAGACAACATCAGAGAGCGAGGGCACACGACGAGACACGGCACGGGGCGCCACGGCCGCCCGGAGGGGTCTGAACCGGCCCGGCAGGAACCGCCGCGCCGCGGACAGCGCGGGCGTTTCCGAGAGCACGGCCGTTCAGACACCTCCGGACGTGACAACACGATCACAGCATGTGTTCAACCCTGGTCAACAGTGTACCCGCGTGAATAATACTTCAACACACAGCTGAGTCTCAGACACACAGACGCACACACACACACACATGGTTACTTCGCCGTCAGACGGTCACATGTGCGCTCTGACAGGTATACGAGCACAGATGGTTTCAGTGGCACATATTTCTAGCACAGTACAACGGACATCAAATCGAGTTGAAGCAAGGAACAAAACATCACTGCCGACACTAAAATATGACATAATTTACATTACATTATTATTGATAAATCAATATCAAGACAATAAGCTTTGAACTCAATTATTAAGAAGTGGGAGCTGTTATTTCACTTACCTTGACCATCAGAAGAAGTGTGTTTAGAATAATCAAAACCATAATGAAGTATTCGAACGGAGTTGAGACGGCTATCTTCCACATCTTGTATTTGCAACTTTTTCTATCTTTTGGCATGTACCTCTCCAAAGGCCTCGCTTGAATAACAAAGTCTATGCAGGATTTCTGTAACGAGAGGACCATAAATCAGAATAGACTGAAGCCAGCTGCAAGGAGGAAGAATGGGCTACAATGTCCTCAACTTAGCAAAGTGTGTGCCAGGCAAATGATTGGCATAACTGGGCTCAAGCACTTTTTTTATAAATAAGAGTAACTCGGTAACAGATAACGGGAATTAATCCATCAGTCCCATTGCAAATTCTTGACATTAGGTGTCACTTTTTATGCGAGAAAGGCAGTTTCCCGAACACAATTTACAGGAAATGTGAGGCAAATACGATTGCTTTATAAAAAATATTTTCTAGCGATCTTCACAAGGTATATATCAGTGGTCGGCAGGTCATTCGGGGTCGTGCCCCCTTTTTGGGCGCCAGGCAGAGCCATTACCCCAACCTACCAGACCCCATTGCTGACACAACCAAGTTTACTGAAATTCCATACCGTCCTGGAACTCTTTGGGGATTTGTGCATTTCCAATGCATCAAGTTTAAAACATGACACTTCCTCCACAAAACATTTAATGCCTATATCCCAGTAGCGGCGGAACACCTTCAATTAAGGTGGAGGGGAGGGGGGGGGGGGCACTGCTGACTTTTGGTCCCATTCTTTCCATGCAACGCCCATAGGGCTAATGTTAAAATGCAAAAATCAAAGGGTGCATGGTGCCCCGGTGCCCTCCCCGTTCCGCCGCCTATGCTATATCCCATTTAACCCTTGTACGTATAGGGGCGGCGGGTGGTTTTTCGTTAAAAGCTCACGTAAAAGGCATTGGATCACGACCAAATTGTACCCTCGAGCCCATCATGTTTTTTTTTTACCAGCCCGGAAAATATCATGACCTGAGACCAGTTTTACCAACAGAAAAATAACCGCCTGCCGGAATTTTTGCCTCAAGACCGCTTCACATACGGAGCGTAAACGCGATGGGCTCGTAAGCGGATAGGGCTGTACCGTTTACGCTCCATATGTGAAACGATCTTTAGGCAAAAATTCCGGCAGGCGGCTATTTTTCTGTTGGTAAAACTGGCCTCTGGACCCATAATGACCGTTGGCTTATGAGCTTTTTCTGGAGATCATCTTGAGCCATAAACTCTCACTTCAAGGAGTTATAGCGGGTCCCGATTTTCTCGACACTTGTCATTGCCCTCTTGAATGAGACGGAATGACCAAGGACCTTAAAAATGGGCAGCACCGGCTTCCTATTGTCATGGGTAGCACGCTCGTCTTTTTCATGCACAGCTCCATATCAGAGTCCGAGAGGCCGCGGGGGTCCGATCGACTCATCCCCCTTACGTTAGCGGCTGTTGAAACGCCAACAGACGGGCGACGGTCAAAAGTTGCAGCTGCTTTTGTACGACTGTACGGAGGGGTGAGATGGTGAGGCGAGCAGGTACGTGAAAATTGGTATCTAATCAATGTGTGCTGACTGCTGTGCCTTTGGCCTGGGCTAATCTTTGAACCCTGGGATGCAACAGTCACGATGGCTCCATCACTGGAGCTACAAACTCTAAAAAGATAGGCTTTCTCAGAATCCCTCATTACCCCCACCGAAAGGGCTACATTACCCCCAAAGGGGGCATGCCCCACCATTTGCCGATCCCTGGTATATATCCTCAAAATAACGTGAGCAAAAAATCGCCACCCGTGTAATTGACGCAGACAAAGCCTGACCGAATCACGCTGGTGACCCACCCCCCTGCACACACACACAGACACACAAATTACCTGGTTTTTGTCCAGCTCGCCGTCCTGCAGTTCGGCCTCGCCCTGCTCTTGAAACGTGATGATGATGAGCGCCACGAAGATGTTGACAAAGAAGAACGGAAAGACAATGAAGTAGACGATGTAGAAGAGCGACATCTCGATCCGGTAGTGCGGCTTCGGACCGTTGTCCTCAGAGGTGGCCGCCATCGAGTTTTGCAACACTCTGCGGCAGGGAGGAGGAGAAATGAGCCTAGTCCACCAGGCAAACTCATTTAGCCAGACAGTCGCAATTCAGGATATATTCTTACTCAGCCAATGACTTGGCGCATGGCAATGGTGGCAAACTGAGGCGCTATTCAGAACGAATTAAGCAATCAGTGCACAGAAATACCGGTTTCGAGTTCCTTTCACGTTGAAAATCATGTAATCAGAACGTCACGGAGGTCAAATACTCTAGTTGACAGGCCTGATACAATAATAAATTGAGTTAAATTTTACCTGTCGCAAATTAATAATATCATAGCGCAGTGGGGTCCTGCAGAGGCCAGATGTTTCAGACAGGGGAGGTGAACTCACGTGGGCCACCCCTCTCCGGTCTGGACGGCGAAGAGGGTCAGCATGGCCATCATGACGTCATCGTAGTGGAAGTCCTGCTTATTCCACTTCCGCTCGTGCACCTCCGGCGGCTGGTTATCGTCCGTGTACACAAAGTACTCTCCTCTGTTGGCGGGCGCGCACACACACACACACACACAGAAGACACAGGTGGTCAGCGACCTGGTTTGATGTCAAGCCCAAAGTATTGGTGTAATGTGGCTAACTATAAAGCGTCAATGTCATTATTTTTTATCAAAAGCTTTATAGCAAATCATCGCATTTTTAAAAGCAACCCTTCTGAGTACTGACACTATTTCAGGTGAGGGGAAAACACGGATGATGTTGATGCATGACTTTCACTATCATTTGTTGTTTCACCCAAAACCTGAAATTCATCCGTTCGTTGTTTCAGACAGGCAGCTCTCTCAAGCATTGATTAAAAATATCGATAACTCAAGCTGCAGAATAGTCTTTGATCTATCTTTAGTAAGAAAGGAAAACATATGGGAGCCTCAAAATGAAGCAGCATTTCATTGATCCCTGACTCCGCTTTCGCTACGGCTACTTACTGGCACTCTTGTTCCAACACTTTGCTATTGTCCGTACAGTAGAAGAACTTCCCGTTGAACAGTTGCACTGCTATCACAGCGAAGATAAATTGAAACAGCATATACACTATCAAAATATTGACAACATTCTTCAGCGAGTTGACCACGCAGTCGAACACCGCCTTCAACTTGGGCACGCGCTTGATGGTCTTCAGCGGCCGCAGCACCCGGAGAACTCGCAGGGACTTGATGGTGGAGAGGTTCTGCCCCGTCGAGCTCCCGCTGTAACCGACAGTGACACACCGCTCCAACATCGGACGACACAGGGCGAGCGGCCGGATCAGAGATCAACACAGCACCAGCAGGCTGCGATATAAGCAGCCGGGAACTGACAAACGCACTGGCTGCTTTGAGGCAAATTAATCCAACGAATTATTGACCCTTGCAAGGAAAGCAGACTTTCCTACTTAGAAAATGTAAAATTATATATAAAATGACGAGTGAACATCTTAAGCTTTGCGTTATTAATGAAATATTTTCTAGTTTAGCGTGGCAGAGAGCATATCGAAGTTAAAAACACTTTCTGAGTTCAAAGTTAAATCCTTATAAATACTTTTCTCGAGCCCAAAAATATCCCCAATACATGTCTGAAGCAAAATTGGCAGGTGTCAGCGGGCATCTCACACTTGTCATGCAACAATTACTTGCATGCTTGGTGCATGCATTGTTCTTTGTGTGACGCTGTTCAGGCAGAGATGAATTTAAAACGTGGCCGAACAGATAACAATATCAATTGTCATCTCGATTAATTATAAGAAAGCGAAGCACAATGACATTATATTTGGTACTAGTCATCGAATGCTTTTTGACAATTTAACCTCAAAAAGTGACAACGTATTTACTAGAACTTGGATTTAGCCTTCATATTTTCATAATATTGCAAATCTCTCCCAAAATAAACTAAAGGCATAATTTTACTCAACAAGTGCTGACAAAAAATCATATATCGAAGTGGCGATAGTGTGTGCTTCTTTCAGGCCTGATTATTACGGAAAGCAAGAAATCAAAATAAAGTAAATAGCAAAAAAATATACTTTGGACGGTTGAAAGATATCAAGTTTGAAAGCTCTAACAGTCTTGCATTACATAAACAATCCCAAGACAACTCAACAATCATAAATGAAATCATCAGGTTGAAAGCAAGAAAATGAAGCAAAATATGCAATAAGTAGGAAAATAATTCGACCCAATTTTATCACCGCAGTTTTTACTGTGCAATCCACACGTTCCAGCAAGCAGGATAAAAGGAAGGCGAATAAGACCCGAAGGAGACTCACCCATGTCCGAATGCTACCAGAGCACATATGACTACGGTGGCATCTAGTATGTTCCACAAATCTCTACAATATGAGCCGGGATGCAAAACTACTCCTAGATCTACCACCTGGAAAACGGCAACGGAGCAGCGTCAGCGAGGGCAGGCGCACAGCGAGGGGCCGGCGGCGGCGGCGGCGTCCCGCCACGCGGCCGGCCGCTCGCAGCTACCATGCTCGACGGACCGACAATGCACGACAATAACCCACATCGAAACGGTCCAGTGCCCGTTTTAGTGAACATCTTATTCAAACAAAACACCAAACACAAAAGTGTATCAGTGCCTACAGACACACAAAATCCAAATAAAAAGTAAATTAGAAACAAGGAAAATTGTTTGTGACATGAGAGAAAACAAATTTTCTGATTGCTGAAGTGTGAAAGAACATACTATATGAAAGTGTAACATAAAAAGAGGATGATTTATGTAAAAGGCACTGGTGGAATTGAAACAAAATTTCAATAATCATTTTATGTCTTCTTTATCAAAGCTAACATGGGTATGGTATACTCGCAGGTGCAACTTGATTCTGGATCATAATGTGACCGCCAAAACACACTCTTTGAAGTAGTTATTACTGAAATTTTATGAATTTTAGTTGGCCTGGTGTAAGCAATTTATAAGGTCAAATCTGCAATATGACTCAATGATACGATGATACGACGTAAGGATGGCAAATAAATCTTGCCATTTGGCTTTATGCAAAGACGATAGTTAGCAATGATTCTTTATAGAAAAAGTTGCACCCGTTGCATAGCAACAAGCTAGCAGATTACGCTAGAAAAATGCACAGAAGCCATACAACCGACAGTTCTCATATACTAGAGAAGGTCCTTTGCCGTCTTTCAGTTGTCAGATATTTACAATTTGTCAATTGCATTTCGAACTCAGAGTCCTTTATGAAATTACAATCATGAACAAACAGATAATATTTATTTAATTTAGCGATATTGAGGCAGATTAATAATGCAGACCACAAGGGGCCAGGGTACCTGAGACTGAGTGTTGGACATTTTTGGAAACGTGATCAACATATCTGAATATATGGCCGTCTGTGTTTGATCTGACAAGTTTGAGACGACATAGGACGGCCACGGAGGACAGCCATTGGCGCGCGGCCAGCGCAGTACCCGCTACACGCTGCCGACAAGCACAGGCCCAACAGCGAGGATGCAGTGACCCGACAACTGCTGCCCCACCCACTCACGTTTGATTAAAAATGAACGAAAATAAGGCGCATATTACAACTGTAGCGTCCATAACGTTCCACACTTCTCGTAGGTAGGAACCAGGATGGAGAATAAGACCCATATCTATGACCTAAAGGGAAAATCAAAACACATCTAGTTAAGACACGTAAGAGCAGTGGAGCCACCAACCAGAGCACCAGCAGTCTCTCCCAAGCCGATTACTCAACATCATTACAAACAAAGGAACCGACACGCCGCTGGCAAAGCACCCCTGCAGCCGACAGCAGCGGCGGACTGGTAACGACTGGACAGCCAGTGGCCCACTGTCCTACTCTACTGAGTACATACACAAATACAGTACAGATGCACTCTATCCGTATTTCACACAGGAACATGACAAAGCATAGCTAAGTTTTTCTGATTAAAGCGAACCTACGCTATGAGCCACATACAGTATATGATACACCGACCAACTGATACATGGCACCATCAAAGTATAGGCTCTGAAAACAGGGAACGGAGGCGCGGACAGCACTAGCCGCCGGCCGCCGACACTGACAGTGCAAAGCTGAGCTGCTGAAACGACAGGCGTCAGGTCTGCCGCCACCACCCTCCTACCATAAGGCAAACGCTCATTCATTCATTCATTCATTCATTCATTCATTCAGTCAGTCAGTCAGTCAGTCAGTCAGTCAGTCAGTCAATCATCTCTCTGTATTTAGTGCTTTCATTTAAGCTTTTTTTTTAAACTTTTTCCTCAGAACTAATCGCAGCAAATATCAATATGATGTAAACGAACAAGTCTTATCACAGACCACTTTCAGAAAGGTCTATGATCCTATAATGATATAGGTCGCAACAATGCAACGCAAGCAAAACGTTAAGAGTCTAAAATTAAAAAACTCACAATCTATTAATTGATGCAATTGAATGTATTTTCTTGAAGATTTCTCGAACTTTTTCTCGTAAACAGCACCTATTTATTCCACTTACTGAACCACAAAATTGAAGTAATAGTCTCTAGCAAATATGCAAGACCTAAGATTCAATTTTTTCAATTTACTTAACCCGCGCCCTGCTGGGGGGGGGGGGGGTGTTTGAACACCCCCCCCCTTGTGGTTTTTCGCGAATATCTCAAAAACGGCGGCGCGGAGCGCCGCCGTTTTTGGTACACCTTATCATACATCGATTCCACACATGTTGTGAAAATTTCAGACCAAGGTCATTTAAGGTCAGGTCACCAGGTCACTTGAAGTGAGCTCACCTCATAAAAAGTTTCAATGTCTGTCATAGCTACACCCAGTGACCGATCGCTTTGAAACTTTCAGCGATTGCTAAGAGCAATAGCATGCACAAAATGTATATCTCAGAATTTTGATATCGATGACCTAAGGTCAGGTCAATTTTGCGACCTCCCCATTATAAGTCAATGGGAGAAAATTGAAATGCGCCTCCTTTGGGCGAAAGACATTATAAACACTCCCAAACACTGAATTACAAGTGGTTTAGACACACTGAACATGAAAGTGGTGTCCGTGACCCCTGTTTATGCCCTGAGGTCATCTTAGGTCACGAATGGTATCTAACAGTTTTTCGCAAATAACTTTTCATAGAGGCATGCTAGAGCGATGAAAACGCCTTAGATGTGTTCAGCTCGACGATACGGATCGACTGATATGCAACATGACCCTTTCCGGTCAGGTCATGACCTTGACCTGAGGTCAAATTTTCAAGGTGACCTTTCAAGGTCAAGTTATAGTTCATTCGATGCGTCTTGACGAGAGGAACACGATGCCGGTAAAAGTAAGCTCGTACAAGGCTTGGGTCAAAAGTTATTGCAGAAAAACTGTTTCCGAAAAAATCGGCTATTTTTGCAGTTTTTGCCCCCTGCAGGCAAAACCGTTGACGTTAGGTCAAATCTGAGAGAATTACTCAGAAAGGGCGTTAATAGGGCTATCGAATGCGCTTTTCCGCGGCGCTGAAGCTCTATTGGTTCCCGAGTTATGCGTTGGCTTCTTGGAAATTGTTGACATTCGACCTGGAAATCGGCGAAATTTTGCCTTCAATGACCTCTGGTGACCTGACCTTTGACCTGACCAAAAAATTGACCGAAGTGATTTCCTCATTATTTTTGACGCTCTTTCGAACGCCGCCTTCCGCGTATCGCTACGTGGCCCAGGAGCCGAGTTAGAAGGGGGGGGGTGTTCAAACACCCCCCCCCCCCAGCAGGGCGTGGAAATCCAGGACCCCCAGCCGGGCGCGGGTTAAAAACCTCTTGTCAAACTTTTAGCTAAAAGGTCGTTAAAGTAGCAAAAATCATACCTATTTACGCTAAAGGGTGGAATCCAAACTATTCGACATCGACTGCCGTTTCTGCTTTCCGGTGGCGGCCTGTCTACTGGGTTACTGGGCAGGCCTGCCTACTACAACTCCTACTGGGGCCGGCCCGAAGGGCTGGAGCAGGGACTGCGGTCCCGTCTGGGCTGCAACACGCTGCCTACGGCGCGCGCTGCCTACGGCTAGTCGGCCTGCCACTGACGTCAGATCGAGTGTGGCCTGAATGGCGGCGCACACCACCACCAGCGCGTCCATGATGTTCCAGAAGTCGCGCAGGTACGAGCAACGGTGCAGGATGATGCCCTGGTCTACGATCTGTCGGCGGCCGCGACGCGCCGCGCGAGCAGACGCGCCAGTCAGCGAGACAGAGCGACACAATTGAGCCCACCGGCACCGACACTGTGTCACCGATACCGAGACTGACCCTGACACTGACACTAGCACCAGCACTGACACTGACACCATCGCCGATAATGACACTGACACCACCACCCACAGCATTACCAAACACGACTTTTGACACGGTGAAAGTGTGCAAAACAATGGCGCGGGACCCAGGTTATGTAAAACGTACCATGTGATGGGGTTCATTTCAAATAAATAGCAAAACAAACGTTTGCACAAACACAACATCTTAGACACGAATATCTGAATAAGCACTACTCTCAAGCCAATAATTAAATGGCCTATCAGTGACAAGTCAATGCAACTGGCGAGTCAGATTCAAACGTCAGCTTTGGTCACGTTCGCTTGTCATTAATATGTGTGTCAGAACGGTCTTTGCTTATGTTGTTTGGTCTAAACTGTCATGGATGAATTTTCAAAACCCAAACTAAGCTAAAGCTATACGCATTGCTATCCTATTTGCGGCATTCGTGATTTGACAATTCCTGGTGGCATCATAAGTCTAAGAGTCGAAACCGTACCTTCGTTACGACTATTTCATCACACAGTCGACTAGTCAGGTAAAGATCAAATAAGGACCGGGCGCTGGTTTCATACCTTGAGGATCATCTCTACTGTAAAGACGCCCGTAAAGGCATAGTCGAACATGTTGAGGATCTTGTTCCTGTTGCTCTGCTCCACCACGGGGTCCTCCGCCGCCAGAGCGATACTGCTCAGAGAGATGACAAACATGATGAAGAAGTCGAAGTACCGCAGATTGACCACCCAGTGAGCGGCACACCGAATCCTGCAAAATAGCTGCCGTTGTAATCACTTGTGGCCCATAAGTGCATGGAGCTGATTGCATCAAATGCAGTTCAGCTGGGGCTTCGGAAACACAGAGTGAAGTTCAGCAGTTTCAGATCCTTGATATGTGGTGCACTATTTTACACTAATAGATATGGCCGATCTGTTTCAGCATGAAACAGGTTGGAATGTATGAAACTATAGTAAACTTGTAATTTGAGATAAATTGTCTATGTGCTTACTTCTCTACATAGTACAGATGGTAGCACAGGACAATTCATCTTATCCAATCCCTGGCACTCTTGATACTCGACGCCAGCTGCGTCTGTTTCCACTCACGGGTTGGTCGACGACAGTATGAACATGGACGAGTAGGGCAGCATGGGCTTGGGCCCGGTAGCCTCCTCCTCGTCCACGGTGTCGCCCTTCATGGCCTGCAGCGACGGCCGGTTGTCCGAGCTGAAGGGGAGTGCGCACGTTAGAACCAGCGCAGGGACGTGCAGGTAAGGACGATTGTCATGGAAGGATATCAGAGCAGCGACCAGAGCTAAAGACCAGCAAACGAGTGCGCCTCAGAGCGAACTCAGGGACGTGAAGGAGCACAGAGGTTCACCGATGATGGATGACACTTTAGCTTGTGGTTATAGCAAAGGAAAAGTCATACGTTTGTTGAGGTTGGCAAGTCCTGGCCCTGGTTTTAACCCAGCATGCAGAAACGAGAATTATTGAAGTAGTTGCTGCATTCCCGTGAAATTATGATGCAGTGATGTTTCGCATAATTTCATGGTGTGTCAAAAGTGGAAATAGCCGGTGCGCCGTCTGGCAACCCGGCAGCCCGCCGCCATAGGGAAATTCATGCTTTTTGTCGCTTTTTAGCTCCCTATGAGTCACTTGATCTAATTAGAGCTTAACTAGGAACGAGGCGGGTCACTTGGACGTATTCGGGAGCCGAATACGGTGTTTTGGAGCCAATACCTGGGAAACCCTGCCCGCCCAATGCGAGTTTTTAAGAGTCTGCATGCCCAAATTAACGTTGAGCGCGGCCGTTTTCGGTCGGTTTTCCCCGACCTTGTGGCGAAATCGCCTTATTTATTCAACCAGGGTGGGCTAATTCGCTTAACTAGGAATGAGGCGTTGAAGAGAATTATTCAAGGAATAGAGCTGTGCAAAAATATTTTTTGTATTGTTAAAACTGTATCCGCCATCGAACGATAAATATTGTTGACCCATCAGAAACACATCACCTGGAATGCGTTTGGACTTGGCTGGATCTAATATTAGCGAGTATCTGCTAATGCAGTTTCTTGGCTTACATAGTACGCACACAAGCATACATGCTTCCTGCCCTTGGTTATTCCTCACTTGAATGAAAATTTTGCTATAATAACTATTCCAAGCAGTTAACGGTTTTAGTGCAGTGCCAAGTCGGAACCGTTCAGCGCCGCCAGTCTCCCAGGCGGCGCGTAATGGCTGCCGCCGGCCGCCGCGCCGGCGCTCTGGCAGGGTGTTTGACTTCATATCTCTGTTGCTAGAAAAGTTGTGGACCGATTTACTTGATTCTTGCATCAAAAGATCCGCCATTCAATTCTTAGCAGATAACGAAAATTTGACGTCAATTGCACGATCCGCTGCCCATATTGTGGTACTGCCATCTATTGACAAGGCTGGCGAACTAAAGCCGGGCGGCTATTTCCACTTTTGACACACCATGAATTAATATTTCAAGCAAACGGTAAACTGAACATTCAATAACATAATAGAGTAACTAATAGGGTGGCACTAAAACGGTGCTAAACGGGGCACATCTGAATCCCCGTTCACAATATACGTTTTGTCAATATGTACCAAGTATGACCCCATTGAGCTACCTCTAAATATAAATATTTTTTGATAAAATTTCATATATATCATTTTTTCGTGAGGTAGAACAATATGGCTACCCGTCCCGGTCGAAATTAAAAAAGTCGAAATGAAGTGCCACCCTAGTAACTAAGTAATACAAAGTACCATGACAACTACCTATACAAAGCACTGCAGCCTGCCAGTGTCCTAAAACACCCTACCTGTGGTTGCGGACGGGCGCGTGCGGTGAGGGCGGACAGATCTCCACGGTCGGGGCTCCGTCCGCCACGTGCAGCGCTCCAATCTCCTTCTCCAGCTCAGCAGCCATTTTCTGACGGAGCACACAGACGTGTCATAGTCAGTCCGAAACAAAACAGCCGTGCCAAACGCGCCTGAATTAATCGTGAAAGCCAACAATTGGACTCACATGTTCGGGATATGTGATACTTCTTTCTTATGAAGGCCTTTGGTGCTACATTTTATTTTACTTTCATCCTAATTTCTCTCAATTTTCCTTCCTCCTTCTCTCTCCCTCTCTCTTTCCTTTTTTCCCTCTCCTTCTCCTCTGCTCCTCTGCTTCCCCTTCTCTCTCTCTCTCTCTCTCTCTCTCTCTCTCTCTCTCTCTCTCTCTCTCTCTCTCTCTCTCTCTCTCTCTCTCTCTCTCTCTCTCTCTCTCTCTCTCTCTCTCTCGCTGACCTCCTTGTCCTCCTCCTCCTGTTCCTCCTCTGCCGCGGTGAGCTCCTGCGCGTTGGCCAGGTTGTCCACGGCGATAGCGAGGAACACGTTCAGCAGAGTGTAGTTGCCGAACACCACCAGCACGATGAAGTACAGGCAGTAGATCATGCCTCCATTGTCGTGGCCGCCCTGCGACTTGATGCCGTTGTACATGACTTCGTTCCAGTCCTCTCCAGTCAGAATCTGACGGAACGGAACACAGGTTGGAAAAGTTGGGACACAATGGTTGGTGGCAGTTTGTCGTAAGACAAGTGCCTTATAGAGTTCCATTTTCTCGCAAATGATACACCATAGAGTGGCTCTTTCATACTAATGATGATGAGATGCTGGTAATGTAATGCATATAAAATGCTGAATTAATTTTATTTTATTTTATTTTTTTGCGACAGGCGAGTGAGAGCAATCAGCTCACCTGGAACACAGTAAGCAGCGCCACGGCGAAGCTGTTGAAGTTGGCCGGCGGTGTGCCGTCCTTGAAGTTCCACTCTCCTCCGAACAGCTGCATTCCGAGCAGAGCGAAGATGAGAATGAAGAGGAAGAGCAGGAACAACAGCGATATGATGGAGCGCATCGAGCTGAGCAGAGAGATCACCAGGTTCCGCAGGGACGACCAGTACCTGAGGAACACAGCGGCTCAGAAGGGTCACAGGAACAGGATCCGCACGGACGACCAGTACACAGCGGGTCAGATGGGTCACAGGACCAGGAAACCATGATCGAACGGGCCAGTATACTTAATGAGTCAGTGACCATTAGAATACAGTTTTTTTTTTGTACGATACCAAACTACAACGATGCCTACAACAGGGTATCAAATAAGTAGTTACTTAGTACACAACCGTTATTAGTACACCATCAAACGTCAACACTAAACATTTTAACTAGTGCCTTCAGTGAGCTCACGTGGTGACTTTGAAGATGCGCAGCAGACGGAGGGCTCGTAACACGGAGAGGCCGAACGAGGACTCTGGTTTGATGGTGGACCAGACGACCTCGAAGATGGAGCCGGAGATGACGACGCAGTCGAACCGGTTGAAGGCTGACTCGAAGTAGATGCGCGGCCCCAGCGCGTACATCTTGATCAGCATCTCCGATATGAACAGACCGAGGAACACAAACTCGGTATAATCTGCAGTAGATAACGGGAGGAGAGATAAGTGACAGGCTAGTCAAAGAAATAATGCATCAGTAGGTGAATATAAGGGTATTATGAGGTGCGCTGAGCCTGACATAATAAAGAAACAGCTTGGCAGCAGGAGGAGCAAGGAAGGGTGTGTAGATAAGCGATGGTACGAAAGCGGCAGCAAAACAATTACGCCTGCTTTTGCTTCATTCAGCTCATATGTCAGGAGTAATACACTACTCCATGGGGCACAGTTCATCATGAGATATACCACTTAACGCCGCTCAAAAAGCAAGACGTCACTCCCCTATGATTTCAAGCTTGCCATGGCTCGCTAGCTTTCCGCTCAGTGGATGTGAAGCGGAACTGTGATCTCCCGTCTCGGAGAGCGCTACTCACAGAGGAACTGTGATCTCCCGTCTCGGAGAGCGGTACTCACAGCGGAACTGTGATCTCCCGTCGGAGAGCGGTACTCACAGCGGAACTGTGATCTCCCGTCTCGGAGAGCGGTACTCACAGAGGAACTGGGCGAGCCAGTCGGGCTGGTTGTAGTGCTCCACCGCCACACACACCGTGTTCAGAAACACCAGCACAATCACGAACCAGTAGAAAAACTGCGTCTTCACCGCCTTCCGAATCGCAAACCTGAAGGACGATACGAAATCAGATAAGACTGTTTTAGCTGGGCATACGATTGCAAGTAAAAGTGAAGGAAAATGAAGTGAAGAAAAGTGGCACAAAATATGCGTACGATCACATGAAAAAATCCTTATTTGGGAAACATATTTGTTTGTTTTGTTTGTTTTGTTGGGTTAGGCCCTTTCGGTCTGACAAGACCATTGCAGAGCCGGAAGGATGATAGGAATTAGGGGGAGACATTGGTCTGGGCAGGCACCCTAGTGAGTCACCGGGGCTGAGCCCGTCCAGAGGACAGGCCACCCAGCCCCAAGGCACTCACTGCACCCGGCTACGGGGTGCGCTCCCTCGGGAGCAGCGGTGCCGTTCCAAGGGAGCAGCCCGCATGAGATAAAGTTGCCTGCCCAGCCCGGAAGGGGGTTGTGGCGTGGAGGAGAAGGATTTCAGTATCCTGAGGATAGATGCACGGACAGGTGTTGGGAAACATACTAACAAATGAGTTTATATAGGTTATATGCATACCGAAATGTCTTTTCCGCGCGCCAGAACCCCGCGCAGGCTCCTTGGTTCTTTATTTTTGATTTGAGGTACGACGCCTTGGCTAAACCTGTCGGAAAGTCAGATTGTCAGCAGTCACAGACTGTGACATCAGACACATCAGACACACTGCTAGACACCACTGTCGAGCGTCACAGGTCAGGTCTGACAGACGATATTAGGGGAGAGCAGTCACAGCTCAGTTTTCACTGCGCCGCACTAGTGGGCGTTACTGGTAATGTCGGTACGGTCAATGTCAACTTGACACTCCTGGCCACCGACAGCAGAAAATAGCACAGTAAAGTCAAAGGACAACAGTCACGGGTAACAACTAATAATTGATGGCACAGGCGCCTACATAGACGGCACTGCGTCAGCGGCCAGCCCGGTCAGGGGGCGCGGGGGCGGGGGGGGGGGCCGCTAAGGGGGCAGCTGCGCCGGCCCCTCAGCTGGGCGGCACTCCTGTCTACACTATGTATAGTCAGCTGCCGCTACTGCTGCCTGGTGGTCTACCAAAGTCGGAGCGACACCGACTCGGACTGGTCCAGACCACGGCATACACGACAAGCAAATGCAGATCGACAAGTACGGTCTCTACACTGTTATTCGGTCAGCAGAGAGAAAGTTGTTCTCGATTTCGAAAAGCTTCTGCAGAGCTCCGATTGATTGCTCCTTTAAAAAAAATGGAGATTATGAAAAAGTGGCACCATATATAAAACGCAGCATGAGACGCGATCCACTTTCGTCATGTAAAGCATGTTGGCTAGCTTGGGAAGTACATTAGTATTTCAAGATCACTCCAAGTCGAGGCTCCGATTTTTTCTTTTCTTAGCGTGGGTGAAAACACGTCACAGACAGAACTAGCTCACTAATCTAGCTAAAGTTGATGCTGCTAAATGATGAACTGGAAGGGTATAGCACCTCCGCTAGACGGGACTATAGGCGTTACTTCGAATCTACATATAGTGCACACAACACAACAGTAGTTTCGCTCGCGACACAACTGTTCGACAGCATATCAATCACTACTCTACTGCGACTATCAGTTTACCTGACTTCTTTTTAGGCATATATAAGGCTGAAGAAACACGTACAAAATCTGTCAACACTTGTGTGGGCTGCACTTACTACAACATGTGTATGGTTAGTTCGATGCATAGGTACAAGGTATGTGGAGCTCATCTTATGAAGACATTTGTAAGATATAATGTACCGCTATGTTCATTGACACGATCGTTCGCACAGTCTTGAAATTTATTTAAAATGTTCCAATATCTATGGAATATGTTGAGGGCAAATAAATGCATCAAGATGTGTCAATTTTACCAAATTGTGTAGCTGATGCCATTACCTGTTAAAACCCAGTTACATTCGAAAAGGTTTAACAGGTAATATCATTGGTAAAAACTTCATCCTCAAGCCAACTGCTTTGCGGATCTGACATGTTTTATGAGGAATTTATGATAGGTGAAGGAGTGAGTCAGCGGAGGCTTACCATCTTCTTCCCCGTCATTGTCTTCCTCCTCCGTGTCGGTGCTCTTGCTCTTGCCCAGGTTTTTCAACTTCTTCCTTTTCGCTGCCGCTTTTCTCCGCGCTGTGAGTAAAGAAACACCATTGAGTCATACAATACTGCATCCCCGAGAATCTATAAGATCGACTGTTGTATGTAATATCCGGATTCGAACTCTCTGGGCTTGAGTATTTGGCTATCAATTCTGCAGTGCTAGGTACTAATCGCTTGGACTTTTTTAGCATCTCACAACGTGAAACTCTAGTCTCTAGCTTACCCTCCATGATGTGCATTTTCTCCTCCTCAGTTGTCCTTTCTTCCGCTAATATCACTTCCTCTGTAAGAAGCCATACGAGGGTCAGTGTGCAGTTAGTACAGGATAAACGGGAAAACACACGGTATAACTCTGCATCCTATGTCAAAGAGATACGAGTAAATCAACCAGCGACAGATATTGTGCAGATTTTACAAACAGCTGAAATGTAGAAAGAGCTAATTCCTTGTTTTAATCTAACTTCGTTTACGTGCAACGTTAAAAACACGTAGCTAACAGTTTACAAATACGTAAGTCAACAGACAGCATAAGAGTGATCATCAGCTGCTTGCCTTTAGCATTTTGTGAGCGAGGAAGACTATCTCTAGAACGGCGCAGTCTGAGACAGATAATATCAGCCGAAGCGTGCATAGCCTTGGAAATGGTCTATCTTCGAAAAGCAAAGGAATGAAGCTTGTCAAGCAAAGCCAACACCGATTTCATGAACAGAAAAGGGACAGATAATATCAGAAAAATCATACCCAGTGAGGTCAAAAACTCTACGACCTAGGAAAACGGATTTTTGAACGAGTAAGCACTGCGATATCTTTGGCCCGAAACATGGCTATTTGAAAGCAGCACTTAAGTTTGTCTAAACACATTACTGTTCACATTCATTAGACGTAACAGAATACTGACACGTATTTGTGATGGTCTATCCATCACGAAGCTCACTGAAAGTAATAAATCGCGCCAACATCTCTGCCAGGAGCTTTGGCTATCAATAAAAAGCCTTAAAATAAGCAGCACCCTCGTGCCTTAGCATATAGGCGGTGTCACACGAGCCATTGCGATAAATGATGACAGTCACCTGAGAGCCGACACACCGCAATTCACATGCGACATGCGCGACCATTCAAACGTCATGCCCCCGTGCACACAAAACATAAAACGAACACGTGGAACGCTACGAACCTGCTTTACAAATCCACTCAACATAACCATTCAGTTCTCGTTCTAACTGCTGCTGCCGTCTAAGTTTCAAAAAGGCTTGTCTATTTTCTACCCGCTCTCTCTCCTTGGCAAACTCACTGAAAGCAGTCGGAATCAGTCAATGTGCGGGACAGACGACAGTCACACCACGGCACATTCTCACCGCAGCGCGCTCACCCAGTTAGATGCTCTCTCTCTCACCGGGGAATGCTACGCCTACTGAGTGCCGAGCTGTGGTGTTGGTGTTTGTATCGGTACGGTACGGTACACGAGTCGACTGTGTTTGTGTGGGGCAGCACCTGCACCCTCCCCCGGTGACCGAACCGACCCAGTGACGTCACCGGTGTTCACATAATGACGTCACTGGTGACCGTTTGAGCCGCGGTCGGTCGCCGGGGAGGGGCGCTGCAGCTGACTGGCACGGACGGCACAGGGCGGCGGCCAGTGCCGAGATATACGCTACGGACCGGGCTGAGCTACGGCACCAGACAGACAGTTCAGGCCGGGCGCCGCCGACACCGTCATCACCTGCTTTACAGATCCAGTCGCAGTAACCGGTAAACGCCTCGGCTACCAGCTTTCGCTCGCGCATCTTTCGGAACTGCTCTTTCCTCTCAACCCGAACCCTCTCGTTGGAAAACTCGCTGGTGGATTAAACATCGGTTACACATCACGTTCTGGAGGGAAAATAAACAATAATCGTTTCTATAAAACTTAACTCCGCGGAGTGAACATCTGAAAAGAGCACAATATTCACATATTCACATATGTGAATTTATGGCACATCTGTTCCAAAGCGAGGCAGTCGACTGATCTTAAATTCATCAAAGATCCTTACCCCAGCCAAACCTCCTACCTCTACCCCTGCTGTCTCTAACCCATCCCTCGCTCTGCCGAGAACCCCGCGGGCACGGCGCGGCGGTCGGGCAAGAAATCAGCCGGGGGCACGCGCTCGGCCGGCGTCGTCTATTCTTGGCTGCAGTGCCGGCACCGGTTCTGGGCCGCGCCGGGCCGGCGGCCACCACGTCTGATCGATGTGCGACCGGTGGCGCCATTGAAGCCCGCCCGCGACACTGGCAGTGCCGGAGGGGCCATCGGGGGAGGGGGGGGGGTCCACCCCCGCTGACGTCGACCACAAGGCCCGTCTGAGCCGACCCAGCCCGCGTCCATCGGACCGCATTAGAGCGCATACCGCGAGCGGCCAACAGAGCCAGCCAATCGGCGACCAGCATCCGCGGTCAGCTGGTCGCTGATTGGCTGCCGTTTCCCGGGTGGTTTCCGCCGGCGAGGAATGGTACTTACCCACTCAGCACGCCCAGAACCAAATTGAGCATAAAAAACGAGCCCAGTATGATCAGAGGCACGAAGTAGATAACGTTGAACTTGCTTCCAATCGCGTCATTGGTCTGGAACGAAAACAATCAGAGATTAACCCGCGCACCGACGGGGGTCTGCGCCAACTTAGTACCGACGGGGGGGGGCGGATGACCGCCCCCCCCCCCCTGAGATCTCGAGAACGAAGCAAGATAGCGACAAGCGGTAAACGGCATCGGATACGCACGGACAAGGTCTACAATTTTTACTAAGGTCATTTTCAGGTCAGGTCAAAGATGACGTCACAGGGGTCGAAAAAGTCAAAATGGCGGCGCTAGATATGGAGAGGGTTTTTCTCGAATAACTTTCGAAGTAGTCAAGATAGGAACAAACTAAGGGCATCATCGTGATCCTCTCGTCAATCCGCATCGAATGATATATATGTTGACCTCGAAAGGTCAAGGTCAAAGGTTGACCTCAGGTCACGTGACCTCGAGGTCATCATGTATATCATTCGATGCGTCTTGACGAGCTGAACACAATGAGACCATCCGCGCGGCTGTATCTTGTTCCTGTAAGGAGTTATTGGCAAAAAACCTTTGGTGACCTTTGATGACGTCACATGACCTTACAGCTGCCCAACAGCAAAACAGACCTCAAGGTAGTGAAGGTTGATCGTATGTGAAGTCATGTATGGTATATGGGGCCATTCCGACCCGTTTTAGTGGTAAAAACAGGGAGTTGATTTTTCCCCCATTGACTTATAATGGGGAGGTCGCGAAATTGACCTGACCTTAGGTCACCGACATCAAAATTCCGAGATATACAAATTGTAGCTACTAATGACCTAATAACATCCTGCGACTTTCAAAGGCCTCCGACATCTACTGTAGCTCTGGCACGGTGACAAAGTTGCAAAAAAGTGATTTGAGGTTGGGTCATTCAAAGTGACCTGGTGACCTGACCTTAAAAGTTAGGAGGTTCAAACTTGCACACCATGTGTAAAATTGATGAGAGAATAGTCATACCAAATTTCGCGGCGCTACGCGCCGCGGTTTTCCCGCTATCCGCGAAAAACCTCAGGGGGGGCGGATATCCGCCCCCCCCCCCCGTCGGTGCGCGGGTTAAAAACGCATCAATAAATTGATTCGCATCTTGTCGACTTGACGGTGCTTTCGTAAAATCAGACGAGTGTTTTGTGAGACGTAATGCAGGCTAAATGTTAGCTGCATGTTTGTAGTATGAGCTATGGTGGATTGTATGACGTTTTCCATTGAGGAATAGGTGCAGTAAAATGGATATGCTACATACATTATGTATATTCCCCACTCACCCAGTAGAGTATGGACGTCCCTCTGCACTCACCCAGTACCTAATAGACGTCCACCCCCACTCACTCAGTAGAGTATGGACGTCCACCCCCACTCACCCAGTAGAGCATGGACGTCCACCCCCCACTCACCCAGTAGAGTATGGACGTCCACCTCCACTCACCCAGTAGAGTATGGACGTCCCTCTCCACTCACCCAGTAGAGTATGGACGTCCAGCCCTCCATGGTGATGCACTGGAACACGGTGAGCATGGCGAAGCCGATGTTGTCGAACGAAGTGATGCCGTAGTTGGGGCCCACCCAGCCCTCCAGACACATTGACACCGATTCGTTACACCGGTAGCCCCCTGTCGGAGAGGGGCGGGACGGTCATCCACTGCAGACGCTGCTAAAACCGACGGGAGTCGCGCGGCACTGAGGGAATCCGCAGCGGGCAGACACTCACTCACAAGGACCGGGAAACGTTCATGTGGGTGGAGACGTCTGATACATAGTGCACGCTAATCATGGCAGCTAGGTATGACCGGGTCTTACGTAATTCAGTCTACAAATAAATGATAACAAAATTGAGTTCTTATAGGTACATAGCTCCTTCAAATGCGTATAAAGATGCCACGCACGGTCAGAATAGCTTCAGTTTGGGATCTCGCTTTGATGCACCAACAGCAGATGTGATATGTGTGGTCATTGGAAAATGGCGGTCATTCAACACTTACCCCATGCATTGGACATATCACAAGGAGTTGGCGAGTCCCCCTCCGTCTTAAATTTACCTGAAAACGGGACAAAATCATCAGCGTGAGTCTAATCAATACAATGAGCCACTAAACTTTGATCAAGTTGAGAGTCAATAGCTTAGTATGATACAAACAAAACATACCCCTCTTGTAAACATGGAGGTTCTTAGTAGTTTTGCCTATAATTAGTTCCATATCTATGTGATTTTCATTATTTTTACCGTAGCACATCTGACTCACTGAAATCCTTCAAATCATAGCAGGTCTTGTGAAGCGCGCCAAAGTAGAACTCCAGCCCGATGATGGCGAATATGACGATGGCGAACAACACCAGCATGCCGATTTGTAACAAAGGCGCCATCGCCTTGATGATGGACTTCAGCACCACCTGAAGACCTGGGAACAGCGTATAGAGCGTTCAGTGTGCGTCAAACAGACGGAATACATACACGTTACCCAGCCGCTGGGGCTTGCTAGAGACAGTCTGCAGTGCAAGTATGTCCTACAACTATTGATTGCGTTATGTTTTACGTGTTTTGCGTAGACTAATTATATAAATACACAGGCACAAACTGCCACCTTATTGAAACAAATCTTACTTTTTCGATAAATTATGGCGACACCGTAGCAAAACTAACCCAAGCTATTTGGCCCTATATGCTCCTTACGCACATCCAGACTAAATAATGACTAACATGAAGTATTCTAGGCTCTTGTCTAACATCAGAAGCGTTTGCAAAGATATGCAATGTTTTTGCTAATAAATTCAGATCCATGGGACTGGCTCATCACAGTTTTTCGCCATGCTTTAAAAATCATCAGCAGAGAATCTCGAAACGCATTTGTTTTTATGCGTTCAAACGCGTGCGGGCGCCAGCGCACATAAGCGGTATTCATCAAATTGTCATAGCAACCTGCCACCAACAGCGCCAGCGGCGGCGGCGGCAGCGGCAGCGGCGGCGCCGTACCAGCTATATTGATCGCCGGACTGGGCGGTCGCTCGCTCAGCTGGCCGGCAGCGGTCGGCCGCCCCGGGCCATCCCCCCCCCACTGACCCCCCCCCCCCCCGGGAGACTGTCAACCGGCTGACCGGAGGCACTCGAACCCACCAGCGGCAGAGGCGTGAAGGGGCATCGGAATGAATTAGACGTGCTGGTTTCTGTCGTTACTCTGCTAGGCAGATGGACACTTACAGCCCTATTGTGATTCATTCTCTGTGTTTCAAAATGCTGCAGGTGTTTTGAATTATATTGAATATGTTTGCATAATGGGTGCAAGAAAGGTGGAAAAGTGAGCCTTTCGCTTCATTAACTGAAACTTATCAAACGAGATGTAGCAGTGCCTGATCCGACATTGAACACAAACAATCTGCATCGTCCAAAACATTTTGAATTAAATTCTGCCATCTCCGGAGTTGTAATGAAAACTGATGAGTTTGAGTTTGGTTTGCTGACTAAAATGTTTGTATATCATACCTGAATCATGCCAACTCTGCCGCTGCCTCTTTCTTTCCTGAATAGTGAATTCCTAAGAGTTGAACTGGTTTCCCCAAGTTAGATACTATTAGGTGCACTATAGATGACCCTCGGCGAGTGCAGGCTCGGTGCAGCGAGGCGTGCCCTTCCTAGGCTGTTGTCCAGGCGGCCCAGGCGCTATAAGAGCCCGGACTCGCCGACTTGACCTACCTCTGAGAGCAGTGCTGCCGGGTCCGACAGAAGACGTCCCCCGGCAGGTCACACACGGGTCACGGACCATCTGACTGACCGGGGAGAACACGGGTAACACTACGGGGTCACTGGGCCAGCTACTTACTAGGAATTCCGTTCACTAGCTTAAGCGGTCGCAGGACACGAATGGCCCTGAGCGTCCTGAAGTCGACACCGGCCGTGAGTCTCTCATCTGCTAGTATTGTGACCAGTCTGAAAGCAGAGGGGTCGCTAGTCACCCTAGTGGCCGCTAACACTGCCGGACTCCACGGGGACTAGAAGATCGGCTAGGCCTAGGCGCTATATGGTGTCTAGGTCTGGCGCTAAAAATATCCGGCGCTATAGTAAGGCTGAAAACTAGAATAAAGTCAGGGTCTAAAATGTGTCAGTCTCGTTGTTGCATACCTTCTTACAGCTCGAGCAGCTGCAAGCCTCTTGCAGGTAAAATCCTTGGTCAGTCAGTTGTGATAAAGCTCAACATTTCACTTTTCCTCCAAGTTGTCGACGTTCATGAAAGCCCCGAATGCCAAAATTGTCCTATTCAAGCACCCTTTTACGTGTTTTTATCTAACCATCACTTTACAATGCATTATCTTTTTGTGGTACGTACCATCATACCAATCGCATCATATGTTTCAAGTTTTACGAGATATTAGCGATCGGTCGACATTATTTTTTTCAATGTCGTTTTTTAGAATTTGTGATTCAGGCTCCACTCGAAATCCGAGAACATCCGCTGCTTATGATAACTTCTGTTTTTTTTTTTTATCTTTCGTGGTGCCCCTTTTCTACCGAGACTAGATAATGGAACCATGTTTTCTTTATCGTGCCTCTGCTCCTTGCACTTAATGCAACGATAAATGATTTCCTGCTGCCTCTCCAAGTCTTCCATCTCTCCTACAAAGACGACCCCAGCCTATTTTGACAAAAATACGAAGCAAAATCATGGCATAAATAGCTCAAAATCAGTATGCGTTGTTTTAATGCGATCAGAGCATGCTCGATGAAAAGTTAATAATGAATTGTTGATATAAAAGTAAGTTATGGCACAGAAAATGTTGAAATATTGAGACGGAAATAATAATATAGGAAACTTACCAATCGTGTATATTATGGGGTAGTATTTTATTCAGTTTTGATACGTCAACAAATTGCGCACATAGGTATTGCCTATCATAAACTTTGCAGCGCAGAGCTAACACACATTCAACTCCCTTTCTATTCTATGCTCTATCAGCTATCATTTTGCACCTGGTTCACTAAAATTACAGTAAGCATTATGAGGCCCTAAAATGGAGGGATCTAGAACATTACCACTGGCTTGCTGGGTCTGATTATGGCTGGGTACCTAGAGCTAAGTGCTGGTATCGTTGGAAGCAGCTATCTGACGTGGCTATCCCTACAGGCTATCCTAGTGCCGTCACCTCAGACACTTACTAGGCACCCGTGACACGAGCTTTAAAGGCCTCAGCACCCGGAACGAGCGCAGCATACGAAAGTCTACTTCAATCCGATTTTCCACGAACATGGTCACGGTGCTGCCGGTCAGGGGCGGACCACGGGCCGCGGTCAGAACGGGCGCGGCACTCCCCGCGCTCCCCACCCCGCAGCGGTCAGATCGTACACGTGCACGTGCAACTGGCACGAGACCGGTTGGCACGAGGCGGCCGGCGGTGCATGCAGCACGTGCAGCCAGCTGCAGCCGGGCCGGGAGGCCGGAGCCAGCCTCCCGATCGCCCGTTTGCTCTCTCGCTCTGCGGCTGGACTCTGGCCCTCATGAGCGGGTCTGTGGCCGGTCGGGTGCGCACTCACTTGGCACCCGAGAAACCAGTTTTAGCGGGCGCAGCACACGGAATGAGCGCAGCATCCGTAGGTCAACGTGGATGGCCTCCGACATAACCAGCGTTATCAGGCTGCCAGTGGGGCGCGGGGCGACACGGGTTACCTCTCATAGTGGCAAAACAATCACCAGCCCCTGCACTACACGGGCCTAAAGGGGCAACATGGTTACCATGGGGCACCTCGCAAAGGCGCGACACAGTTATCAACGGGGGACCTAAATTTCTCAAAGCATAAAACCCCTCCCATAGGGCGAATCGGTTACCAACGGATACAGCACACCCCTTACCGCCACTACTCCCCTCCCCTTTCCATCCAGTGCATGGGGTGGAGTGCATAGCATTTCAGTCTCCAGTGTCGCACCCAAGTCATGAAATGTTGCAAATACACATAACAATCATACTCGTTATTGCACAATAACCGACAAAAAACACACACACACACACACACACACACACACAAATAAAATACCTAACGCAACATAGGGTTTCCGATAATATTGCACAAAACAGATTCTTTATGTCTAAAAAAAGCAGGAAATAATTTTTTTGGGGATGGCAATATTCGTTGGTTCAACAAAAAGATCAAAGCACGCTCATTCACAATGAAGCCAAAGATGCCAAACTTAGTAACAATATTCTTATAAGTGTTACTTGCTTCTTTTATTTTAGATCATCACGTGTGAAAATCGTTTAACAATTAACTATTCATGATATTCATTTAAGTATATTGACTAATTATATAACATCTGCAGCTTTGCAAAGGTATGCATCTTATGACTAGTTTTCTTATGACATAAGTTCGATCCAATGACCGTAGTTGCCTGTTGAGTGTTAGTTACAGCGTGAGGGAGGAAATGCAGCATGCAGATGATGCGGTTCACTTACCCGGTAACTACTACTATGAAATCCATAATGTTCCAGATATTCCTAAGGTAGGCACCCTTGTGTAGCACAAATCCTAGCGCCATTATCTTCAACGACGCCTCCACGCAGAAGATGCACAAAAATACAGTTTCAGTAGCCTCCTGCGGAACAAAAGACGTAGTGGGTGTCCAGAGAAGTCACCACAAGGCACAAACACGAAAAAAAAGTTTGTTGGTCGGTAACGCCATCAGAAACGGTTAATGACATGGATTAGTAACTTGCAAATTAAGTAGTTAATAGTTAGCAACGGAATAAGACGCGTGTACAAAAGCCAACATATGCACGCCCAGGGTTGACTTGAGTTGTCATTACAACTCTGTCCAGACTGACTCAGTTTCCGGCTCGGTCCGAGTCATGGAGTGCGGTTTTCCCACCCCACCCCTCCAGCCAGACACGACGTGTAACTGACCAGTTTGATGGCGAGCATCGTCTTGTCGCCCTCTGGCAGGTGCTCCTCGAGAGCGAGCACCACGCAGTTGGCGATGATGGTCATCAAAACTGCCGTCTCAAACGGAGTGCAGCGGCAAAACGTTAAGGAAATCAACATGACATACCGCGAGGTCAGTCTTACATCACTAATACAGACGAGCTCACGGGCGAAATCAGCTAAATCAAAACGACATAGCGGGAGGTCACACTACAACACAAATATCAGGGACGCATTCGCTAGGCGAAACCAGTCAGACGGACTCACGTGAGGGTTGGATTAGTAATCAGTTTTGCCTTCGTCGAGAAATTTATGCATGGAATTAGTCAACGCATCAGAAGAAGTATAGTTGGCACATAATCCAAACGTTTGCTGTGCTTGAAGCACGCTTGCACCTCCACTTGACTTGAAACCTTATATTAAATGATTTTTTCTTCATAATAAAGCGCGATGCATGATATGTCCATCGCAAAGCCCATCTCCGAAATGAAATCACCCACAATGCACAAAGTAATTAAGCGCCATGCACAGGTCTTCGCCAGTATTCGACATGGCGCCACTGCTACGCCATTTACTTTCATTCGGCCCTTCCGTGACGCCAGTATGTCGCCAATTGCGGAGGGTCTGGCGCCAGCCTCTGACTCAGGTGGCAGCCCTGTTTACGGCGCCGCCGCCGGATCTGGGGAGGGAGTGTGTGTGACCCGGTGGCCTAGTTTGGACGTCCTCGGCCGTCGAGGGGCGCCGCCGTCGGCCGGACCGGCACGCAGTCGGCGGCGGCGGCGGCGGCGGCGGCGGCGGCGCTGGCCCTATCGATTGCACCAAGTCAGCGGAGGAAGCGGACGGTTACCGCGCGGCGTCGGCGCTCTGCCGGGCCGAGGCCCGAGAGGCGGCCCTGCACAGAGACCGGCCCGGCCCAGCGCGGCCCGACGCCGGCCCCAGGGGTGGACTTTGTACCAGGCCAGGGCCGGCCAGGGACTGATTCTGAGACCGAGCAATTCTGGTTACCATGCACGTAGAGCAAGACAACATAATAATAAATGATGGCTTCTATCATTCAAGTGCATATATTCACTGTCCAATTTGTAACACAGTACCAGCCATGCAAATCTGGTAATCGCTAGGCAGCCGCCAGTCTTTCACTCTGGATAGGTAGGCTGTACCGCACCACAGCCAAGCAATGCGGTGCAGTCTATCTCAGCGTCGACAGGGGGCCATAAGTTAGGCCCGAGACCGATAAAGCACAAAGACCAAATACGGGGCGGAGCTCTAGAGCTTGATCTGAGCTTTTTTCATCACACTGACAAGAAGATACAAATGCGTATTGTCCTCTTCACAGCGGCTAGCGTATACAGGAGAAGAGTCAAGCGAACCCACTCCGCCAGCCGTTTGACCTGTGATTGAGCTATGGCTTCCCTAAAGAATGGGAGGGCTGCTCGTGACGAGTCCAAGCCAATGTGACTCGGTTGTATGCCCTAGTTTATCGTTGACCTACTAGCCCAGGTCAGTGAACATGTCAATGACAACCCTTATGAAAATGAGGATAAAAAGGTCTTTTTAAAAAGGCGTTGCAGTGGTAATTTGGGGGTTATTTCGAATAACAAATGTTTTGTTCGAAAAATCCAGTTTCTCCATTTGGAGCAGGACGGTACAGTTGAGGCCAGGCCAACCATCCGTCCTGACCTGTTTTGATTATTCTGATCAATCAGAATAATAAAAAGCCAACGACCTTGACCTGACCTTTAAGGGATCTTGATTCCATCATACTAAATGGAAACAAATCATCGCACATGCTGACACGCGTCTGATCGTAAAGTGTCGGGGATCGCTCAGGCAATGCGTATTAAAACATATCGAATCGCATTTGTAGCGCGACCATAAAGTTTTTTAGGGGGGAGGGGGGTTAGCGGTACTGGCTAAATTTCCAGGGTACGCATAAAACTGAGCAACACGAGAGTAGTGAATCCGGGGTCACCCTCAATCTCTTTTTTTTGCGAGAGGACTAAAATCAAAAGTCCAGACAGCGTCCAGCCCAACCCCAATAAGAGCAAGGTCTAATTTAGCTTACTGATAACGTATTTTTATGATATGATCAAAATTTAGCATGCAAACATAGCTTCGTATGCAAAACGATTTAATGAATTTTTTGAATGAATGGTAGAGCTGGACGCATTTCCGGGAAAATAAATGTCACCGATGAAAGAAATCATAATTCACCCGATAAAAGCTGCCATTCATTCTCGGTAAGCGTGTCGCTGTGTCTGCAGCTCTGCGGCCCGGAGAAGGAACTGCCCCGTTCCGATGACGCGGTCCGATGACGTCACGCGGCTGGCCGGAGGTGGCGGCAGGCCTCCGTCCATTGATCGGCCGACCAACTGGAGCAGAGACCGGCCGACCGGCCGCCGCGGATCGGCCGGCCGGCGACCCCGGCGGACCGAGACGCGGCGCGTGGCACACAGAGGGTCGCACGAGCGACTCCGGCGCCAGGCCGCGCCACAGGACACGCAGAGGGTCGGGAGACCTGTCTCTAGTCTCAGACAGTGGCACTCGACACACAAAGGCGCAGAAAGGGAGAGAGGGAGGGAGGTGGAGGTGAAGGTTAGAAACTGAAAGTAGGGAAGAGAGTTACGGCTCCTAATGGCCAGATAACATAAATTACTATGCCCAGGAAGCGAAATACAGCAAAACAAATTAATATTGAGGTATATGAGCAAACAAAGAAGCTAACTGAAAATAGGCAGAATCAAAAGTATTTAAATAATGAGTCATCAAAACACCTAATAATTAGAAGGCAACGGAGAAGTCGAAAGGAAAAAGCAGTTAAATAGTTAGCAGTGCAGATTAGATTGAAGGAGAAGAAAATAAATTATGTATGTATTTATTTACTATTTCATTTTAAATTATTATATATTTAAGAAATTAAATTATAGAAATAAGGAAACAAGTAGAAACAAAAAGAGAAGAAAAGGGGGAACTAGTAATAGAGGGAACGAAAAAAGGAGAAGACAGAAAGGGAAAAAGGAAGAAATGAAAGAGAAGAAATAAAGCAACACAGAAAGGAAGAGAGAAAGAGAGTAGAGAAGGAGAGAGGACCTCAGCTCTGCAGGCGGCTGATTCTGAATCGGCATCTGGCGCTGTATAGGTAATAATGCCAAACGCTCGATAACTCCTTTGGGACGTTTGACTCAATTCAGGAACAACTGAGCTTGTCCACTGTGCTTGCATAATTAGCACTGTTCTGTCCGCACGTATCTGAGAACTGCGCGAATCGGAAAACAAAAAAAAAAACGAGAACATAAAACGTGCTTGGAATAAAGCAACAAGGCTCAGTTGAATATGTCGGATACCAGGTCAAGGGAAGGACTAAGTCAACCAAGCGACTGGGACATGAACTGTACGGAAAGCATGTCTGAAAACACGCTCGATATTGCCTCTGAGAACATGAGCATAGGAAGTTTGGATTATACCAGACACATTACTGGAAGGAATTGTTCCATTGGATTTGATTGAACTTATGGAACTAGCTTTTATATAAAAAAAACGTACAAGTAACGACAAGACCTTGACACGCAGCTGGCATACAGAATCGATGCATCTCATAGCATGTGTGACGGTCTGTGTCAAGCTTACTTTTCCGGAACCATTTTCATTACTTTACTTTTGATGCCTTTAATTAATGAGCTCCAACAGACCGTAGGCCGGGCTGTGCTTCGGGCTGGGCTGGACTGGATCCTCAAATATGAAGAATCAACGGGCTGTACAGTCCACAGCAGAAGTAATGTGGGGTTTCAGTCATGGGTATGTTCTGCTTCTGAAGCTTAGGAACGATTGACCGGACTACAATGAAACTTTGAATGTAGCTTATATGTATCGTCACCCTTGCAGCTGCAACTTTAGCTATTGACATCTTCTTTTCGATCACTCCGCATTAAAAAATCGCCAGTCAAAGCCAACCGTTGAAATTGGTAAAACCCTACATTACTTTAGCGGTGGGCTGTATGTACGTGTAATTGCATAGTTAGCAAAACAGTGCTAACTATGCAATTACAGTGGACAAGCTCAGTTATACCTGAACGGGCCGGGCCAGGACACATGTTTCCAACCAGGGACGGGCCAGGGACATTTGTTTCCAACCTACTCAAATTAAGAAACATAAACCACACACACACACATATCACAAAACAACCAATGATTCAACGACGCTGCATAAAAAGGATATGGCCACTCAATGATGAATTTGGTGTATCTTCTGATTGGATTCGTCTCGCTGAAGATGAACAGCGAGGTGGGCCGTCGGCCGTCCTGCGACGGCGCCGCGCTCTTCTTGGCCATGGCGGAGTAGCTGTAGGTCCGGTGCGCCGCCGGGTCGGCGCCGCTGGCTGCCGCCTCTCGCGCGCGGGCCTCCTGAGCTGCCGCTAGCCTGCGGAGAAGAGCGAGAACCAGTCAGAGCGGAGCACGAGCCAGAGGCGTCAGTCACAAGGAGGAGACACACACCCTAGTGTAGACGTACGGAACACACAGGGGAGGGGAGCACGCTGGTCTTTGCTGTGGATTATAAGTTGCTAGTCTGCAAATATTGGTATGAAAATTGAGAACCAAGAAGACCAACCATCACAATATGCATCACACAGTTAACACAAATCCACAAGCTGGAATGCACTGCCGGCAGGTAGACAACCAGAGCTGGTGGTTTCCCAGCCGCTGCGGCCTGGGGAGCTTCTGAGCTGAGCGACGCCAGCCGAGACTGCCTGCGCTGGTAGGCTGACCCGCAGCACTCCCGTGCCTGGCGGAACAGGCCGGTCTAATCTGAAACCGCTCCCTGCTGTTATGCTGTTCCATCGAAGTTTCATTTGACCATGTTTCATTTTTGCAGAGTTTCATTGACAATTGTAAGTAAAATGTTATAGTTCTAACCAAAAATTATAATTCATTAACTATCAAATGATACTGTTAGTCGAAACAGTCGTCTTTACATCGTGAGACAATCGTATCTCAACCTAAATCTTCATCAATGATCGCGGTTTCCTGCTGGCCAAGCTGACGGTCTGCCCACCCAGGAAACTGCGGAGCGTGGCTCTCATAGATGCATGTCCCTCCAGGGCTAAGTGAGGGCCTGAGGACTGCGGCTGTTCCACGCGGGGTACTCCCGTCCACACGATATTCGGCGCGCCACCCGGTAGTAGAATTCCCCATCAAAAATGTTGTAAATGCCACAAGGAAAGCATCCAAAACTATCTCTCCAATCATATGTCCCTCAAAACTTACATAACATCCATATCTGGTGTACAATAGTCTGTGACAACACCTGTAGGTTCTGAATCAGATACTGCGCTGCTGGTGCGTGGCCGTCGCCAGGAGCGCACGGTGGACACAGTCGCCCGACTCGGCGGCCACAGCTGGCGCACCATTGGGACGGCCACGTGCGCCACAAGTGTGCTGCTTACTCGATGATTGCGGCCGAAACGCGCGCCTGTCGACCCGTCCGACATGGGAATTAACCCCTGGAGGGAGGTGACTGCCCGTCGACAGGTCCCGGCCGGTCCGGCGGCTCGCGCGCGCCGCGCTGCGATGTGTCAGTCAATACATCTAGGAATTCTGACTACAACGGAACGTTTAGAGCAGCCCCACCACCATGATCAGGTCAATCTGGCCAGTAAGGACGGGTCAGATCAGGTCAAATAGTACGGGTAAATGTGAGCCCTCCCTTGGCCTGCGACGGCTCAGGGTCCAAATGATTTCGACCATCAATAAATAAATCAACCGTGTCCTTCAAGCTTCCTTATTCAGTGCTATCATTAAATTCTTTATCATTGGTTCGTTTTGACAGCATTTACATAAACGTCATGGACATAGCGCTGCTTATGTAATCCACTTGGTGGGTAGGGGCGGTCAGCTGGCAGCGCGCTAAATCTGTCCCCAAATCGATATGTGTTCTGCCAGAGGCTGCGGAATGCGGCATTTAACCCCACGTCCTGTTGCTAATCACTAAGCCTATGTTGAGCTGCCCCGGCGACAGGTATTGCGTAATGAACTGACCTCCAGCACTGTGATGTCAGATATGTGAAGCCCGTTTATTCATAGCGTCTCTAGCTTCATGACTGACGTACATGTTACATATATTTATGAGAAAATATAAATACGATAAAATAAATTCAACATCTATTTCCCAAGGTTTCGCTCCGTTTCAGCCAAGTTATATAGGTCAGATAGGCAGGCTTAACGGCGCTGTACTTCGCATCCCGTACCGACACCCACACCACCCCGCCCCCCACTCCACCCCTCCCCCCCTCCTCGCCGCCCTATTCCGCCTCCAACCCACCCTCGTCCGGCGCCCGAGCCGCCGTCAGTCTGTGACGTCACACCATCACCCCGTGACGTCACAGCGCTAGCTGACGACGCGGTGAGTCAGCTGACGGGGCGCCCGGTCACGGCCGACGGCGTCACACAGCATTTCCGGCTACGTCACGGGATGACTTTCTCCCCCTCACCTCCGCCCCTTCCGGATCTGGTGGGCCGCCGAATTATACAGAGACACTTGACGTTCCGGACCGGCCTTCCGATGATGCAATCACGACTGGCTGACGTCACAGTCGGCCCATCACGCGCTGCTCTGACGCGCCAGAACTTCCACTCTCAACTGCAGCGATGTTGCCGAATCGGCCCATACAAAATATCATGGATGGTGTTCCCATTATGCCGGACTGCGCGCACCGCGGCTGTTAGCCATGCTAGCACGGCTCTCAGGCTCTCTGACTTCCAACACTGTATCCTCGTTCCATTCCAATGCCAGTCAGCGGTGGCACACATACACAGCCGGTGTTTCGTCCTTTATGGCGCGTTAGTGGCTATGCCATGCCCGCTCTGGACAGGTCTTGGTCCTAAATCACAACAGTGGTGCTTGGAATGGTTTACTTTCACTAACCACAGCTATGAATTATAACTGTTGTCGTTTGTAAGCCACATAGCACGACCACCGCCACTCGTGCTCCAACATTTAAGCGCACGATGTATGGATAGCAGACGAGTCGCCTGCCTCTCGGCCTGGTCTTGATCTGACTCGGTCGCTGTTCCCCGCTGGCTTTGTTGGGGAGCCTCTCTTCCGGGAGACGCTGGGTCACCGGGGTGCAACTGCGCGTGCTTCGGTGAATCGGCACGCGTTTCCAATTAAGTGTTGGTCGGAACCGCCTGTCTGTCGCGGCTAGCGCTATTACACGGCACGCTCAGTTTGCATTGATCGCCAAATGTCCGGTGGATACACGGTGGCCATCAATATCTCACAAGGCGCGCTCGGCGGTCTATAAATAATCACCGCCCGAGGCACTCGCTGCATCGACCGCACACATATGAGACTCACTGCCGGCGGTCGACCTTCCAGAGCCCTCTGTGCGTACCAGTGGCAAATGGCGCATACATGTGCTTCAGAGGTCAGCTGTAAGACATATGAGCAAGTACAAGCATCTCCCCGGCCCTCCATACCCCCTGCTGCGCCCCAAGTACCTAGCGTCACAGAACGACATCGAACTGGGCGTGCATCAGAGGTCATAGGGTCAAATGCGACCGGAGCCGGGGTCATGATCTTCCGGGCCTTTCCGCGTCTTCCATCCCACCCCGCCCAGTTCATGCCAATGGCTGTAGGACAGGTAGAGTAAAATGCTTATCTTATAATGCTTATCTAGATAAAAATTTAAATAAAAGAATTGCTATCGGTGACCAAGGGTCAGGTCAACTTTGCCATTACACCTTTTTTCAATCCGAATCGGCATCCGTTCATTCAAATACGGCAGCGGGCACCTTATCTCGACAGGCACTCCAACAACTCGACACTGGAGCACGCATTTCGACACGTTTCACGGATTGAGACTTGCATCTGCTGATATTCGACCAGGGTCAATGAACAACGGCAGGGGCATTTAATATCGACAAAGGGCATTCTGTTTTGTCATATTGCATTTTACGTCGGCAGCTTGCAGCCAAGCTAGGCAATGGTCAATTTATCTCATCAGTGAATTAAGCAACTCTTATCTTTTCGGATAGGCATTTTAAGAATGTGCGTTAAAATGTTCCACGGTACTGTAAAGAGACACTCAATATGGGCGCTTGGTTGCTAAGTAACCACACCTTTTTCAATCCGAATCGGCAACCGTTCATTCGAATACGGCAACGGGCACCTAATTTCGTCAGTCGCTCTGGAACACCGGTTCGTCCCTAACATCAACCGCTTCCGGCACACAAGCTGACCTCATTCGAGGTCACCACCCTTGCGTCACTCTGTGACAATGTGGAAGCACTGGCAAATCCAAAGGGCGACGGGGGTCATTCGGGGCCACGCTCCAGGCGAATCCAAAGGTTGACGGGGGTCATTCAGGGCCTCGCTCCTTTCAACGCATCTAAAGTTGACAATGTTTTAGCCGTATTTCTTGCATGAAAAAACAAAAATATTTATTTTTTCAATTGTGTCGATCTGTCGACACATTGTGAGTGGCGCTGACCGCAAGCGCGGATGGTTCAGGTCTGCCGAGATGGGAATGGGCGTGTCATCGGAGAGCGGCAACAATGTTTGCAGGACGGCGGTGTGGTCAGTCATGGTCAACTGTATTTCCGGACAAAAAACTGCCCTCTGGAAAGGTGGAAACCCTACGGGCTAACCCATCGATCGCTTTGGCTGCATATCCGTAGCGGGACAGTTTTATACCGGCGTGTTGTCAGCCGCCGCAGCTCACCGGTCACTGGTAGACTCACCCAAATGCTTCCTCCGCATGATCCTCTCATCTCACGACTCTGACATGGCTTGGTAGCCTACTCACCCTCCATTCACAGAAAAAAAAACGTTTAGACCTTAAAACCACGGCCTTGGCGTATTTTGTGTTCCATTAATCCAAGGGGATTCTAAGAAAAGGAAAAATGCTATAAATTCTAGTGGTGAGCATTGAAAACGCATCAATATAAAAAATATGGTTTGAAATTTGTTCGATTTAACTTGTTATACCACCAACGAAACTGCATGACCATTGTCATTGTAAAATGAAATTTGCCTTTTTCCAATGCCCGATGTCACAGTCCTATGCCGTGTGCCGAAATCCATTGGCCAGTGTCGAAATCACGCTCATTGTCGACATTAAATGCCCCATGTCACGCTGCTGCACTATGCCGAGTTTGAGGCGTGGTTTGTCGAAAGCGCACTCCAGCTGACGTTCCTAATGCAGATCTGCCGAAACTAACTGACCAGATGCCGATTCGGATCGAAAAAAGGTGTATAGTCCCCATTATAAGTCAATGGTAGAAAATTGGCATGCCCCTCTTTTGGACGAGTGTCGTTCTAAGCACTCTCAAACATCGATTTATAGGTAAACATGACACATAGAATCGGAAAGTTGCACCCGTGGCCCCTCTGTGTGCCCCTGAGGTCATCTCAGATCATGAAAGGTCCCAAGCAGTTTTTTTGCAATAACGTTTTCAGAAAGAGGCGCTAGAGCGATAAAAACACCTCAAATGTTTTCAGCCCGACGATACGGATCGACTGATATGTAGCCATTTCCGGTTAGGTCATGACTGTGTCATTTTTCCTACAAACTGGCCGTTCAAGGTCAAATTATAGTTAATTCCACGCGTCTCGACGAGAGGAACACGATGCTGGCAAAAGTAACACCGTGACTCCCACGAGTGAAAAGTGACTACAGAGAAACGTTGTTCGTGAAAATGGCTACTTATTTAGTTTTTACCCTCTAAACGCTAAACCGTTGACTTGAGCTCAAATATGAGGACATGTTAGCGAAAGAGCGTTGAAAGAGCTATCGAATGCACTTTTCCGTGGCGCTGTAGCTCTATTGGTTTCCGAGCTATGCGCTGGTGTTTCGGAAATTGTTGAAATAGACCAGCTTTGACCTTTGACGAGCTCTGGTGACACGACCTTTGACCTAACCTAAAAATGACCAAATTGTTCCGTAATTATGTTTGACGTTCTTTCGAATGCCGCTTACCACGTGTTGCTGCGTGGCCCAGTAGCCAATTCAGACGGGGGGATGAGCCCCACCCCCAGCACACCACGGAAAACCCCGGCCACCTGCACGGCTCGGGTTAAACATAAAAGACGATTTGAAAGGCATCGGTTTTATGAAGAAACATTCAGTACCTTCGTCTTGAAACATTTTACGTCTATCCTAAAAACTGCATGACTTGGACCCAAATGCACAACCACCACGTTGACCACCATCTAATAATAATGCAATGATAGAATTGCGATTCGACGCATATTGGCACAAATCGTCTGTGTATTTTCAAACTATTTTTGTGACTAGAAATGTGGCAAACATGTGAAGTGATGTTCGTCCCATTGATTAGTGTGATTGTCAACATTATGAAATGGTTAGTACAAGTTGCTGAATTTATTGAAGTGAATGATACTACTGGGTCTAGCGTGACCCTCTCTCGCCAGTTACTATTATTAATAGCTGGCTGTATGTAAGCAAGGCTCTGTATACCAATGTAAGAAGTAAGAACTAAGAACACGGATCAAAGGATGTGGAGTAGTGATGTCAATTACGGAAAATCTTGATACCGATACCAAACCAAATACCAACAATATCCATGGAAAAATACCGAAACCGAACCAACTTGGTATGCTTATGAAAATACCAACTTTTTACCAAATTCACAGCCTCTTTTACATTAGGGACCATTCACAATACCGACAAAATACCAAATCCATTAGCCTTGAAATACCAAATACCAAGTTAGTATCGGTTTGGTATCGGTATACCAAAAACTTGGTATCTGATTGACATATCTAATGTGGAGCTCCCCGGCCGCGAACTCACCGCCACCAAGTTACGAGAGGGATGCCGTATCCACTTAGGTGACACATTTTGTAAGTGCGTTACCTGAATACTCTGAACCATTTTGGTTGCATACCAATAATAAGATCAAATAATAAGATAGATGAAGGACATTCCACGCAAATATGATTTTGATATGTTTTTTTGGGAGTAGAAACCTTACATGATAGCTGATCTGCTTAGTGTATTTCTTAGAATGTCCTTGTGTCTTTATGTCTTTATGAGCAACAAACATATAGCTATTCTACCAAAAAATTTGTCGGCCTAAATGAACAACGGCAATCGCTGCCATCCATCATTACAATCTGCGTAATGTATGTACATGAAATCGATAAACCGTAAATCCATCGATAATCCGAATGAGATCAAGCAAGCTGTAGCCGGACCAGGATATTATCCAATAATAGGAACGGCAGCAGCGGTGGGAGGGATAACACGACCCCCTTCCGTTTCGCTCCTGGCTGGCAGAAAAACTGGGCACAGGGTATTGGCTGTCACGAGAAGAAATGAACACTCAGCCAGGCACACACATATGCATTCAGCAACATGTGCGATGCGCACTATATTTTCCTGCTGAATATGACCCCACTTTAGGTAGTTTCATTTCAGCCAATAAAAACATGACCATGTCTCGTATATTGAGCAACAACCGCAAATTAATGGTCTGAGTGATCTCGGGTTCGTTGAACCTGCCCGTAAATTTAGAAACAGCTGTAGATGTTGAAATAAAGTTGCAGATTTGAATGTACGACTGACTGAACAGGGATGGGACGTGACCAAAAAGGCAGTTTTCACATACGGAAGCGCAAATGGTCGATGCGACAAGACATAGTTTGTGACATTTTATAAACAACAAAAGCAAAGTGCGTGCACTTGCACACATTTTCAGTTTAATCATGAGATGTAATATACAAATAAATCCTGCGACCCATCAGGCTATTCCGCAAAGAAAGTCAGCCGAGGCGCTTGCAAAGATTTCACTTCTTATTCCAGAATTGGATAGAAAAAGGTACAAGTAGGCTGACACCTGGTAATAAAGGGTGGTTTCTGGAGACCTGTCGGCCAGTTTTGTGGCGGCTCGCTGCCGTCACCACTCACCTGTATCCAGCCTCCGTTTACGGTCACGCGCGGGCATCTCGAGTGGCCGCTCCGGAGAAGGTCGCAGTGCGGCACACCGCCCCCCGCATGGCCGACGGGCGGCTGGCGCGGTGAGATGGACGGGGCCCGGCGGGCAGCGCGCGGTGCCGCAGCGATCACTGCACCTCAGTCACTGACACGGAGTGGCGGCCGGGCACTCGTCCCGCCCTCCCGCCCGTCCACAGAGAGCCGTGTGTGCGCGGGTGTGGCGGGCTGCGTGCGGAGGGTGGCCGGGGGTGTCACAGTGTAGGTGTGTGTGTATGTGTGTGAGTGTGAGTGTATGGAGGCCGCTGTGCGGTCGCCGCTGGAGCCGCCTGCGCGGGGCGGTATTGAACCGGAGCCGGCCCGAGCTGCGCCGGCGGCGCTGCGCAGCGACACGTCACGTCGGTGCCACGGCCGCCCGGGGTCACGTCGCGTCTCACAGGTCGCGTCTCGAGCTGGTCGCGGTGTCCCTCAGTCTCACTGTCCGCTGGTGGCGCAGGTACCGCGGCGGGACACTCGCCTGCGGCTGCGGCGCCCGTCGGCAGGAGGCGCGGTGCGCTGCGACCGCCCGAGTCCGTTCGATCGCGGCCCGCGCTCCGAGACTGGCGGTGTCTCCGCCCGCGGCGGCCCCTGGCGGCAGCGGCTGTACTGCCCCCGCCCCTCCCCCGGCGGTGCACCTGACCCCACCCCATCCCCCAGCGCACATGTGCGGTACCAAAGCCGACGACTGCTTCACTCCCGGGCAGGCGAAAATAAATACCGTCATATTCTATAGCGGCCGGACAGAGGCTGACAGCCAGGTCACGCCGAGACCGCTGCTGATTGGCCCCAACTAGGGTTACCCGCGTGCTCCGCAACGCGAAGAAGGGTTATTTTTGACCCGTGGGTATTGGTTTGGTCTGTGTCGATTTGGTTGGCATCCATTTCGTTCGATTGCTTTTTGACGGCCAAGCATTTTGTAAGAAAACAAAAAGATACATCGCATCGAGGTGCCCGTGTCGTATTATCATGCGTTCTACTTTAGAATGATTCGAAAACTGGCGTCAAGTCTTTTGAGGGCCATCGATGAATTTCGCTAAAAATGACAATGTAATGGTTTGAAACATTAACATTTTTTAGAATATTGTTGCTTGTCATGCAAAAATGAAGAGTGAATATTGGTCAGAATTGAATGCTCTATCCAATGGTACCATATTCAATTGCCAAAGGTATCAGGTTATGCACCAAACCCCGTGTGATTAATAAAGTGGCACAAAATCGACAAACACCATTTTCTCCTGTGATTTGCACCACCTTGATTTGGATCAATCAGCTTTTCACAATTTTTATATGACAGGCGGTACCTTTCTCTTGCAAATAGGCGTTGATTCACCTCCCTCCATTTAACGGTCACCTAAAAATAAAATTAATTCCAAAATCCCTCAAAAACCGCAATTTTTCAAATAAAAGTGCCCTCTCCGGTGCACGTGGCGCGTGCTATCCTCTGCATTGCGCACCATTCAATAGCCCGTTCAATTCTGTACACGATGCTGTTTTCCCCGTGCCGGTCGGACCCCTGGTCACCAAGATATTGCACGGGAACTGGACCCGTGTCGGCCAAAATTAGCCGTTTTCGCCCGATTTCGCACGCCGATTTATACATGTAAAGTCTATGACGCGAATTTTTAGATAGTTGTTAAAATAAAGTAGGCTGCATAAGAGCTCATAACGTTATGAATTCACCATAAAAGCGTCAATTTATTTGTTTTACATCCTTGAATCCTCATCAATCGTTACATGTTATTGAATATGCAATCGGCAAGCGCAACCTCCAAGCCACGGGCGTTTGGTACTTACGTTTATGTGAGGAAGTACAAAAAGATTATATGCAAAATAAGATAGCATTAATCAATTTCTCATTTAATTAAAAAAATATCCTGTAGTTCGCATCTAAATCTCTGCATGCGCGATGACATTTTCCCACTGGACCAGCGAGGCCTAATCTGCCGGCGCGGCCGCTAGATGTCTCTGGGTGTACAGCCTGAGTGGGTAGACTGTCCCGCCTGACACGTGAGAGAGGCTGCGACGGGACCAGGCGAACTGTCCAGGGGCTCCGCCACCGGAGTGGTCGCTCGCGAGGCCCGGACCCCCAATAATTTCGTTTCCACATGGCAGCTGTGTGTATAAGGATGTGGATTTTTGGTCCGACCCCCTGCCCAATCCAAAACTGTGGAGGAGCCCCCGAGTTATCTTGAGAAATTCTTTTATCCGAGAGAAATTCTTGGAAGTTGGAAAGTCAGTCCCCAATAGGGATCTTGCATCTTTAAATGCCATCGAGCTGCGCTAATTTTTGTAGAAATTTTCGAAATAAAATACAATACCCTGGGCTCATTTTTCCTTCGCAAGTAGCACCGGCCTCCCGGAGCCATCTGCTGTCCAACCGCCCAGCCTCCAGTTCCCGGGTGTGTGGATGGGCACTATTGACGTCGCCAATAAAGTTTTGCGTATAAGTGAACATAATGCAAAATAATCTTGCGTAGTATTCACTTTCAATATATATACCTAGTTATTACTGGCCTAGGTAATCCCAAAGACAAAACATACCTACCTATCTAATGTCTAATAGTCATGCACCAAATCGGCACCCTCAAATAGGGAATGGTAAGGTTCGCCGGTCCACTTGGATAGAAACCGGCTATGTATCGCAAAACCAGCGCTGCCATCTCCTTCTTTACCTATAGGCTCCAGTTACTGGCACACGATAGAAAGGAAAGCCAGTGGGTTACAGCTGAGCCAGTGAGGTTCGTACATTTCCCGCCAGCCGTCGCCACCGTCCGGCGCCACTCGGTGTGGACCATTGGTCGGGCCACACCTGGCGCCATCTACGGCCCGACGTCAGAGCCACGGTCGACGGCAGACGAGAGTTCTTATTCCGGTCTTAGTCATGCTTCACATGTGTGATAGTGATTTACTAATTCTCTAACTCAAATAGCGCAAAAAAAACTGCAAAGAAGGTCATGCTTATTTTCTTAGGACAAACAGCAAGTTGCGTTGGGAAGAGATACAGCTATTTTATATTTTGAATTGAAAATTAGAAAAAAGAACAAGATACATTAACTACTAACTGTTCCCAATAACATCATGTTTACAGGTGTAACTTCACTAACAAAAAAAAAACATCACGCATTTTCATGAGTGCATAAGGCGTTCTAAGGTAGACAAGACTGTCTAAAAAAAAAACTCAAAGATGTTGCTGGAGGGTCCGAGCAGGTAAATAAAGTAAACAGTATTTTACTCGCTTGGCCATCTCATCAGCAAATAATGTTGGCGTCAGTGGAAACATCAAGCTCAAAGGCAACCTTCTTTGTTGACGTATCCCTAGGTCCCTAGGTCGTTCAATAAGTAAGGTAAAATGTACCATAGTTCATTTATATGAGGAATGCAAGCAAAATCAAATATGCCATCTGAATCTTTCAACAATATTCTACACAACCTTCGAAACTGTTTTTCGGAGTTTGGCTCATTGTCCGAACACGATCGGTGTGAAAACATTGATGCAGCAGAGTTCCGTTCTAAAAATCCCCGGTTTGGCACGCGAGCCAAAATTCGCCTCAAAATGAGTGAGTTGACCCTGATGACGCTATTTCCATTAGCAATCTTTGCTGGTGAACAGCTGGTACGATTTCAACAAGAACAGAGCAGTGTAAGAGACAAAGCTCTAGAGCAGGTAGACTTGTGCCCGCAGGCCTCTCTGGACTTGGCACAATCTGTAAAGTCAGGGAGCTGATTATGGAGACCCAAAGCATCTGCGTGACTGCTTTCATTAACAGGGTGAAGTGTTATGTCGAAACAGTTCTCGGCATCATCAGATATGCTTGATATTTACAAGGTCATCACGAGGTTAATACCGAAAGAGCTCACTGAATAACAGGACGCTCGGCGAGGCATCAGTGTGGGGCTTTGCTTTAGCAGTACAGGAAAGCTGAAGTACAGCCGTGATCTGGCGCCGTCCCACTTGAACCTGTTTGGACCACCGGAAAACCTGCTGTGTACGTTGGAATCTTAACTGATCAGGCAATCAATAAGATAATCAAGACATGGCTTTGGAATAGCAATAAGGAGTTTTCCAAGCAGGATTTCCACGCCGGGCGGAGTGCTGGGATAAGCGCGTGCGCCTGAACGGTGATTTGATGTAGGTGCCAGTTCCGAAGGCTGGGGAGGCTGGCCGAAGAGACCTGCTAACAAATGCTTATAGCCAATTTGTAGACGATATTTCAATGAACATATGTTGCTAGTTTTGTGTCGTTGCACCAAATGTGGACTGAAATACGTGTGATTTTACCTTACTTATTGAACGACCTAATACATAAGCAGCTAGGTTACTTATAAGTACATCATTAATTCTCACAAAATAACATCACCTTATCGAATTTTCACCTGACTAGCAGATGCAGACAGACATGCCGCGTTGAGACAGGTGCATAGCGACAGAATAAAACTGTAAAGTCGGTCGGTCGGTCGTGTGTGACACCGACGCATCGACTGGTGAATCGATAACGGATCGCAGACTGGGAGCTCGGCTCGCCAGCCGGCGGTAGCCGAGCGCTATGGATAGACAACAGGTGACTGGGCCGACGGTCAGCCAGCCAAAGCCGGGAGAGAGCGCTGGGAGCGATCCAGAGTCCAGAGCTGGTCCGTCAGAAACCTAAAACGCCTAGTCTGATCCAGCACTTTTCGGATAGCGAGCGAGACTGGGCCAGTCAGAGCGCTGGGACGGATCCGGTATTGGCCAGTGGTCAGCCCAAAGTTAGAGCTGGGTCAGTTACATTGCTAGGACATCCTGTACCGAAGGCTGAGACTGACGCAGTATGACTGACTTCCACTCGGAGTGCTTAGACTGGTGCCGTACCGAATGACGATTAGGTCCCAGAGCAGGTGAAGGGGCGGCGCCGTATGGGAGCAGGACAGAACTGAACCAGCGCGGCCGGGACTGACCGCGCACCAGGCCGACTCGAGCGCTGTGACTGACACAGTGGCAGCGGCCCGCTCGAGCATTAGCACACTCCTCATCACCGCAAGTCGCTACCAATGTCTTTGGTATTCTTCGATTTTCGTTGCTTGTCTGTGTGTCGGTTTCTGAGGCTTAAAATTATAACTATTACGAATAGGGACGGGTTCAACTGCGAAGGTTGAGCTGAATCTTATTGCATGATAATTATTTTTAAATAATTTAGATAACTGTTAAATGCATCGAATGCCTTTCATTTTAATTTTTTTCATACACATAATATCAAACATTTGGAAAATAATAAAATGCTTTTTAGTGCAACTGATTTACTAAATCAGCAAAATCCACTCATAATCAGGCTTTCTAGTTCCTCGTACAAAGAGGGAGGCAATCATGGCACAGGTATCTCTAAAAGCGTCAGCGCCCTCGTTGTGCCTCGATCGCGCGGGCGGCTTCCACCGATAACAAGGCAATAATCCCTGGCTGATGGGCCGCCACCGCGCCGGTAGACTGACCCCCCTTATGACGTCACGGGGGGATGGCAGATGGGAGTTCAGCAGAGTGGTCCTCACGGGCTGAAGGACCCCCGAGCACGCCTGGCACAATCCACGGCGACTTTCGAACGGGTACCGGTTACGTAAGGGAAGAAAGAAGACACGACAGAGCTCGAAATTTTATTGCCGATGGTTTGTGTCATTTGAACTTCAACTTTTGCTATGTTTCAAATCAAAACTTCGTCAAAATTATATTTTTTTCCAACACTTGAAAACCGGAATGAATCAGATGTTCCAAAAGTATTTTTGATAATTTTTAAATAACTTGAGATCATCAATAAGTTATGAAAAAGAGCAGATACGACTTGAAATCATGCAATGATTGCAGTGTGACCTGTCCAGTGTTGGTTACCACCAGCAGCGGCGGACGCTGCTCAGTGGTCAGTGGTGTGTGAAGGTGACACGCGATCGGTCCGGCGCCGCCGCTGGGACCAGCGGACCCCGCCGGCGGTCCCGGCCAATCTCGCCGCACGCGGAGGCGGATATGCCGTCAATAATCACAGAGTACCGCCACTCAGTCCTAGGGGATATTCGACGACAGTTGGCTCCGCAGTCAGAGACAGAGACGGACAGTCCGGCGGGCGGGCTACTGTCCCAGCCGCCCGACCGTCCTCACACGATTAATGACAGGGCTCCATGAATATCCCAGACAGCAGACAGGGCTGTCCGACTGTCCCAGACAGCTGACAGGGCTCTCCGACTGTCCCCGACAGCAGACAAGACTATCCGACTATCCCAGACAGCATACAGGACTATCCGACTGTCCCACAGAGCAGACAGAGCTGTGTGTCTGTGCTAAGTGACCGCTGACTTTAGCAGGATGAGCAGTCACTATCGTTCAGGCTAGGCAGCTGCTACTGGGCAGCTTAGGCAGCCGCCATTGGTCAGGCTAGTCAGCTGCTATAGACCAGGTTAGGCAGCCCACTGAGGCGAGCCGTCAGGTCAGACAGCGATCGATGCGGCAGCAGTACGGCGGTATTTAAGCAGCGGTCGCCCATAGTGCATCATGGAGGAGCAGCTGCCGGCCCAGCGTCGGTGCGGCCCGCCCACTCACCGAGAGGCTGACTGGTCACCGGCTGACGGACTGAGTGGCTGACCGCGCGCTGGCTGGCCGATTGACTGAGTGACTGGCCACCGGCCGATGGACTGAGGGACTGACCATCGGATGGAGGACTGGGTGACTGACCCCTGACTCAGAGACTGAATGACTGCAGCCACCGACTAAACGACTGAGTGACTGGTCCTGCCTGAGCGACTAAAGGACTGACCACCTGCTGACCGAGGGACTGATGACTGGCCATTGGCCTCAGGCTGCAGCCCAGCACCCACTGCCACTTGTGGGGCACATAACCGACACTGCTGCTTCGATCGCAGCCGACTAATGCGGGCTGATTCAGGCAAATTGAGCATGAAATAAAGAAGGCGCCTAATTTCCGTAAGTGACTGACCGGGCGCCTCAGCTCATTCAGTGTTTAACTATGTCAGAATAGCGATTAATAGTTTTACCATTAAAGCATCGAAGTCTTCCGTCTTTGCTATTCAAATGACGTGCGTTCATCTATTTATATCATACTCTGCGATATCTTCAGGTAGAGAAGATTACTACCATTCCATATCGAGCACACTTTGTCTTGCGCGCTGTCTAAAACAAGTGTAGGGACTTTAATCGAAGTGTAGGTACATATCATGCCACCTCGTTCGATTCGACTTATACAAATATGACTCAGATATGGGTAGCTCAGTCTATCTTACCCAAAACCAGTCCTAAAAGAGATTACATGGAGAGTGGAGGCTGTAACAGCGCCACACCTGCTAATCTCCCTATCAGGCCATGTTGTCGGGTCGCCAGCCGGCGACCCCCGGGACCAGCCACCCCGCCGAACTCAGCCGTGTGTTGGAAGGCCGATCACGCCCACACCCCAGCCAGCGGCAGAGTCCCCCGCGATCCGCGGTTAATCTCGCGACTGAACAAGCACTCCCCAGTTACCACCACATTATCAGCAGAAAATAGCGGCCTGGACAAACTTCTGAAAAACATTCCAATCTGGTTTCTCCGAGCTGGGTCTCGTCTCTGATCCCATTTATACGTCACCCGAATGGCTGGGGTGAGTTCAGAGTCGGTAATGGACCTGGCTTTGTTTCTGAGCCGTTCTTACCTGTACTGTTGCGTCTGCTGCTGCCGTCCGTTCTGCTGTCGATGGTGTTGGTGATTGGACTGGCAATTCTGCTGGTGCTGCTGCTGGTGGAGCTGTTGGTGCAGCTGCTGGTGCAGCTGGTGCGGATGGTGGAACGGCGTCCTGCAGGAGTAATACACCATCTGTCCGTCGGTCTCACCGTTCCCACTCAGGCCGATGGCCACCGCCTCGCCGGACGGCGGGCTGCGCGGCGGACTCCTCTCAGCACCCTCGGGCGGCTCCGCTCCCTGCCGCTGGTCCTGTCCCACGCCGGAGGTATCCTCAGCACCGGCGGCAGCTCCGTCCTCCTGGGTCACAGCGGCGGCAGCAGCTCCGTCCTCCCGGCTCACAGCGGCGGCGGCGGCGGGCGCGGGCGACGGACGGTCACCGTCCACCGGTCTCCCGGTCTGACTCCGCTGAGAGGACTCTCGGGACACACCGCCCGGCGTCCGTTTCCTAGCTGCCTGCCGACGCTGCGTGCTGCGCTTCATACGCACACTGTATGTCCGTGTGGAGATCATGGCTGAGGCCTGCAGTGGGGCCACCAGGACCAGGGAGTCGTAAACAGTCTCAGAGCTCACTCAGGAAGCGCACACTGGCTCAAAGTTTACACTCGGCAGTCTTCTGTAGTTGTTGGCTGGTGCATCCTCTCACTGGTTCACACCTTCAATTTGGACGACACTGAAAACGTTTTCGAAGATTCCGGAATTTGCCACACCACATGCAAAAAAAAACATCGTCTGCGTTTCTCTCCGTTTCAGCTCCAATGTCCCCGGCACGTACCCACTCCGTCTTAGGTCTGTGTCACGTGGTAAACGTCAGTCGATTGTCAACCGCACGTAAAAACCCAGTTGTGGCTGTTTCGACTCATCAACGAACATTTATAGCGGTGGATAGATGTCATTAACGTGACTTCTTCGATCAATTAACAAATGGAAAGCAGACTGTGATCCTTGAAAACAAACCGAATCACATATGGGCCTCAGACGACATTCTGGTTAATCCCTGAATGTGTAAGTTATGAACTCACATTTCACATTCATTTTGATTCTATAGAGAGCCGAGTCGGGAGGAGAGAACTTTGTGGACCGCGGTGTGTAATCTCAGGGGCCGCTCAATCCTGGATGAAAACTCGTAAGTCAGTCTGCTAAAATTTAGAATGATTTTATCATTGTCTTGGAAACGTTAGAAGCAATGTTCCATCCTGAGCTGGCACAACGCGTCACACCCATGCAATAGGTGTGTGCTGTGCAACGTGCATTATGCACTCATGCATCCATACGGAAGTGCCGACATTATTGCCACCCCAATATCCGCTAATCGGACTAATAAGCGGGTGCTGAAGGTTATTGACCTTCGGGCATCACCAAATGCTGTTCGACCGGCCGCCTCGCTCTCCAAGTCTATCGTTCCAGTATTTATGGTGCATTTTTAGCACATTGACGGCTGCCAGTCTCGTCTCGTCCCTGCGGACCCGCGCTGACAGCCGCCGTCACATCCTGGGAGCCGCTGTCAGGGCGACACGCCCGTCACCGCTTTCTCATTGATCAGCAACAGAGTGGTATGGATTTGCAGAGTGCCGCGGCGCGCCACGAAATGGCTGCGCCGTGTGCGCCGGAGCGGATTCAGCGGGATGGATCCATCGGATCCGTGGATCCGGTACAGTGTACTGGACCCTCTTGACCCCTCCTACGCCGTCCCCGACTCCGGATCCGGTTGATTTTGACCCATCCGGATCCCCAGGAACTGCGGAGTGGACTCTCCGGACTCGCCGGTCCTGCAGCGACATACATGGGTGAACCCGGAGTCAGTAGTGTGTGACAGAGTCCGTACAACCAGGACAGGACGGAGAAGGGTCCGACGCGTCACACGTTTGTCCCGTGTGTGAACAAGGATACAAGACTCTGCACTGGGGTGTGTATCAATGTGAACAGCTTTCCAGTATTTGAAAGGTTACAAGGATATTCGAGGGGTATGACGCTACCGCAGAGAATTGCAGTACTTTCCCCATTTTTAATGAGTCGTTGGCTGCCTGAATCTCCTCGCAGGCCCGCGTCCAAAAGGCGAGTTCATTTAATCACCAGCCAGCAAGTAGTGCGAACAATGTCATCGCTACCACCGCCGCTGCTGTTTTTGAGTGTCGGTGTCAGTGTCATTATCAGTGTCAGTGTCAGTGTTAGTGTCAGTGTCAGTGTCAGTGTCGGTACCGGTATCAGTGTTGTATGACTATCAGATGACGAGTCACCGTGTGCCCAGTACCTTTTCCTCCGCTCCCAGCACGCGGCGTATGACGCACGCGCTCCGTCTGCGCCTCTCAGAGACACGCTATGACAGGAGCACCGGTGTGAGATGATGAGGCCCGTCCCAGCATTAACGAGTGCCGACGGCTGCCCCAAGGTGCCTGAGGACCTCCCCCTCCCTCCCCCACTGTAGCCAACAGGAGACACCGCACACAGCACGACTACATGCATGGGAGGAGCTGCGACCTGGGAAACCCGAGTGATTCCCAACAGAGTAAACAAACCGACATGCTGAAAAACTCCAGGTAGGCGGTTGTCTGTCTACGGGAATAACATATAAAAAAACATTCTTCCTAAGCCGCGTTTAATTAGCTAATCGGTTGAATGATCGCTTGTGCTTATCAATAATTAGCATTGAAATGAAGGAAAAATAACGAGAAAGGAACCAAGCAACTTGTGCTCATGAATGATCAGCATTGAAATAAAGGCAAACTAACGAGATATGAACCACATAAGCGAGAGAATGTAAGAAGCTTCATGCCAAGGATTTCAACACACATCACAAAACATTGAAGCAAACATTTCCTTCAAGGTAGAAAACAATTTTGCATTAGCAATTTTCAACGAAAATGCTTGCAAAATATCTCATAATAATGCAGGTATAACAGACGCTGTGGACCCTGGACAGTATAAGCATTCATTACGGCTAGTGGCTCCCGCCGGAGGCACTACGCTACATACTTGGACCAATTAGTAATCGACTCTGCGTAATTGACTCGACGCAGGAAGCCATGGGACTATATCGCAAAGACAGAGAAGTCCATAATCAGGGAACGGTGGACCATGGTCTCCAGCCGGCAACACTGCGACAGCCGGTCCCGTGCGGCAGCAGCTTCATCTCAATGCATCTTTCCGGGATGACAGTGTTCTAGTTCGCACGGATCGCGACTATTTACGGAACTGACACGGGCGCGGCCAGACATTGGAACAGAGAATCAAATACATTCTTACTATATCCCGTCAATGAAGCTCTTGGTGTCCAAAAATTATCAGCATCTTCCTACAACGCTCGATAGTCTGGCCCTCACGTCATTATAAATCTAGCTTTGATTAAACAGTTAATTCAGAGGGGAGGAGAGCGAGAGGGAGAGAGAGAGAGAGAGAGAGAGAGAGAGAGAGAGAGAGAGAGAGAGAGAGAGAGAGAGAGAGAGAGAGAGAGAGAGAGAGAGAGAGAGAGAGAGAGAGAGAGAGAGAGAGAGAAAATCGAGTCTGGCATAACAAAACAAGGCGAAAGAGTAAGACACAAAGAAAGCGAGACAAAGAGAGATGTAAAGAAGAGTGGTGTACATCAGGCAGGACACATATACCACGGCTGATTTTCTGCCGTCGCCACCAGCTAACATCAATTGACGGATGTCATCTCAACGCCGGTGTGGTGACAGCCATCATCTGGTGCCTGGATAATATCAGATTATCCAGGGACAGGTCATACGTGTGTCGCCAAGGAGACAGAGTGCTGCTCCAGAGACGTGGGCTCGCAGTAAAAGCATGAATCTTTTAGAGTGAATGCATCGTGAAAGGCTATGTATAGTACACCCGACATTTATGTCAGGTTAACCCGCGCCCGGCTGGGGGTCCTGGATTTCCACGCCCTGCTGGGGGGGGGGGGGTGTTTGAACACCCCCCCCCCTTGTAACTCGGCTCCTGGGCCACGTAGCGATACGCGGAAGGCGGCGTTCGAAAGAGCGTCAAAAATAATGACGAAATCACTTCAGTCAATTTTTTGGTCAGGTCAAAGGTCAGGTCACCAGAGGTCATTGAAGGCAAAATTTCGTCGATTTCCAGGTCGAATGTCGAAAATTTCCAAGAAGCCTGCACATAACTCGGGAACCAATAGAGCTACAGCGCCGCGGAAAAGCGCATTCGATAGCCCTATCAACGCCCTTTCTGAGTAATTCTCTCAGATTTGACCTTACGTCAACGGTTTTGCCTGCAGGGGGCAAAAACTGCAAAAATAGCCGATTTTTTCGGAAACAGTTTTTCTGCAATAAATTTTGACCCAAGCCCTGTACGAGCTTACTTTTACCGGCATCGTGTTCCTCTCGTCAAGACGCATCGAATGAACTATAACTTGATCTTGAAAGGTCAACTTGAAAATTTGACCTCAGGTCAAGGTCATGACCTGACCGGAAAGGGTCATGTTGCATATCAGTCGATCCGTATCGTCGAGCTGAACAAATCTAAGGCGTTTTCATCGCTCTAGCATGCCTCTATCAAAAGTTAGTTGCGAAAAACTGTTAGATACCATTCGTGACCTAAGATGACCTCAGGGCATAAACAAGGGTCACGGACACCATTTTCATGTTCAGTGTGTCTAAACCACTTGTAATTCGGTGTTTGGGAGTGTTTATAATGTCTTTCGTCCAAAGGAGGCGCATTTCAATTTTCTCCCATTGACTTATAATGGGAAGGTCGCAAAATTGACCTGACCTTAGGTCATCGATATCAAAATTCTGAGATATACATTTTGTACAAGCTATTGCTCTTAGCAATCGCTGAAAGTTTCAAAGCGATCGGTCACTCGGTGTAGCTATGACAGACATTGAAACTTTTTATGAGGTGAGGTCACTTCAAGTGACCTGGTGACCTGACCTTGAATGACCTTGGTCTGAAATTTTCACAACATGTGTAGAATTGATGTATGATAAGGTGTACCAAAAACGGCGGCGCTCCGCGCCGCCGTTTTTTGAGATATTCGCGAAAAATCACAAGGGGGGTGTTCAAACACCCCCCCCCCCCCCCCAGCAGGGCGCGGGTTAATGTCACAGTATCATGCTCGTTACTCAATGTTCGTATATAAATGTACATCAACTCCCCACTAGCGCATCTAGAACCATCATTGAAAAGCTTACTGCTATGTATTTCCCTTGGCTAAGTTATATGCTCACCGGTCCTAAGAAACTTGTTTCATTAGGTCCAGTACAAGCTGTTGCGACTATCCACTGACTTTGTATTCTCGCCAAAAGGCAGGAAGCCTCATGGATTTGATTTAAATCGGAGTATCATGAAAACAGCTGGAAAAGAGCTCAAGCCAAACAGCTTGGGGTCATTCAGTATGGCAGCCGCTATCTATTGCGAACCAGAATTTGTTTTAGAGACCCTCCGAATCCTAAGTTCAAACACCCGCTGGCCGACGATAAATGGATGACATCGATTTCTCAACGAAATCTGTACCATCAACACCGGAGGCAGCAGTAAGAATTTTTATTATAGTTACGATT